AAACATTATCAGCCTTGAATTCTGGATAACTGTTTGTGGCCAGCAGCTGAATAGCATGGTGTGTTTGTGCTTCTGAGGCAATACAGTCAATCTAAAGAAGACAATTATTTTTAACACGGCCACAAATCGATCCTTCTGGGTGCGCACTGCGCCTGTACATTGCATTGTGTGTGATAAGGCAATATTGGAAAATGGAAGAAAACATGGGTGAGCTGTCAACCATGATGATAGCATTCGTTGGAATATCTTACCTCTTGACAGTTGCCGCGTCACAGCGACTGTCCTTCTTGCGATAGTAGGCACTGGCCATCTCCTTGACATCGATCATAGAGATGACTTTGTTTGCTGAAGTGATTACAGCAGCTGCTGCACTGCAGCCTTCCTTCTACAAATGACAACCGAAGAGACACGAATAGAGATACAGTTCAACCTGCAGCTACATTGTAGCTTTCAGTAGCTAGCCACGCATTGGCATTAGTAGAATACTGACAACCAGCAGTTAGTCATCATGCTACAAGACAATACACTCACTGGGTAGGCACATTGCCATAGTTACAATAGGCGGCACTGAAGTGAAGGACAGGGCGTTCACTCAAAAAATGTGTTCTTTTACCCAGTGCAGTCACCTAGCAACCAAAAGCAGTCATATTTTTCGAATCGGTGTTGGCTAGAGCAGGCACCTGTTGATATGTTAGACTCCACTAGCATTGCTATACGCAACGATGAGGCAAGATACCTGGCCGGCGCTGTTGGCCAGTTGCTGTGCGTGGCAGACAGTTTGGACGGGCATGTCAAAGAGATAACCTGTCACTGGACATTTTGCTCACACATCCCCCATGCAGCTTATTCTGCATTTGTCCGTGGCATTAAGAATGAGTGGAATTTTCACACGTGGAGCGACACAGGGCTGGCCTCATCATACACGTCGCTTGATGATGTTATTTATAATAATACACGTGTAGATTGATTCCCACGTAAACAGGCCGCTCTGAAGTATCACAATTGGAACAGAGGCTGTTGGCCTGTTGGCAATGCTGAGAAACGGCAGTTGCATGCAGCCATGCTTGAGAAACAGCAGTTGGACGCGAGCCCTGCGCTCAGTGACTCATAGCCCTGGAAGTCTCTGGAGAAGCTGCCGTGGGGAGTTGGCCCAATGCGGAGTCGACATACTTAATAGTCATGCAGCATGCAGCATCCATGCTGTCGAGGGGGGGGGGGGGGGGGTTCTTGCACAGATGTCTCAGAATAAGAGCCAGAGGAAGAGAGCATAGTTACAGGTTGCGGTGAATGTGGAGAGAGGTGAGTTTACGCCTCTACTGCCCTCTAGTATTTAGGACGAATGGCCTCTGTGGTACAAACGTCTTCCAGCACTGACAAATTTGCCTGGCCTCATTATTGCACGTCATCCTGATATGCGGCACTCAATGGCCATGGATCATCTTAGATGCAAAACAAACAGTATTCGAATCAGAGGGGCATTCATCACATACTGCACTGTAGCCTACAAGCACAGCACAGCAGAGCACAGCACGGTACAGCAGGGTACAGCACGGCACAGTCATGTAGCCGACTGTACTGCACTGCACATGAATATAGTCAGACAGTTAGTGCCCACTTACCTCCAGACGACTATAGACAGCATTTAAGTGAGCAGAGAAGAGAGGCAAGTGATCCGGAAATGCCTGGGCAAGGTCAGCAAACTGCTGCACGTCACCTGACCTGTGTGCGTGTGTGTGTGTGCGTGCACGCATGCATGCATGAGAGAGAGAGAGAGAGAGAGAGAGAGAGAGAGAGAGAGAGAGAGAGAGAGAGAGAGAGAGAGAGAGAGAGACAGGAGTCAACACAAAGCAGCCCATCGCAGAATCTATAAGGCTGTGCAAGACTACAATGCACCCCAGGCCAGTTAGCAGCTTGAGTGTAAAGAAGCAGGCCAGTGGTAACTAGCCTCTTTCAGTCTACACTGGGATGACTGGAGACAACTAGTACACGAAGCCTGGCTCACAGTCAGTACAGTGGTCCCTCTATAATCCGGCACCATTTGTGCCACGAAAATCTGCTGGATTAGGGAGGGTGCTGGATTAACAAATCTGATTTACTGCTGCAATGTACATGAAGAGGACATTTTGGCTACTGAAAATTGTGCTGGTTTATCGAGGGTGCTGGATTATAAAGTGCCGGATTAGAGAGGGACGACTGTATACTGTACTGGGGGATTACCGGGAGAGGGCTAAGACAACTGACATGAATACCAAGTTACCAACTATACCGTACACGGCCTGAGTTGAGCATTCGTATTTCCTGTGCACCACCGGTCAGCACCCTAGCAAATAGGGCATGCAGCAATAGTACCTGAATATTACTGCATGGCATGGCACTAGAAGCACATGTGTGCATGTGCATGCATACACTAAACTACGGTTTTCACCAGCTCCATCCACTAAGTCTTCTCAGTGCATCAAAACACCAGCATATCTGATGGCCTACAGAGTAAGAAATAGCTGAGTGGCTACAGGCATTCCAGTGCAGACTGCATGTATTATGCACATACTTTGACATCCAACCGATGCTGAAATCACGCAGAGCTTCCCGATACTGCAAACACAATGACATCAAGGAACACGCACACACAAAAAATACACAAGCAGACACATAGACCCACACAGACAGACAGACAGACAGACAGACAGACATACAGACATACAGACAGACAGACAGACAGACAGACAGACAGACAGACAGACAGACAGACAGACAGACACACACACATGAACACACAGACACACGAACACACGAACACACACACACACACACACAACAATCAGGCAGACCTACACCAACATGATAATAAGACGGATTTGCACATAAACTGAGAAAGCCCAAAAACAGGAATTTCCCCACTGTCTTCACAGTCACCTGATATAGGTCTCAAAATAGCATGGGGATTATTTTAGTATCATTCTACACCATGTCCTAGTACATGCCTGTAGGACATCCATTTCAGAGAGGTATCCGTTCTACAGTTATCAAGTACGTGTGTGGGGAAACAGCAAAAAGGATTTGCACGTGTAATAGTTTCATTGGTCAAAGCTGGGCTGTGTATTCCCAATTCAAGCTCAAATTTACAAGTTAGTTGAATTGACCCACACCGTTTTCAAGTCAAAGCCAAATTTCTTTTTTCCCGATTCCCTCAAGATAGTTACAAGTACGCTTGTTGAAGTACATTTTGTGAAATGTGAAAGAGAGCCAGACTCCGTAGAAACAAATCCTCAAGCCGTTCAAGCCACATACTTGTACGGTGAGAAGCTTCTGATAGTGGCATCCCCATACCACAATCTACTACTGTGGCATCCCCATACCACAATCTACTACTGCATTGCAATGCTACATGTACATGTATTGCAAACCTTGTCATCAGGTTTCTCCTTTTCTTCACTTTCACAACTATCCTTGCTTGACGCTGAAGACGATGACGCCAGGGAGGAAGATGAGTTCGATGCGGAAGATGTGAGAGCTGATGTCGACGACTTGGATTTCTCTCCAGCTAAGTTATGAACACAGAGTGAGAATGGATGACGATCCTGTAGAGCAGAGCAGGAACATGGTCGACCACACATTGTACCCGTCTCAATTCACACAGTGTACGTTATACTAGCAGTACATGCTACATACCAGTCTCAATACACACACACATGCACGCACGCACACACACACACACACGCACACATACATACACATACACACACACACATACACACATACACAAGTACAATCTTATAGCCCTGTTGCAAGGATGCCACACCAATCCACTTTTTCAACTGACTTAATGTCAGTTTCCTCAGAGACAAGAGTGTGATCATACAAAGAAGAAGGACACACTTCAGGCTCTTCAACAACATCTTGAAAGTTTTCACGTTCAAGCCTTATCGCCATGAAGTACAGGAAAAATCAAATGAACAAGGACAATGGATTAAGTACTGTAGAGAGGTGATAGAAACAGCGCAAGGAAGAAGAGCTAAAGCAACAATGATGAATGCGTGACCCGTACACTTTGAAAGAATGAGAGAAAAAAGTGCGAGTGCGAGGAAACCTAACAAGCGTGACATGTGGTGCGACAACAATAGACTAAAAAACGGGCATAACTAACGAGCCTAAGTGTGAATTTAATCTGTTTCTACTTGCACAAGTTAGGTTTCTTAGTGTGAACATACACAGCTTCTAAAACAGTCAACAACTTTGCACTGTGTGCACGTGACAAAATAGGAAAATAATTATCGAAATACATAGCATGACACATTCAGGATGCTCCAACAAATGACAAGCAATGAACGACTCATACTTATCACACCTAACATTAGGACAGTCAGAATGTACATCACACCTGAATCTTTTTCTCTCATTCTTTCTAAGTGTACGGGTCACCCATTTATCATTGTTGTTTTAGCTCTTCTTCCTTGTAAATAAAAGGGGGTTTGTCAACTGACAACCGCTCTATTTAGTTGCTATTCACTCTTTAGATGAAAATTCTTTTATTAAATATGTCTCCTTGTTCATTTGCTTTTGCCTGTATGTCACTGGCTGATAAGGCTTGAAAGTATAAGAGTGAAACCTTTCAAGATGTTGCTCAAGAGCCTGAAGTGTGTCCTTCGACTTACTGTCGATTAGAACATCTGATGCATTTGCCCTACAAGTAGAAATGCAGGCGCGTGCCCCGTATGGGTTCCTGGGTGCCCGGAACCCCCCTGTTTTCGCTCTAAATGCAGGATTTTGCTTCATTTTTTGAAAAATTTCCCCGGAACCCCCCTTGAAGGGCACCGGCGCACGGGCCTGGAAATGTACTAAGTCTTGTTGTCTGATGATGTCATAGGCATGGCACTCCTGTAGGTGCATTGGATAGGTTGATTCCATTCTGTCCACACTGTGTGACAACTCTGTAGAGTTGTAGATGGAGTACTCTACCAGCGGCAATACGCCTACCTCGATGTGCACTGTACGGCAGTCTATGAGTCAGGCACACAGTGGTCACGTTCATAGTGCCACATGCCAGTATATACACATGCACGCACACGCACGCACACGCACGCACACACGCACACGCACACACGCACACACGCACCCCCCCCCCACATTGTACGTGTAGTAAGACAAAGTTACTCCCCAGTCAAACACAACATCGATGCTGATCCCTGCTTACCACTGCTTCCGTTGATTTACTGCTAGACGAAGTGAACGGCTTGCTGAAAGTCAGGTGACCTTCCAAGATACTGTTGGTTTTAGCACCGCTGGGTAGTCTGCAAACAACAACAAATGATGCAAACAATGCAGGGTATTTGATGACATCACCACTTGAAGTTGAAATGCTATTGTTAATTATCACGTGGTATTACGAACAGTGGCGTGCCACTCAATACAAACACATACTTGAAGTACGAGTAGGATGTCGATGATCTCATTCAGACAAGCTATTATTAGGATTAAATTTGTATTTACAATGCTCTACACATTGCATTTCTTCTATCACATGTGAAATAACCTACAGTGTGCAGCATCTGACTGTTCTGCATGTGTGTCTTGTCACGCAACATTCCTGGCACGCGTCACAGTTGGTGCAGATACGCGGCGGCGGCGGGAAGTTGCACACTGTGACAGAGTGCATGCAGCAGAGCTGTAGCTGTGCAGCAGGAGATCTGCTGGAATCCTGCAGTCATACGCACTATGTCGTTGACACGATGTAATCGAGAAATTCCGCTGGGACACCAACCCACTCAAGCAGCACCCTCCTGGTTTCATGTGCCGTATTTTCCGGAGTATAAGCCGCACTGCAAACACCAGTAATTCACCCCCAAAGCCGTACTTCAAACACCAGTAATTCACCCCCAAAGTCAGTCTGGCTTATACTACCATGGTCAAATACAATGGTGATAAGCCGGGTAGTTGTCTGTATTTCGTGACTAAAGAGCTGGGTGCGGCTCATACTCCGGAAAATACGATACTCCTGGCGTTAGGGAAAAGTTTCTTGCAACACGACAATAGCGTTACTTCACTGTCCAGAGTTCTCTAGTTCACAGCTTAGCTGCTGCCTGCTATGTTCCATCTTCTATCTAACCAGGATAGTGAAGATAGTGCTGTTCATCATATTCCCGGCAATACTGGCCTAGGTGATTAGAAGTTGTTGAGCCCTAAAACTTCAACAAGTTTGAAAAAATCCACACAAAAGCCCGCGGCGCATATTTCAGACAGGCGGTAATAAAAAACCGACCCCAGCTCCAAAAAAATGCGGTATGCATGACATAGTGCGTGCATTCTGTAGCACACACAGCTGTTTTCTTATCTTCTGTTAGCACTGCGACCACTACATACTTACCGTATTTTACCGGTTGTAAGTCGACCCCGGTTACAGGTCGACCCCCGCATCCGGAGGTCTCAATTCTGCGTTTTAAAGTTTTCACCCAAAGAAGCACTACTAACCACTTCCTGCTATTAACACATCAACAAATCATGTAAACATTCCTTATTGGAGGTTATAACATCCCAATCCTTGAAAAAGGCCAATAAACTGGAAAAAATGTGTACACATAGTGCACTCGTGCATGCAGTGCAGGTCATTTTTTTGTAAGATACTGATAGTTCCCAGTTATAAGTCGAATCCCGGTTGTAAGTCGACCCCCACCCTTTCTCCTTCTATTTTAAGTTTTAAGGTCGACTTACAACCGGAAAAATACGGTAAACCTGTTGAGCATGTGCACAGGCAGACATACAGACAGCCAGACGGACATACAGACAGACAGACAGGCAGATGGATGGACGGACAGACAGACAGACAGACAGACATCAGGCTAGCACACGCACATGCACAGACACACACGGCCGCAGCACCAACATCCACTACGCTCACGTAGAAATGAACTCGATTCAAAGGTGCTTACTTATCCAGACTCGAGCCAACAAGAAACAAGGGAATGGTTTCACCTGAAGGCACAATCCGTGAGGTGAACTTCTGCAGTGACTGGAGCATATCACTCTGACTCTCATAGATATCGAGGCTAATAGCATTGCTGAGCTTGGTAGCAACTGACAGGGGTAAGTCCTTCAGTATGTCTAATCGCTGGCTGTTGTGGTGACGCACCTACAGTAGAGTAACACAACAACCCACCAAACACACAACAAGAGTTCTTTAGACATGGCCAGGAGACGTGATGCTTGAAAGCATTGATACACACACACACACACACACACACGCATGCACGCGTGCACGCACACACACACACACACACACACACACACACACACACACACACACACACACACACACACACACACACACACACACACACTGATTTGATGCATGGCGACTGAGAGGGCGTCCATAAAATTCGAAAAAATAGATTGTGGCTCAACGGTGGTGGGTGACAAAATGCCTGGTGGATTATTCATTTCTCGAAAATGACTGATTGCATGACTATACCCAAATGCTGTGATTAGATTGCTGCGTGGTTATCTGATCTGAAACTCAGTAAAAATAAAATAGAAACTCATCAAAATAAGGACTTCTGGTGCCTGACATGTTGGCATGTAGGGAGTGGTAAGAGTTGCATGACATTGCAGCTCTTTGCTTTTCTCGGGCTGGCCACGCTAGCCCTTTCAACCTTTTTGCTACATGAAGTACTTGTCATATACCCAATGTACAGCTTTGGCCATGGCACAGAGTGAAGAAAATTGCTTAGCATAACGCATTAATACACGGCGGAAAAACGAAAAATTATAATTATAGTGTCCGAAAATGGGGCGGGCCGCGCGCACGCGCGCGCAGGAGGGTAAGTCAGCCTCAATTTGGCCACTGTCCATATTTTCATATTTTTTAATTCCGCAGTAGTGCTAAAAAAAGAGGAAAAAGACACATTGAGTGCTGAATGCTGAGAACACTGACCTGCAGCTTGAGAGTATACTCTCCCTTCTCCAGCTTAGTAGTGTACTGTGAGTGAGAACAGAAAGACAGCAATCATCAGCAATTCATACAGTTACGAAGTGCAGCCAACTTCATACTGGAGATGGGTGCGACTTGACAGGTATGCGCCAAGGGTAAGCAAGCTAGGAGTAACCAGGCGTTCATGTTGTGATCAGACTGTTAGCACACACAACACAACTGCCTGTAGTCTGCCACAGTCACGGCTATGAAACCTGGGCCAGACCCCTTGGGCAAGGGTTACACTGTGTGACAAGTTAGCATGCTATGAAACCTGGGCCAGACCCCTTGCAAGGGTTACACTGTGTGACAGGTTAGCATGCTATGAAACCTGGGCCAGACTCCTTGGGCAAGGGTTACACTGTGTGACAGGTTAGCATGCTATGAAACCTGGGCCAGACCCCTTGCAAGGGTTACACTGTGTGACAGGTTAGCATGCTATGAAACCTGGGCCAGACTCCTTGGGCAAGGGTTACACTGTGTGACAGGTTAGCATGCTATGAAACCTGGGCCAGACCCCTTGCAAGGGTTACACTGCGTGACAGGTTAGCAGTGCTGATAGTCAGCAATAGTGACCAAGACTAGTGAGTCAGTAGTGACACGGAGGGAAAAGACAGGCAAGTCAACACCTCGCTGCTTAGCGCAAACGGCAAAATCAAACGTGTGATAAACTTCAGCACCGGTGCCAACAGCACCAGTAGCAAGTACACAGCAGTCCTAGGAAGAGCTCCCTTCATTAGAGTAACAAGTCAAACAAAAGTGACAAACAAGTACAAAGCATAACACACAACTCCAGGGCATAGCATAGCATAGCATAGCATACCCGATCTGCAAAAGCATCTCCCGACGTGATATAGCGCTTGTTACAGTCAAACAACATCCAGAGCTGGCCGTGGTAGTCAGATTCGTAGAGCATGCTTTCCAACCAGCGGAACTGTGGCGAAACCTCTTGGCTTTTACTGCTCTGTAGTACAGAAGTGGTGCACAAGCACACGCGTATGCACGCGCGCGCGCGCGCGCGCACGCACACACACACACACACACACACACACACACACACACACACACACACACATGCACACACACACACACACACACACACACACACACACACACACACACACACACACACATTCTTGAGTCTTGTCTGACAAAGTTTTTAATAACACTTCACGGTTGCTAAATTGCATGTATATCTACTGAAAATAGATCAGGTGAGCAGGTGATCAGTTGCTTTCCAAAGAGTACAGAACCATGCATGCATACCTACACACGTATGCGCACAGCTCTAATCCTCTTGCATGCATAAATGCATTCACAAGCACAGATACGCGCACATTGAGGGATAGGGGGTGGTGCGTGTGTGGTGCACCGCACACTCACTACATACGCACCACACAACACATAACATAATACACAACAAAACACACACCACACAATACAACACAGCCATCACAACCCAACAGCCCCTACAACCCAACAGCCCCCACAACCCAACAGCCCAACAGCCCCCACAACCCAACAGCCCCCACAACCCAACAGCCCCCACAACCCAACAGCCCCCACAACCCAACAGCCCCCACAACCCAACAGCCCCCACAACCCAACAGCCCCCAAAACCATAACCCAACAACCACCACAAACTCAACAACCACCACAACCCAACAGCCGGGTGATTATTATAAAACTAAGCACACATACCAGTTGAAACTTGTAGGTCAGTTGTAGCTCATACGAAGGTGAGCCTTGCGAGTCCACATCGCGCTCACCAAGTGGCAACACGGTCTTACGCTCGCACGGACTGCAACAGCAAAGCAGGACAGCAAACAGAACAACAGTAAAGTGACACAGGTTACCACCAATGAAAGCAGCAGTCTGCTGATTGGTACTACATGTAGAAATGCATTGCACAGTGTTGGCTAAGGTCCTTGGCTCTACCTACCGTATTTCCCAGAATAAAAGTCGCACCTTTTTCTACACCAAACGTGCCCCAAGGCTCCGTACTGGGACCCCTTTTGTTCAGCCTGTATAGCAGGTCCGTTCCGACCATCACCGGTCAAGCCCAGTCATTGCAGTTTGCTGACAACATCGCACTGCCTTGTAGCAAGCTTACAGCCACAGAAGCTGCTACAGTACTGTCCACTACTGTCACAGCCCTATCCAATTGGCTGGAAGACCGTGGCTGTATTCTGAACGCTACCAAAAGTCAAGTGCTAACGATCTCACTTGTTCAAACTTCGCATGAGGATGAGTCTCGGTGAAATTCCAGAATGCAATGCAACCAAATGTTGCCACAGCCAAGTATCTTGGCGGCACTCTGGACTGTGGCATGACTTGGGAGGCCAACCTAGCCAACATCACGATGCGTACCCTGAGAGAAAAGTGGATGACCTCTGGCGGGCATGCCGGTACCTAGCTCTACCCTGCCACATCAGGCTTGTAGTGTCTGTCATCATGCCAGATCTTCTCTATGTATCAAATGCATTCTTCACGGCACTACAGCTTCAACGTCTCCAGGTTCTCCAGAACCGAGCAGCCAGAGCTGTGTACAGCTGCCCATCAACTTCATCAATCCAGCCGCTCCTTGTGAACAGCTAGTAACACACTACAGGTCCTGATACAGCCCTCCAATACTACCACACCGAGGCTTGGTGCCAACCTTGGCCTGTGACCACCTGCCACTCGTTCACAGTTTGGCAAGCGTCGTTTCCCAGCTTGTGGAACCACTGCCTGGAAGCTGCCGGGAACAACCTGCCCAGTGGCCTACGGCTCATCAATGGCCTACGGCCCTACGTCCATGCAGCTCATCAATTCCACAGTGACAGTCCAAGCGGCAGATGTGATGCCTAAGCGGTGGCGGTGAGAGGACTAGATACACGCCAAATAGCATGCAGTGGATAGTGCTGCACAACACAATGACATGCTGAACACTTACGTGTAGACGGACACAAGGTGAGTGAGAGAGCACTGCGGCTTCAACACACACGGACCAAGACCATTGCGAACCAACACCTTCTGGAAGCCATCATTGCTTTGCTGCACAGTTAGAACACACACACAAACAAAACTTCATTTCAACATTGGAAAGGTGTACAGTTCAGCAGCCAAAAGGGCTGTAAATACTATGTACCAACAACAGCAGCATGTTTGTCACCAACGAGACAGTAACATAGGAACTAGATTGAGACTAGAGAGTAGTCAAATACTTTTTACTACTCCCTGATCGAGACAGGCATACAGGAATTGATTGGCAGATCTGGCTAATAGTGATACGCTGTTATGTAGAGTGTAGTGGCTTATAGGCTATTCATACTACGTTTCAATACGCGTCACGGTTTGGAATACGACGTACTGGCAGACGTTGTTTTCATGCAGGTGCATTCACACAGGCACGTGTACGCTTTTCGTACAGCTGTGCACACAGCTTCCTTTGGACACAAACAGCCGGGAACGACAGAATGAACCTCGGTACAGGGGTCTGGATACGTCGTCTACGTTTTCGTATCAGGGGTACGATTTTCCCGCCACGTTCCATATTGTTATGGCTATCCGGACGAAAGCGTCACGTACGCCACGTTTTGGGCGCAGTGTGAATGGCCCATTAGTCATGGAGAGACAGAGTGTGACAAACATAGACACAATGCTGAAACCGGGCATTTTTTTGTCATTTTGGACATTCCTTCATCAATATCCAGGTCCTTAGCTAGTGTTGCAGAATACCAACACTGTCAAGTTCAGCATTTTCTCTACTCTTCCCACTCCCCTTGGTTTATTTAATATGCTTCATTGTTTGGTGGTCAAGCGTTGGTCAGCATACTAGTGAATGTAGTCGGTTCGCCAACAAGTCGGGCTGAGAAACCAACACTTGAAATTTGCAGATACAGTAAAACCTGTGACTACCGACCACCCCTTGGTGCCAGCAAAAGCGGTCTTTAGTAGCAGGTGGTCTTTAGTTAGAGGTTTGCACCGTGCGACAATATATGGATCCCATTATATGATATGTATATCAAAATGCAGCTAATACAATTCCCCAGGACTTGCGCAATGCCATTCTTAATTCAGGTCAAACAACACTTGGAGAGAAAGACGGAGAGATGGAGAGAGACAGAAAGAGAGAGAGAAGATTAATTTGTTTGCAGACATCAAATTCAGCTGCTACTTCTGAAGCCAGGAGTCAAACGTTCCCTGTGGAAGTTTCGTTTTGCGCGGGGCTTCAAATTTGTTCATGCGATCAATCGTACCGATTATCCTTGTTGTGACTTCTCGATTGTTTGAATGCGATTCTTCAGCATCAGGACCTCGCGGTGCTGCTTTGTTTCCGGATTCCTTGACGCCATCGTCGATTCGTTTGTATGACTGGGGTGACAGAGCTGCTCAGTCTTCGTTTCTGCTCCAAGTAGTAACATCGAGCAGAGAGCGCTTTCGATGCGCTCTCAAAGACGTTTCCTATCATGTTTATTCTTGACAGCGCTTGAAATTCTGACAGGTGTAGTGCAGTCCACACAGACTCCACAGTCAAAATGGCCTGCGTTCATTTGTTCAGCTGTAGTACCGAAAGATTCCTTTCAGGACCATGGAAAATCAGCAAAATTTCAAGAAGGAGCTTCGAGCAACATTGATTTCCTACATCGCGGTCGCTAGTTACGGGTCAAAAATCGTCTTTGGGACAAGAAAAGGCGGTCGCTGGTCGCGTTCAGCAGGTAGTCGCTAGTCACAGTGAATTTTGAATGTGAGACCGTCCATGCCTGGCCAAGTGGTCGGTAGTACCAGGCTGGTCGCTAGTCACGGTGGTCTTTAGTTACAGGTTTTACTGTATTTGAAACCCCCTGACGTACATATTTCGAACAACTAAAAGACGCGAAATGGTTGGTATGTATATTCAGGAGTTACAGCAAGTCAAACGTGCTGATTTCTCAGGGACCTCGAATTGGTAAAGAGATGATACATGTTCTGAGGTAATACGTAGAGCATGCGTGACTTCTCATACTTCGGTAGTACATGTACTTCGAGTACACACAATGTACTACTTACAATACACGACACTGCCTTGGTCATGCGCAACGAGTTGAACTGAATTGTTACAGCTATCTCGCCAGCACTGCTATTAGCCCACCACTTGGCAAAGCACAGTTCCAACATTGCACCACCCTGAGAAGATACACAAAGAAAAAGGAGGCACAGGAAATCACCCATGAGAATAACACATCGACCACTAACGTACACTCCTCCACCCATTGACGACAAATGTATTGCTGCTCCAAGAGACTCCAGTCACAACAAAATCTGAAGCTATTTCTGCCAATAGACTAGTAGTGTCTAGTACACATTACTACCAGCAGCAGCAGCAGCAGCAGCAGCAGCATCAGGGACCGTAGCAGCAGCAGCATCACCACCACCAGTAGCAGCAATATCATCAATAGCAGCAACAGCACCACCACCACCACCGATGCCGCCGCCACCACACTATCATTGCAAATAACACCAAATCAAGAGACATGTTGCTTGATGGCTCAGCTTACCAGCACATGGCCTTGAAACTTCTGCACTTCACTTGGTGCCGAAAACACAAAGCTCTTGTACAGCTGGTGTTCACAATAGCGGGCTTTGGGCTCAAGCTGAATACCATGTACGTTATAGCGTGCCACAGATGGCGAGTTGCTAGAAACCACTATGTCTGGGTTGGGAGAAAAACACAACACACAGACGTGCACATACACTCTGACACAGTGCAAAACACAAGCTGTGACAGGACTATCTCATCAATAGCAGCTGCCTTCGACTGCCCCCCCCCCCCCCCCGATTGCCATTAGCAATAGTGTGGTTGCCACAAAGCAAGACTTGAACTCATATCCGTGCCAAAGAAAGATGGGTTCCAAAGCCGGTTCGTAGCCTGGAACACTTGAGCCCGAAGTGAAATACATGTACATCATGTATACGAGACAAGGTTTTATAGTGGAAACTAGGAAACTATTCTTCCTGATTTGCGTTTTGGCTGCCGTATTGACTATTGAGTTTGCAGGCGATCGCTGCACTTCAATTGTTTCCAGTAATCTTACCTCTGCATGCACAAATCCAGCTTTCGAGGATGCTGATTTAGCTAAGGAATGCAAACTTAAGCCCACTAGTGGCCCTTTTGACACGCCACCTTTCTTACCTTTGCACACGTCTGGTATGGGTGTAGTCCCCCAAAGATGGTGGCCACCGATTAATTATGCATTTGTCTGCCCCAGCTGGGAATAGCGTAAATGACTTTATCGACCGCAATGCCGTTTCATTTTCCATGATTTCTGTTGATACCATTAGTGGGCACGTTAAGAGAACTGGTCCAGGTGCGCTTCTCTGGAAGGTTGATTTGAGGCATGCGTTTAGAATCATTCCGATCCAACCCGATGACCGGCCGCTGCTGGGCATGTGTTGGCATGCGGCAAATTTTATTTTGATATGGTGTCACCTTTTGGTTTGCAGCCATCACCCTTTATTTTCAATCGTTTTGCTGACTCACTGGCATGGATTTTACGTGAAACCATGCTATAGAACACTGAGCACTATTTTGATGATTTCATTGATGTATCCATAATGAAGCAAAGAAAGACATGATGATGTTGTTACAACACTCATGGATTTCAAGCAGGGCGCAGACTTTGCCAGCATGATATTGTACCGATACGACTATCTCCTTAGCCTAAAATGTGCCAGAAGTATAGTCAAGAATCTACGTCTTTCGAAGATTGCTGAAAGGAAAACTCCAACAAAGCAACAAGACAAAACAATGGACGTTGCAACACTCCCACCGACTTCGGAAGAAATTGGCACCCTGATTAAGAGGGAAGTGGCTCGCCAAACGGAAGTGAATGCTGTTCAACAACAGAAGAAGTCCATGCCTAAAAAATCCAAGTGCACTAAGATGAAGAAGACAAAAAACTTCGGGGTGAAAGCCTCGTCTGGCGGAAGAAAGGTCAGCCCCCAATGATTTCATTGATGTATCACAGCCCTAAGCAAGGATGCCTAGGAGGATATCCGCTGGTGGCAGGACATGCTCCCCGGCTGTGGAACGGCAAAGCTCTCACCAGGGACAACAGGCGCTGGTCCCAAGCACCGGACATCGAGCTGTTCACTAATGCTTCGGGCACAGGCTTCGGCGGCTTAGCCCCCAGGGCCAGCGGTTCAGTGTCGCATGGCATGACCTCCCAGGATCGTCGCCAGCGGCATCCATCATCTGGCAAGAAAGGGTCCCAGTCACCTCTCAGTCTTGTCTTGCTCTTCCACTCCTGAAGTCAAGTATTGAGCCTTCTTGTAATCGTCTATCGCTAGTCCCTTCCTAAGCCTCCTTTTTTTTGTATTACCTTCAAGATCACCACAATAAGACAGTATAATAATATAAATATTCTCAACTAATGAATCCGTGGTTTAGAACTGTGAGTTTACCGGTACGTCACACCGGATTTGAATCTAGGAATTCAAACCAGCCTTTTGCAATGTCGAGTGCAGTCAAGATTTTTTTGCGTCGGGTATCTCCCCCTCATGCTGGTCGTGAGAGGGTGGGAACCCCTGCCGGGAGCCCTGACATAATATCTCCAACACCCGTGCTGGACACGGTCCGAAGAGCCGGCCGCAAGGCCAAACCGACAAGCCCAGCGGAGAGCTTGATGCTTGAATCTGATTCGGAAGCTGAGGAGCCGAGTCGGACCACCATTGTAAGGCCGATCGCCATTCCCAAATCGGCTCGCCTACCTAGACAGACACGCCCGTACGTTCTAAAGAATCAGTCCCTCTGGACAAAGTCATGTGTCTGCTAAAGACCTTTGCCTCGGAGTTCCGAGAGGACTTGGCGAAAAACATAAGGGAAATGATGTCGCCTTTCGACGAAAGATGGGCTGCCGTTGAAAAGAAAGTGGCAGAAGCGGAGAGCGACCTGAAGGAGCTCCGTTCCGCGAACAAGAAATTGTCAAATGAAGTGGCACGGTTTGCGTCTGCTATATGCAGTAGTGATTCGCCAGGAGATGGCGGGGAATCCGCCATAACTGGGCTCCGGCAGGATGTAGAGCGGCCGGCGACAAGACTGGGGGGGGGGGGGGGGGGGGGAGGGAGGTTGCACAGATTACTTGAGCACACTGAGCTAACAACAGTACAGAGTGAAGTGAACTTTGAATTATGCCTTGCCAACTTCGAACTATCACCAGGAATCCCACACATTTTCTAGGTAATCGGATTATGTAGGACTTCTAATTACATGTACATGGCCAGTTTGAGGTTCGAATTATCACATATATTATTATAAGATTTCAGTCGATACGATTGCCACATAACAATATTATTGTTGTGTGGGAATCGTATGGACTGAAATCGGTCCTGGAAGAAAGTTCCACCGTATTTTCCGGAGTATAAGTCGCACTTTAAACACTCACAATTCACCCCCCCCCCCCCCAAAAGTCAGTGCGGCTTATAGACCTTCTTCGATAACTTGATTTTTGGACTCGCCTCCAGGGATTTGTCGTAAGCTAGCGCACGCGTACAAGAAACGAGTGGCAAGAAAGGCCCAGTTCGTACAAAGGAGTAGTAACCTGCCAGTATTTATCTACTCCCATGTTCGCACGCAGAGTCCACTGTGCACTGAATGCAGGTCTCTTGCCACTCCCTGGTTCTTGATTGTGAGGTTTATCGAAAAAGGTCTATTACGATGGTTAAATGAACCGTGAAATACAAGGTAGATGTATGTATTTCCTGACAAAAAAATGAGTGCGGCTTATACTCCAGGGCGGCTGACTGTAAAATCGGAAAGTTCAACGACCAAAAAGTTTAACATTTTTGTAATTTCGGCATGATAACATGCAGAAAGTTTAACAATGGCTACCTGGCCACCCATCTGTATGCACATCTTTACACAGACATCTGAAACCGGGTTCGCGATAACGTTTCTTTAAATAACGAAAAAATGGCTGTTAAAACGTTAGACTTTGTGACTCGTTGGACTTTCCGGTTTTACAGTACACTCCAGAAAATTCAACTCGGATGGTGAGCCAATTAAATTATGGTGAAAAAGGAGGACAAAATGTTACGAGTTAAGTATGACTAACTGTCCACCAACGTACCCAGATCTTATACAGTCAGCGAGTGCAACAAAAATGGCACACAACTGACAAGGAGTACTGAGACATTCGGCGACCTGCCACTCCTCTTGTCAGTTTTGTGCCATTTTGTCGCACTCGCTGACTGTATAAGATCTGGTTACATTGGTGGACAGTTAGTCATAACTCGTAACATTTTGTCCTTCTCCTTTTTCACTCCAGAAAATGCAGCAATTAAATTATCAGGATTCCACCTGTGCTACAGCAACACTGAGACAGGGTCAATGCTCGACCCTTCTACAACAGACACAGATGCCCTCCCCTTACCAACGTATGTAGCTGACTCCGGCACACGGAAGAAGCGACGCTGTGGAGTGCCGGATGTGAAGACAAGCGTCTCCTTGTAAGATGCGCGGTCAGTCAAGCTAACAGACAAGAGCAGAAAACAACGCAGAGGACAATATTGATTATTACTTCTTTTTTTAACAGAGTTCTCTGGCAGCTATAGGGCTTGAAAGTGCTACGTCACAGCATAGCAATGGCATAGCAACAATTTGAGAAGTTTTTGTATGGATCCAAGCACATTTCAAGCGGTCTTACAGCAAGGTGATGTAGCCAGTGAAACTGACTGATTTGGCTAGTGGGGGCGGGGTGACAACTGGTGGCGAAGTAAAAGTCCCACCTGCATACGATATGAGTGGGTTGCTATGTACCCACATACTGAGGCAATAGCAAAGTCACACCTTAGTGGATCCAAAATAGAAATCTGATGTCAACTTACTACTCCCAGGCCGTTTTTGACGTCATCACTTTCAAGCCCTATTGTGAGCAATCATACATGACATTGGTTCCATACATCTTCTAATCTCAAGACAGAACGTGTGGTCTTTGCATCAGAAAAACGACAGGAGTATAATTATGTCACTTGTATGACGGACAGAATCCATAGGCATACTCCACAGGACGTAGAATGTACCCCCCCCCCCCCCAAAAAACACGATAGAATTAAACATCACAATTAAATATTGCGACAGAGCTTTCGGCCATACTCAAATTTACTACATTCTCAACCCGTCACCACCACGCGCTCTCAGCCGACCCAACGCACGAATTGAACATGCCATGAGATAAACACAATAAAACCATCACCTCTTTGGAACGAGCACGGAGACAGGTACACGGAAGAGGGGCCCTCGGCTGGGATCCACTGAATCAAACGCACGCACCTGCACACGGCATGAGGATAAGAAAATACACAAAAGCACAGTACACCTTTAGGCAGTACAGTGTACAGTACAACTTCAGAGTGTGATGGATAGAACACTCGGCCAGCAATGCCAGAACTGGACAACGCGGTACAGCAAAAGTGATAGTTCACGCAGAACTGAAGGCACTATGCATATAGCCATCTCACCTCCGCATAGTGTTCTCCATCTCCTAGGCCACGGGTATCAACAGATACTTGGAATGTGCGGCCTAGAGTAAGAGAAGAATACAGATTCAAAGCAAGATGCAAGATAAAGGTGATACACAACTGTGGCAATGGTTAACAAAAAGAAAATCAAAGACTTAGATACAGGAATTAGCAGCCATAGGCAGCACTTTGCACAAATAAACAAGAAGATGAAACACCTCCCTAGGGAACACAGGACAAATTGCCTAGTGCAGTACACTCGAATTGTACAAAACCCCAGCACAAGTACTGGCACAAGAACACATGCAGAGGCAGATATGGCAAGATGGCAGAGTCAACAACATCATAATGAAGTTTCTTACTTGAGTTCGGCAAGGCCAAGTAAGGGCAGACAGTCACCCAGCTCTCGCTGGACACAAGTGACAGTCGCAAGTCCAGTGCTAGCTGCGATTCAACAAAGTCAGCTGCACAAGGGAGAGACCATTTTTAGAGATGAACAACATATGGCACAGGCATCAGCATACGAGTAGGGTACCCAGCCACCACTATCCACTACTAGTACTACCCGCTCACAAGACTCAATGTGTACTATAGGCAGTACACCAAGACAGGAGCTGGCATGTCAATAACAATATAAAGCATACACACACACACACACACACACACACACACACATGTTCGCGAGCGCGTGCGTGCACACAGACAGTATACTGTAAAGCCGGAAAGTCTAATGAGTCACAAAGTCTAACGTTTTAACGACCAATTTTTTCCGTTATTTGAAGAAACGTTATTGCGCCATGTTTGTGTAAAGATGCGCATACAGATGGGTAGCGCCATGGCATGGCCAGGTAGCCATCGTTGAACTTTCTGCATGATCGTTATCATGCCAAAATTACAAAAACGCTTTAAAAACTTTTTGGTAGTTTTAAACTTTCCGGTTTTACAGTACATGGATTAGGGAGCATCTCATAAGTTCGCATTTTGTTTCTAATAATAACTTTATTAGGATGACCCAAAGGCTGACCTAAACGTAACGCATTTCGAAACGGGGGTAGGGGGTAGCGCCCATTTCGGATAGAAAAATGAGAGTTCGCACATTTTCTGGATGTGTACAATACAGTGCTGTTCATGTGCTAGACCGCTTCAGACAGCAGGGTACGGGTGTGTTTTAGGTGTAGATCTAACCCTTGCACTACAATACACGCATGCAGGCTACTCAGAGGTGTCAAATGTCACACCAGCCTGATCAAACCGTGTACCTGGCCAGCTTTGACAGTACAGTCGTTGTGGAGGAACTCTGTTTATATGTCACATTGTGTGTACATGTCATTGATTGAACTAAGTATGTAACTAATTACTTACTTGTACTCAGTAGATGCGGTACTACTGTATGTCATTCGCTTCGACACTAGCGTCCATGTCCATGTACATGAACATTGTACATGATTGTGCATACCATGGCATGGACATGTACAGTACAGTAGATCTACACTGAAAATGTGCGATAAGACTTTCAAATAGTGGGGGGAGGTAGGGGGGGGGGGGGTAAAGTCTATTCGAAATGCGTTACGTTTACAAAAAAAGTGCGAACTTATGAGATGCTCCCTTACAAAAATACTACACTGCTACACCACACATATGCATGCAAATAAACATGCTCATGCAGAGATAAACAGACATACAGACATATAGATAGACAGATAACATCCACATCCGAAGATGATAGCAGATCCCGAAAGGACCAGCAGTGTTTCAAGTCATGAGCAGAATTGGACATGGCTAGTCAAGTCCTGACGACGGCAATATCTCTTGTAGACAGAGAGACAAAGAGACTGACATACAGGGGGCAGATAGACAGACAGACGGACGGACGGACGGACGGACGGACGGACGGACAGACAGACAGACATACCCTCCCAACACACACACACACACACACACACACACACACACAAACACACACACACACGCATACACACACACACACACACACACACACACAGCAACAGGAGGCAAAATCGAGAACAATCCAGGAAGCTCGAGCACCTACCATGCTCGCGTGGATAGTGAGGAGTAACGGTGACACTTGTGGTGATAGGCTGTGAGAGTGACTCGTAGCCATCACGTAGGTAGATACCTCTCTGGCGAGACCTGCGCGGCAGAGCAACACTGACTTCAAACCAGATGTCGTGCTCCATGACATCATGGTAGCGACGTAGCCACTCGTAGGCTGGCTCTACCTGGATCATGCCGTGACCGCGGTTGAAGCGAGACGCACCCGACGGGAGGTGGGCTGTATTGATCAGGGCACGGCGCACACTGCAGTTACACAGCACATTGACAAAACAACACCAAAACTGCAATAGATGACTTGCACAAAGATCCGAGCCGCGAGTGAGACGGGGCAAGTGCACCCTGTGCACCCAGGCTACACTGCGGGCACCCTACACCGTCTGTACTGTAGTGTACTTTTTTGTCAGCATGAATGAACGGTGCACGGCATGTACAGGTACATGTACATGATCAGTACCGTCGCTGTCTTCAGCAGCTCAGGAGTCATGTGCACTTGTAGGGTTAGTGGAAGTACAATCATGACTCACTGTATATTATGCGAAGAGAAGCCAGGCGTCCAAACCAACCCAAAATACCCTTGCCTTATTCTTCGGTGAAATATTTATAAAAAAATTGTCTTACTAAACAACAGTGAGCATAGAAGCAACCTCGATGCACCCAATAATATGGCATCTGGGAACAGCAAGGTTGCACGAGGATCCCAAGAACACGTCAAGTTCCATGCTACCCGCCGCCATCAAAAGAACGAAGGATAACTGTGCTAGCCTAGTTCATATTCAATGTAACGCTAACTGTACGGGATATAGGAGCCTGTTGGGAAGGCGTGGGTGAGCTGTAAAATCTTGTACGGTTCGCACAGCACAACATACATGCAGCAGGTATTGCGACGGTTAACGTCGATGTACGAGAGTCATAAAGCACAGTCCATGGGGGTTGACGTTTCTGGGCTTCCTTTCCGAAAGGAAAGTTTTATTTCTTCTCAAATAAAGCAGAATCATGCTGATTATAGCAGTCTGTTATGAAGACAAGGAAGCAGCCATGGACATTGTGCCATACTAAAGGAACGACAGGTAAAAGATGAAGCACTTCATCTGAAAACTCAAGGACTATCCATAAATACAGCAAATGATAATCCTAGCCTGGCAATGTCCAACTCCGTCATGTGAGCCATTCGGTGAGTTATCATGGGAGCATAATGTTCGAAATGCTGAAATTTGAACAGTTGCAGTTGTGTTCGTCGCCACACAATGCCATCGCCAGTTCACATTCGAAATGTAGCCATTTTTACGTTTGTGTCCCTGTACACGGCATGGAAGGCTGAAGAGATTCAACTCTTCCATCGCTTCCTGATCTGTACAGTAGTGCGATTGCGTTCCCGTTCCTGACACTCACATCTGCCTCCGCTAACCAGCATCATGAGCACTCCAATGGTTCCCGCCGCTCCTTCCGTATCGTCCCAGCGCGCTCCGTCAAAATGTGAATTACTGTAGGCAACGGCGCCAATGTATGATGAAGGCGAACGCACTGTTTGATGATGCTCCAACAAATCCTTTCACCGGAATTTGTAAGAAGAGTAGTGGCTCAACTGTAGGTCCAACGCAGAAGGTACCTCACAGCGCAGTTCTGTTACGTCCACAATAATGAACATACTCAGCAGACTGTGATGTGTATCAGACACACTCTGGCATTATTTGTTCCACATTCTCCCAGGAGGAGATAAAATGTAGTTCAATCATGTCTTCAGCACATGGGGTACCGTTGCCTCGTTGCAACTAAACAGGTATGCAAGTTACTTTCCCATGAGACCCAGCCGGAGCCGCATCAACGTCATTAGATGTATAATGTGACTTTCCACCACTCCCTGATTCAATCATAGTTTGCGAGCCTGCGCCAAACTGCTTTCTCACTAGGGCCAGGCATTGGATACATATGGCTTCAGTAAGGTTTACAATGCTATGTCTCTGGCCTAAGTCCAAGTCTAGATACAGCTGCTCAGAGTCAGGGCTGATGAAGTGTTCATATTGGAACAAGTGAGACTTCAACAGTAGCTAGTACACATCAGGCCTGAGGACTTCGCAGCGTTTCTCCAGCACACTTGTTCTCTCCTTCAACTCAGATACTACTTGAAGTACTACTAAAGGCCATCTGGCTCTCACACTCAGTCCTTCTACCCTTCATTTTCGTGGTTTGGGCTTGAAGCCTTCCCCTCGTGACTCGGCAGGTTCCTGGCCTCTCCGCAGTCTGTCCTCAGGAGAGGGTCGCTATGGAGCTAGTGCAGCCGAATCAAAGGGAATCGAGTTCTTTCTCAGACGTCCACAAACTTTCGTTGTGCTTGACTTCGCTTCCAGTGCGGGAAAGTAGTCACACTTCAGGACCACGACGTGCTTGTTGCAGCCTACACCAACGATACTAAAATAATATTCCCTCATTTTTCCGCCTCCCGGCTCGGAAAGGAACGTATGGAATGGGAGCCTCAGTTCCATCTCTCGTCTGCTAGTGCATTCAGGAGCGCAGCAGCGCTTCGGCATGACGATACAAGCCGAATCAAAACAACTCTACTCTCTAGCCAAAAAAAACTAGCTCAGCGTTCGTCAGGCAAAAAGCGAAACTTCGAAAGTCACGAACTCAAAAGGTGGGGAAGTCAGAGTCAGAAGGTCCACTTGCCCCGTCTCGAACCCAGACAATCTTTGTGCAAGTCATCTATTCGGCAATGAATAAAATTAAGGGCACACTCATATCACAAACGTTGCAACCAAAGTAGTTTCATGTCCAGAACGGTTTCCTGTCACAATCATCAGTGGAGTGTCGTGACTAAAGGAAAATGGAAATGCCACTAAATTTTATTCATCGCCAGATTACGATTATTATCTCCACACCGCCTATTTAAAACTGCAATTGCAATACATTGATAAAACAAGGTCAATGACACTGGCTCAGAACCTTGTGTCCACGGGCGTTCATGTCATGTACTGATGAACACAGCATGCACGTGCGCTTTCAACACATGCGTTGCACATGGATCCCATGTAGGGTGGAGCCATAAGAGGAACTTTGATGTGCGGTGTGATCAATGGTCACAGCTTGTTCCATACACCAACTCACCAACATGTACACTTACAAGTGTTGTGCACATCAGTGCATGAATCGCTTCTACACCAATATGATGACACAGTACATGTATACACTGAAGTCTACTAGTATTCAGAGAATGAAAAGCGGCAGGCGTGGATCAACGGTACTTTACAGTAGCAGCAGTCGTGTCATCAAGTTCATCCTAGCCCTGTCCCCGCCACCATGGAATATTGTGAGATGTGTAAGACTAACAGCACTTGCTAAGCCCACAGAATCAGCATGACGGACACTGACCTAAATGCGGAGTAAGGGACACCATTGTCCTTCAGACCTGACAGGATAAGAGCTACAGATGAGAAATATGAACAACACAAGACAAAATCACAAGAACAGGATTTAGAGTAAAGAAAAAAGGACCAAGAAACTGCAAGTTGCGCTATAATTTCCGCTAAACACCACCAGTTGCCAACCAATCAGCTCATACGATAACATTGCACGACCCTGACCGACGGTACTGACGCTCTACAACTAAATGCCTAACAGCTCTAGCACATCTTGGATGCACACTCTAACAGCCTTCCAACTTGGAAGGTTCTAAGTTATAGAAATAACATCCGATTCCATTCTTGCACACAGGATTTAGAGAAAGACAAAAAAGTGCCGTAGAGGCCAAAGATCTTTCCAATAAAACAAGATAGACCATCGACAAGACAGGTCAATGACCTGCTGTGTGATCAAGGATAGGTACTTGATGAAGTAAAGATCAGGGTAAGGGGAAGACAGAGACACATCATCAGAACTCACCAACGCATCCGGCGGCATTCGGAGATGACATGGACGTTCCATTCATCAAGACATGATTCTTCAACGTCCAGGTGGGTACAGATGTGATGGCACCGCCCGGGGCACTAATATCCACACCAAGGTTACCGTCCGCTCTGTCAGGAACACATCAAACATGCCAAGAACTAATCCAACTCAATACTCTTAGGCCATGAAGCATGCCCATGGACTGTCACAGCTGCACATACCCATCACCAGGGGAAATTACTACAAGTAACAAGAATACCAACCACAACATGACTGTAGACTTTCCCAAGCTCAAAACTAAACGTGTTATAGTCCAATACACACAATATATGAAAAGTACGTACGATGGCCCGGTAGATGACCATGTGTAGTTTTGACCGGGACACTTCTCCAGCATGCCATACTGCGCCTCCATCATCTGTGGTGATACATAGGCACCAACACCTGGAGCACACACATCAACATGCACACACGCACACTCACACACACATGCAGGTACGGGCATATACACACACACACACACACACACACACACACACACGCGCGCGCGCGCGCACACACACACACAGACGGGACGGCAGGAGAAGTCTTTGCAAACCAATGTCTCTTGTTGAGAGAGTGAAGACTATCAAGCTTATCATTTTGCTTCCTGTAATAGAAATGATCCATGTGCTTGAAGTACTCGGGTCTATTTAGAAAACCGGACGGACATACAGTGAGCGATGGGGTACTCACGAGAGCTACATGTACTTTGAGCATAACTTCTGTGGATACAAAAAATGATAGCCATTTTTACATAGTAAACTCAGGCACAGAAGTCAGAATGGTGGGTTGCAACTCCGAGTTTAACACTGAGCAATCATCAGACAACATCAGACAATCATCAGGCAACAACTTCAGGTGCAGTATTTGAAAATCGCACAGGAGATGTACATGTATGTACATACATAGCATCAAGAGTACATAACCTACTCTTGATAGCATCAACGATGACTTGAGAAAACTACACATACTGGGGTACATACACGGGTACTTTGGAAGCATACACTCACACATACACTCACACATGCACATGCACACACAACTCACCAATCATTTCGGAAGTAGTGCCACCTGGACAGCCAACGGTCGACATACACGGCCCGTTATTACCGGCGCTGCACACAAACACTATGCCGTGCTTCTTAGCCAAGTCGGCCAGGACTTTGACAGAGTGCCTGATGGAAATAGGATATGGGCAACAACAACGAGAGAAGCAGCGGAATAATAATACCAAACAAGCACAGTCAAACTCACCTAGTGCCTGTACATACCCTGATAAAAGACAATCTCTGACAATGGCCATACTGAGCAAGTACCGTAAAAGTCCGGAAATAAGTACCTGCCCGAAATAACTACAGTGTCCCCTTCATCCTTTTGACTCTATCTGTTGAAGTAAAGTTCAGCCCAGTAAACACACTGCCAGAAATAAGTACTGCTAAGGTTCGTACATGCAGCACATAGCATGTACATCTACATGAAATACGACTTCTCCACTACACACAAGTCAGGTTTGAAAGTTAGTTCATGCCTGAAAGTCAGTACCTGCCAGAAAGTTAGTACGGGTGTGACCACTAGATTCGAAAGTAAATACTTACGGACTTTTACGGTATAGGCTTACTTCTATACGTGCTTAGCATGGACATTGTCCGACGCACACATGCATGGCTCAATAAAATAAATATGCTGGGACAAGAAACACCTCGGACACTACACTTTTCTGTGTCCCCATGGGGTACATTTAATCAGAGTTCCAATGTGTATAAAGAACTTAAAGAAGATACTGTACTAGAGACTGACTGCAAGGTAGAATGTCATGTATATGTGCTCCCTATCCATCATTTCAGGAAAGCCCAAACAACAAGGCCGTCACAGAGTTAGAGTAAATGCAAGTACAGGAAAACCTGTAACTAACGACCACCCCTTGGTGCCCGGAAAAGTGGTCTTTAGTGGCAGGTGGTCTTTAGTTAGAGGTTTGCATGGCGTGACCATAATATGGATCCCATTATATGATTTGTATGTCAAAATGCAGATAATACAATCCCCCACCACTTGCGCACTGACATTCTTCTTTCCGATCATACAACACTTGGAGAGAGAGAAAATCAAGTTTTTTATACCGGAAGCGATACGACCTTTTGACCCGTATATATGTCGACTCACTGGGTTTCCAGAGCAGCGCTGGCCTGGCCAGGCAGTGGACTAGTCACTATCGACTCCATCCTCATCTGTGTGCGACTACACTGGCAACTGGTATCGGTGTGTAGATCTAAAGTGGAAACTCAGTCGCTCCGACTTGGATGTAGTGTAGCGTAAACTGTACTGGTGTGTACCAGTACGTGATGCGGCGATGTTGCGAGTTTTCGCACCTTCACTGTAGACTAGTACAGTATCCGCCATCGTATCCTGGCCTGTGTTCCGTACAGGTGAGTACATGTACCGTAGCATGCTAGCTAGCCAGCACAGACTGTCAGTGTGACCTGGTGAGCTGTGTGATTGCACTTCGACTGAGAGCCGCTCAGTCTTAGTTTCTCCTTCGAGTAGTAAATTCGATCAAAGAGCGCTTTGGATGCGTTCTCCAAGACGTTTCCTATCATGTTTGTTCTTGACAGCACTTGAAATTATGACAGGTGTAGTGCAGTCCACACTGATTCCACAGTAAAAATGAGACTGCGTTCATTTGTCCAGCTGTAGTATCGAAACGACCATGGAAAATCATCAAAATTTCGAGAAGGAGCTTCGAGCAATGTTTGATTTGCTACATCGCGGTTGCTAGTTACGGGTCAAAATTCGACATTGGGACAAGAAAAGGCGGTCGCTGGTCGCGTTCAGCAGGTAGTCGCTAGTCACAGTGCATTTTGAATGTGAGACCGTCCGTGCCTGACGAAGTGGTCGGTAGTACCAGGCCGGTCGCTAGTCACGGTGGTCGGTAGTACCAGGCCGGTCGCTAGTCACGGTGGTCGTTAGTTACAGGTTTTACTGTATACCGGTAGTCCCACCCACAGCTCAACTCCAGTAGGCCAAAATAAACTCCTCCATAACTGGCATAAGGGAAATGTGCCAGTATGCGAGCACGCGTACATGGTGTAAATATTGGCTATTGGTATCAGGTTGTTATTTCAGCAACACAAACAGCTCTGCTTCACACCAGACACGTGTACCAGTGCGGTGCTATACCACAGGCATGCATTTATGCTCCCGTCCGTTTACAAATCTCACGCACACCCACACACTTTTAAAAGGTTCAAAGGTCCAATCTCTGATCCTGGCTTACCCGACATTGTCAAGGTGAGCACCTTCACCGTAGCTGAGATTCACCACATCACACTTGTATTTGACAACAGCAATGGCCTGCCCAAAAAAACAACCCCCACAAATACACACAATTTAGACGGTGTCAGTAAAACTACTAATCGGCGAGACAATGTCAGATCCCTAATACAACAGCATATAACCTTACACAATGATAACCATGGCTATGCATGATCATGTACATGCATAACCAGTGCACCTCCTTCTACCACCGTCATTTCTTTCAAAATCCACTCTACTCTAGCTCCACTCTAACAAGTACTTCAAAGTAGCCAGAATGGATGCACAAGTTTGACGGAAACAACGTCAATTATATAGCCGTGGTTGGCTATAAAAACCCTGCAATCGCCACGCAAAGTGGTCATTGGCTACCCCAGCCATGTATTGTTTGGAATAAAATAAAATAAAATAAATATTCAAGTTTTGCTGTGTACAGTATTCCTATTGCAAAGTGAAGCTCATAAGGAACATGTACATTGTACATTTATGTAGTTTGTAAGCACAAGCACACGACAGGCCCATTGAAAAACATCTTACGGCACGGACGAAGGCAGTTCCAGTTTCCATCGTACTCAGACGAGTATCGCCAATTTTCACAGACAGAATCTAGAATCAGTATGGGTATGTGTGCATGCAAGCGAAAGAGAAATAGAGTGAGTGTGTGTGAGAGAGCAGAGAGGAGAAGAGAGGAGAGGAGAGAGAGAGAGGGAGAGGGGGGGGGGGTGAAGATGAGGATGAGGGCGAGGACAACAGCAATAAAGAAAGCGAGAGAACTATTCCTGTGAGGCGCTGGATCACTATTCTGGCCATGAGCAACAATAAAATAATTATACCTTCCCTCCTCCCCCAACTGGCATAGATTGGAGGCAGACATTTCAGTGCTTTCCACGTGTGAGGGTATTGTTTTTGCAGCTGCCATGGATCATCATATTGACATATTTTCAAATAATTTTAATTAAGCTGTGTCACCAAAAAAAGCGAAGGCGGGAGCAGGCCCTATAGCCAATGGCGGGTGGTGAGGAAAGGGCCAAATGAAAGTGCAGTACACGTTTCCTGAGCATAGGCTACACAAGGGAAGACAAACAAGGCCGGTCGAGGCAAGGGAATACACAGTTAGTACAACTCAGCCACAATTTGTCGGTAAAGCACATGACTTTGGTTGAGATAGAAGCAAACATGCTCAGCGCCTCAATATGCCTACCATTTTTTAAGATCCCAAACCAGTTCTAGTCTGTAAAATCAGACTACCTGCCAATATGGTTAATCGTGGGCAAGTGGACGTGAAATTCTGTGTCATCTGAACTCCTGTCTCCATTACATAGCTACTGTAGTCAACTGTCAAGATAGACCAAGCTATTGTCATTAGTCAACTGTCAAGAAAAACAAACAAGCTATTGTCATTTACCTGGGCACCAGCGGCCACACCATTCTTTACAGGTTCATCCGGAAAGCATGCTGCCGAGATTCCTGCAACATGACTTCCATGGGAGCCTGTACATCCACACACATCCACACAACCACCCACATGTACACATCCACCCACATATACACATCCACCCACATATACACATCCACCCACATATACACATCCACCCACATATACACATCCACCCACATATACACATCCACCCACATATACACATCCACCCACATGTACACATCCACCCACATATACACATCCACCCACATATACACATCCACCCACATATACACATCCACCCACATGTACACATCCACCCACATATACACATCCACCCACATACACACATCCACCCACATATACACATCCACCCACATGTACACATCCACCCACATATACACATCCACCCACGTATACACATCCACCCACATATACACATCCACCCACATGTACACATCCACCCACATGTACACATCCACCCACATATACACATCCACCCACATATACACATCCACCCACATGTACACATCCACCCACATCCACCCACATATACACAACCACCCACATATACACAACCACCCACATTATACACATCCACCCACATCCACACATCCACCCACATATACACATCCACCCACATGTACACATCCACCCACATATACACATCCACCCACATATACACAACCACCCACATATACACATCCACCCACATATACACATCCACCCACATGTACACATCCACCCACATATACACATCCACCCACATATACACAACCACCCACATATACACATCCACCCACATATACACATCCACCCACATATACACATCCACCCACATGTACACATCCACCCACATATACACATCCACCCACATCCACCCACATATACACATCCACCCACATATACACATCCACCCACATGTACACATCCACCCACATCCACCCACATATACACATCCACCCACATAGCCAATGCAGTGCATGTGAGGATGATCATCAGAACAGCGTGTGCACTTGGCCGCAAAACAGTACGCGGGTGCGGGTACCGCGGTAGTCCCCTACCCCTGATTCAAGTAGTAGTAACTGAGGTGCTCCTAACCCGCAGCAGAATCAACAACAGTCAAGTACAGTGACTACACACCAGTGAGGCAGTGTTCAGAACTGTCAACAGAGTATGAAAACACATTCCGATGCTGCACAGCACAAACAAGTGGCATACATGTGTAGACATGTAAACAGATATGCAGACGCGTGGAAACTCACCCGACGCCACAACAATGGCCACCGTGGCTCCCTCGTCAAACACATCCACGGTGTAGTTAACCATGGCTGAAAAGCGGGAGAAGCAAACCAGATGCACACACGCATGGACATACACGCGCACACATGCGCACACAAATACATACATGTTTGCACACACGCATGCACACAAGCACACACCAATATACATGTACCATTACCCGTCTAGAATTTGTTCGTGACATCTCAATAAAATCTTCGTAAAACGACGCTTCAGCTGGTTCTCTTTATCGCAATCCTTAAACCATGACCAGGACTGATCATTACTCCAAGGACCAATACTCACATGCTACATGGAAAGTATGTAAACTAACCTGTAGTTTTAATATAAGAAAGAAAAAGGATCAAAGAGCTAAAAGTTACGCCACAATGTCCACTAACACCACCAGTTACTAAACAATCAGCTCATGCGGTAACATTGCACGACACTGACCGACGATACTGACGTTCTACAACTAACTGGCTAACAGCTCTAGCACATCTTGGATGCGCACTCCAACACCCTTCCAACTTGGAAGGTTCTAAGTTATAAATTAATCCTTGGCTCTCCATCCGAGTCCAAAATTGTAGTTTAGCCTTCATTCAGAAAAAGAGAACTATTGCCTTCCATTTACAGTTCCTCGGGAGTCATCACGGAGGTTTGGCATCACGAGTTTCGCATTCACGTTCACAGACACTTTTTGGTTCCTGAACTGAAATTCAAACTTTTGCACTTTTCGTTCGGAAAAGCAGTCATCACACATCGCGGATTCGTCTCAGGAGTTAGGACAGTCGTAAATTTACTACATTGTATAGCCTGTACACATGATGTACGCCCAACCTGTCAACATCATGCAAGCGTGAATTCTGTTTGCTAATCCTTATCACAATGCGAATTTCGTCACTGAGTTTGACTTTCATTCGAGTGTGAACTCAAACACGAAACTCGTCTTGTAAAAACCTCTGTCTACAATGTAGCTCAGTACAAGTCATCCTGTAGAAAACCGCACATGCAGAGAGGCCACACTTGTGCCATCACGAAATACACCAGACTGTATGGTTATTTGCCTGGTGAAGTGGAGAAGACATGCATGAATGAATGAACACTGAAGCATACATATAAATGAACACACACACACACACACCATGTACATACACACACACACACACACACACACACACACACACACACACACACACACACACACACACCATGTACATACACACATATACACATGCACATTCAATGCAAAGGAAACAGGAACTTACCATCACCAGCAAATGTGCTGTACTTTCCTGAAAGGCGAAAAGGAAGAAGAGGTTCAACTCCAGTCATGTCACCGCTTTCCTCGACACCTATTGCAACTCTGAACAAAGATTAGAACACACACACACACACACACACCACTCTGGGTTCGAGTAATGAAAGCATGCATGAAGATCCATCAAAAAAGGACTGAAAACCAGCCCAGCCGGTAAAAACGATTCCACAGGCATCAACGTAAAGGCGTGCACATTTGTCAGAGTGAAAACTCACAACATGCAACATATCAATACCCCTTGTCTTGGAGCATACATCTTCCCAGAAACACCCATACAATCAAACAAAGAGCACACGTCACCTACCTCCAGTTGTCTCCATCATGAAATGCAACAACATCCACTGCAGCAGATCCAATGGATGTCTTCTTCATGACAGATGACAGTACATCCAGACGAGCTTGCAGTTCATCCTGGTGATCCTTCTCTTCCTGTGCCCAAAACCGCACCAGCAGGAAGAAAAGATGAAAAAAAAAACAGAATAAGCATACGCAAGTCACTTGCTTGAACATTGACACGACACATCTAATCAAGAAGTCCATGGTAGAGGTTAGTTCGACAAGGATTGAGTTTGTATGCTCTCACAGCGCCATGTGCACGCTGGTATGTGATCACATGGTTGGGTTTGTCTGGAGAAGTTGGTAGTAGAAAAGCAGCATGTACAGGTCAGCACTGAGCACTGATACGTGAAAAGTGCAAGAACAAACCTGATTGGGGCTTGGGTGTGCAGTCGACCACTTCTCAAGGTCTAGCGTAGCTTGTGCGACTGCTTGCTGGTGAGACACATTGAATTTGCTATTCTCTTCTTCTCGCTTTTTGATGCGCGTGTTGACGCTTGATGGGAACAGCTGCTCTAGGAGCTTTACTCCAACGTGCCACATGCCGGTTGGGTTCTGCCACTGATTGTTGAGCTGAATACACAAAACACCCATGTAAACAGTCATATCCGGACACAGATGTACACACACACACACACACACACACACACACACACACACACACACACACACACACACACACACACACAAACGCACACACACACACAGATGTGTACACACACATATGCATACACACAGACACAAATACACGGACAGACAGACAGACACACACACACACACATAAACACACCTCATACTCATGCTCATACACATCCAGACACACCCAGACACACACACACACACACACACACACACACACACGGACACGCACACACATACACACACAGGAATCACAACCATGTACCGGAAGAGCAGAACACAACTACATTTCTCGATTTCACGAATTATCGAATCAGCTAGGACATGAATCAATTCTGGTTCTATCTGCTCAGCATTGGTATTATCCATGAATACAACAATGCTATACAACGTACATCAGCGCCATGGTTTTCCCAACCACCTATTTATCCGGAATGGGCAGTACGGCTGTGCATCCAGTTTTTCAAGCTTACCTGGAGTTTGCGACGTGACACACCCTGAATCTCAATGTCTTCATCGCACGGCGTAGAACATGTCGTCACAGTGGTGGACGTGTCCACATCTCCACTGCCTGAAGCATCGATGCAGTCAATCATCTTACGCTGCCCAGTACTCGTCACCTGTATACATTTGTGTAGCAGTAGTAGCAACAGCAGCAGCAGCAGACATCACAAGTTTATCAACCCCGGGTGGACGCCTGATTGAGGATTGCGTGCACATTATCATTCATAGTGAACCCCATTGTCGATAGTGCAACAACACATTACCCCTGCACCAAACCAACTCCATGTGCCATCGTGTGCCAATGTTGCTCCAAGACTAGGATGATTGCCTGGTTCTAAAATACTGCTGTCGGCGTCCCATGTTTATGACTTCCATTGTAATAAAGGGTACTTGTACTTGCTCGCTGCCAAAACTGGTCACGTGGGACTACCTCCGGGAGAGAGGAGAGACTCAAAAGGAATCTTGGAAATATGACCCATTTGGCCATTGAACCGTCCGACGGACGACACCCCCTGAAATCCCCAAACTCGGGGTGGACTTGGAAATGATCCCACTTATGGGCTCACCGCACCTCAGTAAGTGGGCGAGGACAAGGTGCAGAAAAAGGATTAACGGCATCAGGGTATCTGTCCCGGGATGCAGCTGCAGTCACCCTTGCCCCCGGTGAAGGTAATACTTGTGACTTGCAGCTACATTTGAAAATCACACGCCACGACTCGATTTGTTTATTGCTCTTGTTCCAAGTTCCCGTCTTTTACTATACATCTTAAAGGGGAAGTTAAGGCTAAAATCAAAATTTCACCAGTTGTAGTCTTCGGGGTGCGGAGTCGAATGGTCTTGGTCCGAGGAAGCTGAGACGCTCCCTTCCTACTTTAATCCCAATCGAACTCGCGCACTTCCACCGAAACTGGGTGACTGCGCCCTACTAGATGGGGATTTGTATGCAAAATGTCACTAAAAGCGCCATTTCGTTCTTATAAAAGCACGTATGACCGCGATTGGCCCATATGTTGTAGTCTTTTGGACGCTGAGTCAACTGGTTTTGGTCAGAAAAGGCTGCGATGCAACGTTCAGCCCTTATTCCCAATCGAACATGCTTGAACAAGCGGTCACGTGCTCCTGCGTACACCAGTCACCGTGCCTGCAGGGTACTACTTACTAGCCTGTTCGACCTTTTTTGGGTGCAGTCCTGTCACTCGAGTTGAACTCGAGTTGAACCCTTGGTGTGAAAGTTGTCGCCTGCTGGCGCTGTGACGAGGTGACTTGGGCACGCAGGAGCACGTGACCGCTTGTTCAACCATGTTCGATTGGGAATAAAGGAGGAACGCTGCATCGCAGCATTCTCGGACCAAAACCAGTCAACTCAGCGTCCAAAAGACTACAACATATGGGCCAATCGCGGTCATACGTGCTTTTATATGAACTAAATGGCGCTTTTAGTGACATTTTGCATACAAATCCCCATCTAGTAGGGCGCAGTCACCCAGTTTCGGTGGAAGTGCGTGAGTTCGATTGGGATTAAAGTAGGAAGGGAGCGTCTCAGTTTCCTCGGACCACGACCATTCGACTCAGCACCCCGAAGACTACAACTGGTGAAATTTTGATTTTAGCCTTAACTTCCCCTTTAAAGAACCCCGTTAGAGCAATAGCTTTGGCAGTCAACGTTTCGACTGGACTAGCCTGTCATCTGCATAGTGCTCTGTAATCGGACTATTGGCAGTATTGTACAGTAGATATTGGTTATAACGTGCCCTTCTGATTTTTCACATTTTATCACTATAACCGGTATACCGTAAAAGTCCGTAAATAAGTACGTACAGTCGTTCCTCTCTAATCCGGCACTTGTTTATCCGGAACCCTTGCCAACCGGCGCACTTTCTGACGAAACCGATTTTTTTCGTTCAACTCCTACATCTTAATCCGGCACTTGAATTCCGCCTCCGGCAGTGACTTTTTGAAACGAATCGCTCAAACTGCACGTAGTTTGATTTCATAATCCGGCAGTCGTAAATCGACTGTGCGTGTGTGTGCAAGAGTACGTATACATGTGAACATGTTCTGTTTTACTTTATCACTGTGTATATTCCTGGAGAAAAGTTGAGAATATAAAGCCGTGCACCAAATATTGGGGTCGACACGGAAAAACCCTGCGTTTTGACGTATGATACATGCATGCAATTGGGTAGGGCCGGGTCAGAGGGCAGGATTTCTTAATCCAGCACCCTCGTTAATCCAGCAGAAAATGCCGTAGCAAAAGGTGCCGGATTAGAGAGGGACGACTGTATTTACTTTCGAATTTAGTGACCACGCCCGTACTAACTTCTGTCCCCGGGGAAAATTGCGGCAAAAAATCGCAAAAAAACGCGGCAAAAAACGCGGCATAATATGGCATAATTTGCGGTGAATTTGCGGTAAATATGCGGTAAATATGCGGTGAATATTATTGATATCATCTCGCGGCGGCAAGTTTGCAGTTGATAAGAGGCAATTTTCAGTGAGTATGTAGTGAAATCAATCAGTTACAAGTCTCTGGTGTAAGCGCTCGTCATATTTGAGTACAAAGCCGCCACCGGATGAGACGTTGCCAACCGAACAGTGCACTGTGTGTACATGTAGTGCAACAGAAAAGTTCAAAAACGCGGGAAAATCGCGGAAAATGCGGTCTTTTAAAAAATCGCAAAAAAACGCGGAAAAAAACGCGGCCGCGGAATCGCAATTTTCCTCGGGGACAGTAACTTTCGGGCACGAACTAACTTTCGGACCTGACTTGTGTGTAGTGGAGAAGTCATTTTCATGTAGATGTACATGCTACGTGCTGCATGTGCGCATCGTACCGGTACTTATTTCGGGCAGTATGTTTATCGGGCTTGACTTGACTTAAACAGACAGAGCCAAAAGAATGAAGGGGGTATTTCTTTCGGGCAGGTACTTATTTACGGACTTTTACGGTATCACTACAGGCGATTTTCAACTGCGCGCCTGGCATACACATTATACACGTGTGGGTACTCAATCGCGCTAATGTAGGGCACTGATACATGATGCATGCTACTGCACTTTCTCCAGTCCAGAGTGAAGAACTTCTTGGCTGCTAAGGCATCATCCAGTAAGCATCAGACCAGAATATGCTATGAAAACACACATGTGGCTCCAAGTCGAGACATCAATGCGTCACACTCGTGTGTTGCTATTATTTATAGACGATATTTTTTCTGTACAAAGAGGTGTTTTGAATTGTGATTCTGTATCCTTATAGCCGATTTATCGCTGTATCCGATATATTGGTTATAATGATAATTTGACTGGCTTTTTTTCTGATTTTGCTTTTGATATTTTCATTTTGTATCAATATAGCCGATTTATCATTATGTCCGATGACTTTCTAACCGATATCTACTGTACTGGCAGTACATTGTAGTACTCAGCAGTTAGTACTGTTCTGGACATTTAAATCCGATGGGATGACCGGGGCCGGCGCCCTTACTGCTTTTAGCGTGTACATGCACTGTAGTTCACGTACACTGTCAAAATGGACCAGCAGTGCTCGCGGCTGCAAGGCCAGCGCCCCATGACCGCTTGACTTCTTAACGGATTTCAATGTCCGCTACAGTACATGCAGTGGTGTACTAGCACTGTACTTTGTGACTCCGCCAACCGGTTTATAGTTGCAACTAGGAAAGGTTTTTTTTAATATTTTTTTTCGGAACACTGTTCTCAACACAATGTGTTCCCTGTCTTGTGACATGCTGTCATCGTCATGCACGTATTGTACTTGTACCTACTTGTATACACGGCAAATTTCTCCCACCACAATTTTGAGGATACCTAATCTAAAGACGCACTGAATACAGAGCAAGGCATTGTCGAACAAACCTGAAGCCCTGGAGCTCCGGGATCAACACCAGTGTCCAAAATAGCTATTGTCACATCCCGTCCGTCATAGTTGGGCAGTTTGGTGAGGAAAGCTTGGGCACCTGTTTCCTTCTTCGGCACCAGAGCCTCAAGTGGAAACACACCCTCTGGGGGTACGGAATCCGCCATTGTCGGCACCAGTCAAACTACGCCGCGATAGGTTGTATAATTCTCGATAATTATAAACAGAATTGAAGAAAGTATGACTGTTTGACGAAAGAGAATGGCTTCTCTTCTTTGCGAGTAAAGACACCACACTCAACCAAACAAGGAAAGACCAACAATTACATTGGAGATATTTTTTGAAATTTTTCGTCATGCCACAGTGATTTTTGCTGGGAAAGGAAAACACCTGCCACTGGGTGCGCACGTGTAGCGTCATGTTGATAATGCACAGAGCGGATCGAGGGGGAAACCCGCTTTTACTTTTGAAATATTTTTTGGTAGTAAAAACTGAATGTTTGTTTGCGTACGTAAAATTTTGATAGTGGCGCATGGTGTTGTCGAGGACTCTTTGATAGACTAAACTAACTTACTTGTTACATGTACATGTACCTGATCTGTGCTGCTTAGTTTGCAGCTGTGACTGCTAGGAGTGAAGACGACATAAGTACATAGTATCAGTAGTACTAGACCAATAAAAGATCTGAAGGCATTCTGGCGTCAGCATTTCAGGATCTGTGACCTGTGGGTAAATTATTTTGACAGACAGTGTATCGTGCAGTATGGAGCTGAATGCTCAGGTCAGTCAGTAGTAACAATAGTATAGTATAGTGTAGTTTTGGAAGTTTGTTTGCATATAGCCATCACCTGCATTTGTTTTTAATTATTTTCTGTATACTTCGAAGTAAATTTCTGCAAATAAGCCAATGACATTATTTGGAAAACAATCCTTGACTGCATTGAAGCATGAAAGTTTGTAGAAACATGGCTGTCTATAATCTCTTTGCCATTCTCATAGAGACCAGGAAAGTGCAGAAAATATTTCTAGGATGAAAAGGGTGCATCGCTACATGTAAGCTAGCGAACAGGCGTGACCACTATAGTAGAGAGTGAGGCTGCTACTACGTACTATCCCCAATACGTGTACGCATCTGTAGTGTTGCGGGACAGTCCCCAATACTGGCAATAGTAGTACATGTGCATGCCGAGTGCTGGTAAAAGGGGACATGTCTACATAATTGACTGTAGGAGTACATGCCAGAAACTGAGAATGGTGTAGCGGGCGTCATGCATCACAGAATTCGAAACGCTCATCCATTGAGGCACAAGTGTAATTACTTGGTTTTTTTAGACGTCCAGGTGCCTCACTAGCTCTGTGCTCTTTTGCGCCCTATGCATTGTAGTTAGAATAGCCCTACAGTAGTGCAGTACCGCATGCCGTCCATGGCAACCAGTAAAGAAGTTATGTGAATGACATCATTCCATATGCTTTGTATGGACATCATTCCATATGCTTTGTATGGACATCATTCCATATGCTTTGTATAGACATCATTCCATATGCTTTGTATGGAGTGATGTTACCCAATACAAAACACCTCTAATAAATAATTGAACTATTTGCCTCGCCTCTATAGTGTTGTACAGTCCGTTCATAAAAAGATGGACTTCTAGCTTTTGGCCATAAATGGGTCAAACTTTGAGTTTTTTTTGGAATTTTTGTATGCAATCCCCTATGGAATCCTCTTCCAATTATGTTTCTGAAGTCTTTTTCTCCAAAAAGACCTAGGGCATGTTCGATTGTACGAATCCATCAGCCCCGGACCCGGATTCGCCAAATTTGTGCATGTTCGATTGTACGAATCCGGATCCCGAGAGCACGGATTCGGATCCAGTCAACCCACCTCCCAGAGACGGATTCGACGGATTCATTTCGATAGTACGACTCGTATCTACTCAAAACTCGCAATATGCGTACACTAGGTCAAGAGTTTACCACAACGCGTACAGATACTACGGGATGAGCTGTAGCAACGCGGTTGCTAAGGCCTTGAAACGGATTATCGGTTGTGCACATTCGATTGTATCCGTCCGATCGAAGTTATCTGGTCGGCGGGGATCGGGATCCAGTTTCTACAATCGAATGCAGCCCTAACAAGAATATGATTTTGGCCAGGTTTTGCCCCGAAAGCACTGAATTGGGGAAAACCACCAACATCCAGGCCGTTTGACCCTGCCTGCAACAGTGCATTATGCGGTTCAAACCCCAGTTGAGGTACCTTTTTGGACCCTTTTTCAAATTTCTCAGCACTGCACTGTGTACGATAAAATGAAACATCGCCAAAAACGGGAGCTCGCCAGAGCCAGGGCCCATCTTTTTATGAATGGACTGTAGGTGACCAATTTTGTTGGAATAAAAGTCTAATTACACGGCTGACCCCCTTTGAAGAATTATAAACACTATCTGTTTCAACTCCTTCAAGCTGATGAGTGCTATACGTATTAGCAAGAGTACATAAGAGTGTGCAACTGCCCGCACAATCTCTATGCAGTGCTGCGACGGCAAAACTTCACATCACGTGATATGGCTCAATAGGTTGCACTGGCAAACCGTGCAAAATGACCGCAATTGCAAAAGCGCAAGGCAGTTGAACCCATAGCAGGCTTGCGTACAACCCTGTATCTATCATGCACCGTGTGCAAATATAATGTGTACGGGTTTGTCACGTGATGTGAAGTTCTGCCGTCACAGACCCCATCTATAAATAGCTGGAGTTGCACACTCTTGGGGGTTATGCACTCTTGATATTATGTACCCAGCACTGATGAGGAGTGCTTGTGTATGGTGAGTGGCGGCGTGTGTTTTTGCACATAAATAGATCACTTCTCGTTGTGTGCAACGACATGTACTTTGCAGTTCGTACACAAAACCTCTCTAACCTGGTTGTGTTTTTCAACACAATTGCAAGCCGGTGGTAACGCGGATGTGCGAACTTGACTTGTTTTGTTTACATGTACTATCATTCAACACATTGTGTGGTGTCACCGCGTTATGTCAGCGTGCCTTTCCAGATCCACTGTTGGATATGTTCTTGTGTGTGTGTGCGTGCGTGCGTGCGTGCATGCATGTGTGAAATTGTGGTGGCTAGAGCATTTGTTCTGTGACTCGGACCGTAGTATGTAGTGGTCCTGTGGTTAACCTTTAGTATAAATATTATAGTGTGAATCAAAACAGACATAAGCCTGATAACAATACATGTTGTATTTGCTATTAGGAACGCTGGTCTTGTCAGACATTCTGTTTGTTGTGTGTGTTGTGTTCTTGTTGCTCGTAGGCACAAGAGCGAGAATGGCTGATAAAGAGTCAGGTGCCACTCACCATCAATCAGCTGAAACTTTGCCTTGAGGTACGTATTATTGCAATGCAACAAACAGAAACTAAGCCGCGGCCTGCTGCTGATGCTGTGATAGTAGCGATTAGATGTAAACACACACGCACACACACTCACGCACACACACACACACACACACTCACACACACCGCACACACACACACACACACACACACACACACACACACACACACACACACACACACACACACACACCACCACCACCACCACCACCACACACACACACACACACACACACACACACACACACACACACACACACCACCCTGAAACCTTGAAACTGCCACCTAAAGGTGATGCAGTGCTTCGAAGAGGCAAGGAGGGCAGAGTTACTTCTTGCATTTTTGTTGAGCCAGGTACTGGGGACGTGTGAACTTCCGAGAACAGGTCGGGCATGTGATTGTGCGGTGTTCGGAGCGAGAGCTGCATGTTCTGCGGTTGCAGTTGTGCCGGTGGTGCCCCGCTTTGCTCCGGAAACAGTGGGCACGGGTGTGCCGGTGGAGCTGGCATTGGCTGCAATCAGGTGGGCGAGATGCATCTGTCTCGGAAACTGGAGCGTCACCAAAGCTGGGAGAACAGTTGTGCACGGCAAATCCACCTCGCCTGGCAAACCAACGATGGTACGTTTCACAGCACATAGCACCGGATTGTTCGCAGACGCTCTTCCCTGCATTTGTGCCGACGAAGTCCGCTTTGACTGGTGAAGAGCCGCTTACAACATACTGACTTGACTGGCGTATCAAGTTGCAAGTGCCGTGCAACAATGGCATCCGAGATGGGATCCACTCGCCACGTTCAGCTGCGAGGTTGGACCAATCAGTGTATAGACCGAACGCCCTGAGGTCATCACGTACCACATCACGCCATCGATGCCTGGGGCCATGATCAGGGCGTGGTGCATGGAGCCACGAGAACAACACTGCCTCTGGAAGCCGATGGTCATACATTCTGGCAATGTGGCCAAGCCATTGCAGATGTCGATGGGTGACCATGTCAGCAACTGGCTCTGTAATGCACATTCTAAGTAGCGAGGCAGATGACAGGCGGTCATCTCACTGTTTAGAACGCGAGATGCCGAGGATGACACAAACGCAGCGGTTGTGAAATTGCTCAAGGCGGCGTATGTCAGCACGCAACAGTGTACGGCTCTCAGACCCATACAACAGCACAGACAGCACATAGCATGTGTAGGTGTGTTGTTTCGTCTTGGATGCAAGGGATGTTTTCCGAAAAACTGACGAGTCGAGGCTGCCAAAGCCGAGAAAGGCCTTGGATGCAGCAGCTATGCGGTTGGACACATCAGTGTGACATTGTCCGTCTGGTGTAATATCTGAGCCAAGACACGTGAATTGGCTGACATGCTGTATGGCGTTTCCCTGTATGTTTAGTGGGGTACGGTCGCTGTCGTGGACTCGGTGCCAAACAGCCATGAACACTGTCTTTGTCATGTTGGGAGACTGCCCGAATGATCCGCTGACCTCCACAGAATACCTCAAGCATGCGCTGGGCACCCGAGTGGCTGGGTGCTAACAAGGCTACATCATCAGCAAACTCACCGTCTGTGATGAACATAGCATTGCCACGCTTAGATCTTTTGAAAAGCTGACCTGCACAGGTACGAAGTGGGAACCCAGATACTCCGCACTCTTGTGTGCGTGCGCACCAACGTTCCATCACTGCACCAGCAAACAAGCACACACACACACACACACCACACACATACCACCCGCACACCAGGTGCCGGGTTTTGTTTTCCTCACTAACATACACAGGAAGTAGAAGCAGTATTGTAACACCGGTCTCACGGAGAAACGTTAAAAGTTAGTCACCAGAAATTTTCAGTTTTACCTATTGTTGTAATGCTGTTGCATTTCATGCATCACCGCTTTGTGATGTTATTCAGGAGAATGTCTATCAGGGTCTTCCTACTGCTGGGCATGGAAGGAGTAACGGTACTTTGTTAGCTAATAGCAGCTCTGCTTAGTTGCCACTCTCACATTGTAAAATTCTCAAACACAGCTCTGAGATAATTTCAAAAACCTGCCATTGAATACTTCTGCAAAATGATCATTCCAGGCCAGTTGCCCTTTATCACTAATCAGTAGTGTGTGAGTAGCAACTAGCAACTGAAAAGGGCGATTGTCAGTTCGACTAACCATCGTTGTCTCTCCGTCGGCCATGCTAGGGTCTCATTGCGAGTAGCTGTAGTGTAGTGCTGCTTGTGTTGTGTATGATGCTGACCTTTTTTTTCTTTGGCGTTTGTTGTTGTTGGGTGCCAGCGCTGTCTCAACCTCTTCAAGATGAATTCGAAAAAAGACTCTAAAGAAGGTATGGATTTCCTCTTTTGTGAGAGGCACTGCTGGATTTGTTTTTCCCAGCCTCATTTTGAAATATTTCCATGTAGACTAGACATCCTGTCCAGTCCAATCCGGCGTAGCATGCTTTAAAATTGCTTATGCCTTTAATAGGCTGCGTTTACACGACAACGCTGGGGGTGAAAACGCAACAAAATCCTTTCGGATGCATGGTTCATTTACACGGTACGCGGAACAAAACGTAAAAGTTGTACACCAAAGCGGAAGAAAACCAAAACGCTGGTCAAGGTGGAAGAATTTAAAAACGGAAATGTTCTGCCGGATAAATTTGGGTGTATAAACAGTCGAAATGGTGTGCTGGCCTCGTTTTCCGTCACGTTTGTTTCGTTTTTGGCCGTTCACACGGATCCGACAATCAAAAAAATTGTTTTTACAATTTTCGTCATGTGACGAGTGTTGCCGTGTGGCCTGTTTTCAACTTTTACTTGAGTGTGATTGGTGCTTCCATGACAACACTTGGCACATGACGAACTTTGCCGGATCCTTTGCTCCCGTGTAGACGCGCGAAAACTATACAAACCGGGACCACCTCGGATCGGCTTTGATCGTGTAAACGCACGAAAACGAAAAAAGAAATGCGGGACTGAAAACGGAAAACTGGTCGTGCGTTGTCGTGTAAACGCAGCCTTAGTATTGAGATGCAGCCAGCACAGGAGGATTTTTCATGCACTGTGGAGTATTTTTGATGGAATGTACTTGCATTTGTTCGTGAAAGTTTCACCTATGTTTGGGTTGGGGCTTCCAGTGCGGGAATATAGGATGTGGAAGCACCATGGGTGTGTTGTGTTCTGTGTTTGCAGAGACGGCTAGTTCGAAGCCCTGCAAATATGTATTCTCAACTCCTCAGTAAGTTCAGCATCTTATCTATCTTCCCAGATCTTCCAAAGCATGGCATTACCGTGTTGTGACTCTTCCCTAGCAGAGATCTTTAGCAGGCATTGCATTCTGCATCAGTAAGCTCTGCCAACAGGTATTGATTGAACACTGTGTGAACTATTTTACTTCTGTGTAGCAAGCAATGTTTGAACTCTGTCTTGCTCTTCAATTGAAGTTTAACACAAGCATCTGCATGCCGCACTCACACAACGAGCAACCAGTTTGGGGAATAGGATAGTTTGTCAATTGCTTTGCCAGGCTCCGAGTGAGTGACAGCTTAGAGCTGTGTGAATGTGTGTGTATGGCAGCTGGGCAGGGCCCTGCTGCGGAGGCTGAGTGAGCCGTATGGAGGCAGCCGGGCAGGGCCCGGCTGCGGAGGCTGAGTGAGCCGAGGCTGAGTGAGCCGAGGCTGAGTGAGCCGAGGCTGAGTGAGCCGTCTGAGTGTGAGAGGCTGAATGAGCCGTATGAGGAGCGTGGTAAGCAAGGTTGACTCCCCAAATAGAGAACCTCCTATTCACTGTTAACTGTAGAGGGGGTACCACAGGTTTTGGACAATAGTAGAGTGATATTGAGTTACTGAGTGTACAGTCGGTACATTGGTGACATTCGGTTATGCTCTGGCACCCACACTAAGTGGGCTCAGTCTGTCTGATCAGCGCTTACCCAGGACCGGTGCTGCCAGCTTTCATGGCAGTTTGCATGTGGACTTCCGTCACTCGGCAGTGCAAGGCACGGCCGAAGTTGAGAAAGAAATCCACTGCCAATGCGGACAAAGCAAGAACTGAAATCAGGAACAGTGGACTTCGGAGAACAATGAGCGCGTGAGAGTTTGTTGGGAACAGAGCATGCGCCTTCTGTGTTAACATATTTTTGCGCGTGCGCAAAAAATCATATTGACTTGTAGTTGTAGCCACAGCAATTGACGTTGTGTACATTGATTACACCACCACCACGGTTGCTCTCTGTGGCCGATCACACACACTTCCCACAACAGCAAGAGGCTCCTTCCGATTACTGAGATATATTTCCTTACCTTACCTTCTTCTATATTAATGCGATTAATAGTATAAGTGAAGCGGACATTACAAAATGATGAATGAGAATACATGTATCTAAAATGGTTGTTCCTAATCGATTTTCTTGAGACTATCATCAGGGAAAATCGTCTCACAATAGAGGCTATACGGCTGTACGGTACAGCATTGACAACAGTCTTTACTACGGCCCGTGCGTTCACGGTGAAGAAGGATGTTCTTCCTACCCAACTGATTAGCCATGTGATCTATCATTTTGAATGTCGGCATTGTGATAGCCGATATGTAGGAAGAACCCTTCAGCACCTGAACGCACGCGTCAAACAACATGTACCATTGTACCTATTGTCAGATGGAGCCAAAGCCCAGCGACCTGGACGAGGCCGTCCCCGCAAACAGGTGCCAGTTGCACAATTACAACAGAACCACACAGTACCGGTTGAACGGACTACAAGTACACAGGTACGTGAGACTGAAGGAAATGGCCAAACACAGGTACGGAGACCAATAACTAGGAGCATGACTCGTACGCGGGTAATAGCATCTACAACCGGACATGGACTGGCAGCGAGCAGTAGCGTGGGATTGTCGTTGGGTGCAGAGGACGGGATGGAAGCGGAGGAGGATGAGGAAGGTGAGAGTAGTGATGAAGAGAGTGAGTTGGACAACCAAGATGAAGATGACCGGACTGAAGGTGAGACCACAACGAAAGGGTCAGCCATTAAGAAACACCTCTTGTCTAGTAGCCAATGCCGCTCAGTGTATGATGATTCATGCTTCACTGTTTTGTGTCGTGCTCGTAGGTTTCGTGAACTTAAGGTATTAGAAGCTGTTTTCATCCGTAAACACAATCCTAATCTATGCATTCAGAAAGAAAATGTCACAAAACTGAGACTCTTCACCTAGCATTCACACACGTATTCATTCGCATACACCTACACCTCACAGTTCCTCACTCTATCACATTCACCTGCTTCCACGCCTTCATTTCACTCACCTTTTGTAGTAGCTCACACCGTCAGAACACTCTCACATCTTTTCTTCTAATTTCTTTCGTCTTCTCTCCCACTTTAGTTTTTTTTCACACCTCACCTTGTATACTTCCCACTATCCATTAACCTATAAGTAGTTTGTTTCTCCGTATAGCCTCTATTGTGAGACGATTTTCCCTGATGATAGTCTCAAGAAAATCGATTAGGAACAACCATTTTAGATACATGTATTCTCATTCATCATTTTGTAATGTCCGCTTCACTTATACTATTAATCGCATTAATAAAGTTATTGTCTCCTCGTCGCCTTTTCATTTACTTCTTCTATATGCAATTGTTTTTCTCTGTTTTATCTTCAGCCAGGAAGTGATGAAAGCTATCGTGGCAGTAGATGGGCATCGGATTGTTTATGCGGTGAGTGGCTGTGAGTGACTGGTGAAAGTGTCTTTATCCAGTTCTTTCCTCAGCATACACACCAGCTGCTGTAATGCTGCCCCATAGATATTTAATTTGATATTGAAGGATTCCGATGGCTATCCTTGTCCTATAACATACATTATTGAGTGAAGCAGGCTCCCAGCCCAGCCAGGTACAATAGTGCTTTCAAGCCAATTGTTGTTTGCTTTGTACTAGTTTCATCATGTCTTCCGGTGTTGTCTCCTCTTGAATCGGGGTGTCATTAATTAAATAAATTCCGACTCATAATGTCATATTTAAAACATCTCAATGCTGACTATTTTTATTTTTTTTATTTCACCGTCCAATGTCAGAAGCCAATGCAAAGGAGGGGGCGTTAGCCAGCCATGGCAAGAGAAGGAAAAAGAAAGAAGAAAGAACATAATTATCGGAAGAAAATAACGCATCAACGGGGGGGGGGGGGGGGTGAAATTTATCACTATGTTGACTATGGTGAATAGTGGCGACTAAGGGATGATTGCAACAGTTCCGTGTTGTCCCTGAAACCCATATTGTACAGATCGTTGAGTATTTACCTCCCTGCCTCCCCAAATACATACCAAAGTATGCCCTAGACAATTCATTTCTGCAGCATACTACTGACTACAGTCTTGCTCAATGAAATCCAGTCACGTCACTCAAGTGTGCGCCTTGCGCCGTTTCGTAGCCCGGTGTTTGCAGGTCTAGGGCTGCGTAACGCCCGGCGCGTGCTTGAGTGACGCGGCTGGATTTCATTGAGCAAGACTGTAGATAATCTCATTACTCTGTACATGGTATAGTACTGATATGTAGTCGAAAAGGGACTGTCCCAGTGAACTGGTGTTGAATTGTATGTTTGACTTTGAAGTGTTGTCTCCATCGGCGTATTCTATTCAGGATATATCCCTTCGTTTGCCATCAGCCAAGTCCAACTCTGCGCCAGTGCTTACTTCACTGCGGGAGAATGCTGTTTGGCCACTGATCCAGGTGAGACAACTATAGGACAGTGCAGCAGCAGCAGTCATTTGCTTGTTTGTGTATGCAACTCTCAGCTGCTGGCCCCTTGTTTGTATGACACCATTCTGTGTGCATGCAGCTCTGAATAATTACATTACTAGTACCGTAAAGTCCACTGCAAACGCCCACCCCATTTTTGCAAAATCTGCTGGCCTGTACACACTGACCCCATGCACTGTCACCACTACTGTACAAAAGTGCATCTCACACCGTAGAGCGAAGAGTGCTTTGCTACGGTAAACTATGTCCGCTTTCCTGGTTTCAAAATCTCTTTGGGCACTAGACACAAGCTGGCTCGTAGTGATTTTAAAATGATGGTTGTTTTATTTCGCAAATCCAAACGGGAGTTTCTTCCGAGTAACAAGGTAGTGAAGAACAGAGTATTGCAGGAACCAAATACACTTCTGACGGTGTTTCAAGCCATCATTTCCAAATCACACAACGCTCAAAGTCAAGTGTTTTTCTCGAACACTTCAGAGTTTTCAACAAGTTAGCAGCGACTTTGTAGGTGTAGATTCTGTGACATACCCTGTTCGACTTGCAACTGCAATACTGCGACCAGTCACGTTTTTGAATGACGCTTCGTCAGAACAATCACTGTTCCGTTCTGAAAGCACGACATTGTGGCACTGCATAAATTTCATGAAAACCAGTTGGATTCTATGGCATTACCACATGGAGAGCGAACTACCACAAAGGCGACTCATTCATCGAATGAAAGAAAATCTCGACAGAAGTTTTTCTTTGCAGCAAGATAATGACAATCGCTTCTGCAGAGCCTCCTGGTAAGACATAGACAGTTTGTAGGCATTACAGCCGTTTTCGTACGCATTCGACCTTCATGCCAGTTTTCTACAACTATATTGACCTGAAAAACACGAAAATAGTATGGACCCGCTGGGGTGGGCGTTTGCTGCGAAGTGGGCGTTTGCAGCGGACTTTACTTTACGGTATAGCTTTGCAAAGCCTGTTGTGTGGGTGTGTGTGCGTGTGTGTGTGTGTGTGCATGCGCGCGCGTGTGTGTGTGTGTGTGCGTGCGCGCGTGCATGTGTCATGCACATATTTCCCATGGCCTGCACAGCTGCGTACATCAGGCCAGTGTGTATCCCGTGCCATCAACTTGCTGAGTGATGCAGCACCGGCTGCACTACTGGCCAGTAGCCATGCGCAGAGTCATGGTGATGCGGCGTGTATGGTAGGTAGTCACTAGTCAATACTTACATGTACATGTGCATGTTATAGCTACTCTTGCGCATCGTATACGAGATATCTGTTACTTGATTTTGCAGGTGTATGGCTGACAGTGTTTGCGTGCTCGCTTGCTCGCATGTGCATACTTCTAAGTACATACACCATGCACTTGCACGCACACGCACACGCGCACACACACACACACACACACACACACACACACACACACACACACACACACACAATCTCTCTCTCTCTCTCTCTCTCTCTCTCTTACTCTCTCTCTCTCTCTCCTCTCTCTCTCTCTTACTCTCTCTCTCTCTCTCTCTCTCTCTCTCTCTCTCTCTCTCTCTCTCCCAGTGTTGCAGCTGTACATGGTTGTTCTGTGTGTGTGTGTGTGTGTGTTGCTGTTGCTATTGCTGTTGTTGTTCTCCAGCTCATGCAGCAGCTGGAGGTATTACTGAGTAAAGCTGTGGATAGTCTGATGATACCGGATCAGTGGGATCTAGGTGAACAAGCTCGATTGAACCATCAGGTACAGTCACTACCTTCGTTCGCATAGTATAATCATATGTAATAATAGTATAATCATATGTAATAAATATCACACAAACAGTGTGTACACATAATGTGTAATATCACACAAACAATAGAAATATGTAATGAGAAAAGGACCTATAAGTTACGAAGTACTAGTTGTGACTAACAGTCCACCAAAATATCGAGATAATATGCTGGCAGATAGTGAGACAACAAGGCACAACACTTTTAGGTCCTTTTCGCTTTACATATTACTATTGGCTATTGACATCCGAGTTTTTATCAAACAATAGAAGTTAACAGTTACTAGTCAGTTTGAGCACTCTGGCAAGGTACGTTCGGGCCTGATTGGAAATTTTTATTTCCATTGCTATCAGGTTCGGCCTCATTTCCTCTGTGCTGCGCTGATGAGTCCACAAAGGACGAAACAGTTCTGTCCGCAGATTGATGAAGTTAACAGTTACCGTATTTTCCGGAGTATAAGCCGCACCCTCCATTTTTGCCATGAGATACAGATATCTACCCTATTTATCACCGGTAATTTGATCATGGAAGTACATGTATAAGCCTTTTTCTTGGTGTGAAATTTGAGTGTTCAAAGTGCTGCTCATACACCGGAAAATACGATATGCGATTACATCATCAATTGAGATGCTTTGGCAAAGCCGCGACGCGGCAATGCACAAGCTGAACCCTCGTCCGTCCGACCAAGAGTACATAGCCTGGTGTTGTACTCTTGAGTCTTGGTCCGACACAGTGGACAAATTCTCAGTCCCAGCGACACGCCGCAACCCATTTTGGTGATAACTTTAGTTTCCCTTGTGTGAAATTGTGAATCTTGGGTCTTTTGTGAAAGCTTGAGCTTTCATTTGTAAGAGGAATAAAAATCCGTCAATATTTTAAACTCAAATGTTTGAAGAGAAGTGCGGCTCATTGTGGTGTGGACTATTTGTAGTCTGTACTTTCATGCTGACAAATTTTGAATGTACAATTAGGGAAGCGTTCAGGCAAAGTTTTAGGAGGGCAACATAATCATTGCCAGAGTTACACAATGTGGAAACTTGCTTCGTACGCGGTGTGAAAACAGACCCCCTTCGGAGACTTCTAACTTCTCTTTCGATCATGATAAGACCATCACGCTCCAGTGTTTTTTGCTATTGAATGGTGGGTCTTTCCTGCTTCTTTTGAGACCAAAATTGTTAAGATTCAATGAAAATGCTTGAAGCTCACCAAAAGATACGAAACATGCTTTTAAAGAACTCTCAAACTCCAATGATTGATATTATATATTTTCAAGGATTCTCCAGACGCAAATGGATGCCTATCAAAGAGAGTCTCATGGGGAAAGGAAGTGAAGGTGGCTGTTATGAGAGAGGGAGGAAGGGACCTGATGAGGTGAAGGAATAAAAATAATACAAACAGGAACAGCAGAAGCTACTTGCAAAGATGTGGTATACCTTGCACAGAATACTTGTGGTGCAGATGGTGTCTACGGACAGCAACAGTAAATCGGCTAGCGGATGTCAGACAGCGGATTTTCTTCTGGCAGCTTATTCCAGGCAACACTGAGACGAAATAGAGGGGATTGAGTGAAGTATGTACCAGACTAAGGGAGAATCATAGAAGATGGATGGCGACTACTACGGGATACGGAAAAAGAGAAATGTTTCAACAATGATGGGTATCGGGAAAAAACGTGGTGGAAGTAAGCGAGTCCTAAAATTTGCTGCCGTCATGCAGTGTGTCCCTTGCAGCTGACGTCCCAAGAGCAGGATCTTGAAGCGAAGAAATGAAGACGTATGACGTATTTTGCCCAATGGATATCATCAGGTCATTGGTGAGGAAGCGGAGCCAAAACGCAAAACAGAAATAAAAATAACACAGCCAGATGAATGCGCTAGAAGTCGCAAGTCCAGGTCACACACAACAGTCAGTCTTCAATTACCCAATGCTTGAATAACGACATGACATGACAAAGTATTATGCAATGAGGTCAACAATGCGATCGCGCTTGTGGACATCGCCGATGTTATGCTGGAAGTGCAACGTTGGGTTAGGGATTTCACCTTCGGGCAAATTATTCAGGAAGTCATTGATGTCGTCTTCATGCGTAATAGTGCAACGTTGGATTGGGTACTTCACCTTCGGGCAGATCATTCAGGAAGTCATTGACATCGTCTTCGTCTTCGTGCATGATAGCCATATTATGCAGTACACACGCAGCGAGGGCGATGTCGGTCACATTCTCCACGTTCGTCACGTTGAGATACTTGAGCTGTCTCCACCTCCCTTTCAGAAGTGCAAATGCTCGTTCTGTGCACATCTGGGTCGATGAATGCTTGTAGTTGTAATTCGTTTGAGCTGCTGTGAGATGGCCGTCATCTCTGAAAGGAGTCCTTAACCAGGACAACAAAGGATACACCGAATCTCCAACAATAAATGATTCACCCGGGAGGAAGCGGTTAACGTCTGCTGTGGTGAGCTGTTTCAGTGGACTGTTGTCAAAGACACGTGCATGGTGGACGGAACCCGGCCACCCACAGTACACATATGTGAACATCAGGTTCCTGTCACAGACTGCCTGTAGCACGATAGAGTGGAACCTTTTCCCATTGAGATGCGTATCTGCTGCCTCTTCCGGTGCCTTGACGGGTATGTGGCATCCATCAATGGCGCCCAGCACACCATGTATAATATCATTATGCTGTGCGGCATGACAATCGGCTTGCACTGGTTCCCTTCGGTCATCATATAAGCAATGTCGTCATGTCTTGCGGCTCGAAGCACACGAGCCGAACAGTCACCCATGCCGTGGCCCTCGATACTTCCCCCTTGTCTGCCAGCTCTCGCATCGTGCTTTTGCTCCCAAGCCACCGTAGCGTGATAAGCAATTGCTTTCTGATAGGTGTGGGGTGCACGACCACCATATGCACAGATTGTGCGGGTTTTGCACAAGCAATATCAACTGTAGCTCTTTGAAGTCGAACATGATGGTGGAAGTCGAGGTCGATCTGTATGGGCGCTACTGTTTCAAAATAATTCACCTGCCGTGGTACGGAAGCACGCCGATGCAGTCCACGAAGTCGGCGAAGCTCAGGAATGCCTGGCTCTTGGGACAAGACACATATCTCATCATAAACGGTGTCAGGCATGTCATCGCCTCGCAAGAGGCTGGCGACTGCAGTTGCCACAAGACGAGCATTGACCCAAGTTCTCCGTCGACAAAGATCACCAGCACTATCCATTTTGCCGCAGCTCGCACAAGACCAGGAGATAAAAAAACATGGAAGCACGAAGAAGAACGAACCAGGTACAATTGACAAAAGCCAAGATAATAGTATTACAGTATGAATTAGAGCAGGTGGAGCACCACGAGGGTGGAAGTACGATGAGTACGCCACAACATCCATAAACGACTCTTGTTGACTTTCCGTATGATGCGCATGATGAGTACGGCTTTCGCCCTTTTGGATGACCTGTGAGCGCCTTTTTTTGGCTTCGTCAACATGGCAACAGTCAAGGTCCGAAATAAATCGGTCGATTCTGAAGGATCCGACGGATCTGAGATCTAGACCTAGATCCGGATCCAACCAAACGATTACAGCCTTTAATAGGGCATGTTCGATTTGGTTGGATCCGAATCCAGATCGATTGAGTGGATCCTTTAGATCCACCAAGGTCCAACCAAACGCTGCCCTTGATTGAATCTGGAATTTTAGTGATTTTTGAAGTTTTCGATGAGGGAAAGCAAAGATTTCCACATCATCCGTTCTATTCCTGCCATTTGTACACGTACAGAGTACAGTACATTTTTGGCGAAATAGAATCTGGTTTTCCAGTCAACCCTGCTCCCAGAGTAGGGTTGGTCGGATCTAAATCCGTTGGATCTGGATCCTGATTCGTTGAAACGAATGTGCACATACTGAGTGGATCCGATTGATCTGGATCCAGATCCAACCAATCGAATGTACCCTTAGCGTCCATAAGCGAATCCGCTAGTTCACCTCCCTGACGCCATTTGCATAACCTCTATACATGTACAGTAAAGAAAAAGGACCAAGGAACTACAAGTTACGCGTCCACTAACACCACCAGTTACTTGACCATCAGCTCATGCGATAACATTGCACAAAACTGACCGACGGTACTGACGTTCTACACCTAACTGGATATCAGCTCTAACACGTCTTGGATGCGCACTCCAACAGCCTTCCAACTTGGAAAGAGTGCACACCCAAGACGTGCTACAGGTTGTAGAGCTGATATCCAGTTAGGTGTAGAACGTCGGTATTGCCGGTCAGTTTTGTGCAGTGTTATCGCATAAGCTGATGGTCAAGTAACTGGTGGTGTTAGTGGACATTATAACGTAACTTGCAGTTCCTTGATGCTTAACCATTGGCTCTCCATCCGAGTCCATCATGCGCTGTAATGTGTACAATGTGCTGTATTGTGTGCAATCACTGCAGGCTAACCTGAGACCGTTTGTCCCCGACGACACCATGATAGTTTTCTACATCCACTGCTCTCGCCTAGTGGCCGCCGTGTATACCATTGCACCGGCGCCTCCGCAAGCTGGACCGGTAAGTGTGGCGTATGTGTGCCAGAGTATGTGCACTGTACATGACTTGTACTTCAACCAAATAGTACAGTGTTACTGTATACTCACTCGTACATGTGTTGCATGGCTGTTATGGGCGTATCTCTGTCTCAGACTTCGCCATGCTGTCTTGAGCTATAGAATTCAAGATTCTATAAAACAAAACAAAAAGGAGCTGTCGGGATTCTCCTGGTCTTCCCCATTGTGGAAGACCGGCACCTTGTGATTGTGATGATTCGGGACCTGGTGATTCGCAGGCTAACAACCCACAACCACTCGACCAAAGTGCTGATTGTTTACTCTCTTGGTACGTCGGAAATCGAAATGGATCATGATCTACTGCAAACCTACCTGGCTACCCTGTATTAAAAAAATCTATACGGCTGTATGTAGTAGCTGAGTTGCCAAAGTCTGCTTTTTTATAGGTCTTAATTTTGAACGGCAGTGTCACCTGTATTAATGGTAAAATATTGTCATGTTTTGGCTTTTAACTGGCAGCATTGCTGATGGTATATGTTCAATAGCCGCACCCCCTACGACTACATCAGATGCACCAAGTCCTGTACATATCACTGTGTTTCATCTTTGGTTTAGATTCTGTCTGGATTGTGTGTGTGTGTGTGTGTGTGTGTGTGTGTGTGTGTGTGTGTGTGTGTGTGCGTGTGTGTGTGTGTGTGTGTGTGTGTGTGTGTGTGTGTGTGTATGTGCGTGTGTGTGTGTGTGTGCGTGCGTGTGTGTGTGTGTGTGTGCGTGTGTGCGTGCGTGCGTATGGTTTGCAGAGGATACCTGTGGATGCCCCAGTCCGTGCCTACGTTGGCTCAACATTGTACGTGATCCCTTATTATGCCATGTACATGCAATGCTGATACGTTACTCTATTTGTGGCAACTTCATGGGAAATGTACTGGGTTGCAGAAAGAAAAGAAAACGAAGCCCAGCACTCCACATCAGAGTCGTCGGGACGAAACACCTCACTGACTGTTTGCAACTACAACATGGGCAAATACTTTCGGAGATGGGCGACCTCAGGGCGCCTGGACCCCTCGGTTCCACACGATGGAAATCGACGTGTATTTGCTGTTTTGGTATCTTGGCATTGTAGCATTGCCAGCTAGCATCTTGCCATTGTGGCATGGTGAGCTAAATGCCCTTAACAGGAGAGCTGGAGAACTGGCCCACTTTCATTGCTGCTCTGAGTTTCTTGTCAAATCAATCTTCAGGTATCTGATACCTGTCAATGCGGGACATGTTTCATGTCCCTGTATGTCAGCTGCAAGCAGTGCAGCTCGAAACATGGTGCTGGGCAGTGGAAATTAAGGAGCAGGTTTATCTTTGTGTGGAGTTAAATGTTACTTATCCTGTTGCCAGGTATTGGAGCTTGCTTGATACTACATGTATACCACAACAAAAAGAGAATACATGCTGGTGCTGCTCAGCACGCTGGACACCTTGTATTGCAAATCACAAACTATAACAACGCCGGAGTGGAAAATAACAAACTAAATTTCATACGACGATGTACATGTGTGTAAATACCGTCAGACCTCGCTTACCGTATTTTCCGGAGTGTAGTGCGCACCTTTGTATAACGCGCACCCCCAATCTTCATTGGGGGTGCGCACTTCAATCTTCATTAAAGCACATGCATTTCATATTCGGAGCATAGTGCGCACCTGCGATTTAGGGCCTAAAATAGCACATCTAAAGTGCGCACTATACTCCGGAAAATACGGTATCCGGTCCTCTTTTATCCGGTTCCCTCGCCATCCGGAAGAAAATCGTTGGTTACCGATTCACAGCATATGCCTTGCATACATACAGCATGTGTGTTCGATTATCCGGTTCCCTCGCCTATCTGGATATGGAAAACGGATGTGTGCGGTTATGCGAGGTCTGACTGTACAATGAAATGGCCGGTCATTGGAAAATCCAGTGGCTTGGTTGTTCTGTTACACAGACCATGTTCGCTGTTGTGCTTTGTGCTCAGTGATCGTGGACAGCAAAGACACGAAGTGACGGCGGTCAATAGGGTAAGCAACAACGTCTGGGATGTTACTATCCAGTACAGTACCTACTTTTCTCGTATACGTCTAATTGTTTCTTCAGAACTTTTCAACTCCATTTCCGCGTATCCTTTACACTTGAGAACACCTCCATCCTAACACAAGCTCTCAGCTGCTCCGAATAGAAAGTCTGATTTTCTATTCAGTGCAGCTGAGAGTCTGTGGGGTGTGTAAGATGCAGCTGAGAGCCTGTGGAGTGTGTGAGACGGAGCCTCACGGAGGTGTTCTCAAGTTTATATATCTACCGTATTATCTCTAATATAAGCACGATCCTTTATTTTTTCAATATACCTCCGCCCCGTGCTATTAATGGAAACATTCCTTTATTGGAGACTGTTCCATTATTATTTCAACCTCATTCCAGAGGCATGTTGCCATGCCAAATTTATATGTCAGACACACACATTTCAGGGGTTTTTCGCCGGTACAGATAATGAATTTACACAGTGTGCTTATAATGGAGACTGAGCACTTTATTTTTTGAATGCCGCCCCAAGGTGTTCTATTATTGGAGACGTGCTATTATTGGAGACTGTGCTTATATTAGAGATAATACGGTACTTCAAAGTAATATTGTCCTTTTCATTTGAAGAGTTTCGGACTAACGGCAATTTGCCTTTGTCTTTCAATACGTTTCATTTATGGACTGAATTTCACCCAACGAACTGTTATTTCTCAGAGCTGGACGAAGTTATTTTGACTAGATTTCTGTTTGTACAGTAGTTCAACATGAGACCCCGACAGAGCACAACTTGCTGCCAGAACGCATGTGCGTGAATATACTTTTTCTCAGAACACAATACACACACACACACACACACACACACACACACATACATACACGCATACACACATACACACACACGCGCGTGCGCACGCACACACACAATTTCTGTCTCTCTTTCTCGTATGTGCGCATCCACCTGCCCACTTACTCACTTTCTTGCGTTTAGCTGGTATGGTGCTTTCTCAAAGTTTTTCACGGTTTCAAGGAGACTTGCTGCTCTGATTTTTGTTTCTTGTGCTAGATTGAAGTAACCATGCCCTGGGTAGCAGAAGTGCTCTGTCTACTCACAACCGCTCAGCAGCTTTGTCAGCAACTCAAAGAAAAGGTTAGTCCTGTAGCCTGTCTGTTTGGCCAGGTACAGTCAGAGCAAAGTAATGGTACATTGTACTAGTTCACAACACTCACACGGATGGCTGATGATGAACACTAGATGGCATCACAGATACTTCAGAAGTACATTCCAGGTGATGCTGGTTCTGGCCTGTGTCACCTCTAGAGCTGTATTCACAACTGGCGTATGTACGCGTTAAACCACAGAGTTTGTGTGTATTTTGCTAGGTTTAGGGTCGTATGGAAATTGTTCTATTTTCCACCGTTTTTCAGGCACATACAGAGGTGCACGCCAGTCACTTTGACTAGTAGTGTCAGAACGTTAGTACTTTGAAAGCTTTTTTTGTGAAAGCCTGAATGTGCGTCCTGGCACGTATGAAACGCAAACGTACCGCGTATACGCGCCAGTTATGAACACAGATAGACGGCTCAGTGTGTGGACGACCGCTCTCCTTGGCTTTCTTCAACCACCCTTCTCCGAATAATGCCAGAGGTGCTGATTTGAAGATAATATCGTCATCTGCCACGTAGGCGAGACCTTTGTTCATACAATGGATGGCGGTGTTCTTCCAGCACTCTTTATTAATATGAGCACTGGCATTGCCAAGAAACTGGAGGGTCTGTTGGCAGGCGCCAGTGTGCAATGCAATTGCCAGCGTGCCAAGTGCGGCCTTCAAGCACGTGCGTTAGATATCCAGTGGCATCCGAAGGAGGGCCCGGTTGTTGGCTCTCTGCCGGTCACAGGACTTGGTCGCCGGATATGCAGCTTTCCTTTCAGCAATTTGCCTAAAGGAAAGGAGCTGTAGTTGGATCAGAGCTATGCTCTCTGTCGTGCCAGCAGAAGAAAAAACTTCCAACACAAATTGCGAACTTGCATGTGTCAGCTCGAAGCTCTTTCCTTTCGCAGACCCACGTATGTATGTGCGTAAGAGGGGGGGGGGGGGGGCTGACAGGCTTACCGGCACTGTAACTTGTAATTATTCTCGTACTTGTTATTCCTTTCTGTACGAGTCATACATATGTTTTGGTGTATGTATACGCAGACTGTGTATGAGTCGTATGTAGGTTCAATGGAATTGCAGTGGTTTTTGGCAGTCAGAAATTGTATTCTTCCCTCTCTCTTTTTTTGTTGCTGCTGGTGTGTTGCTGGTGTGTTGATGTACTGCACAGATCACACTGATGAGATGACAGTAACTTAGTAGTAGTACTACTACTACCAAGGGGTTATGTACTCTTGCTACTAACGTCACGCATACAAGTATGTGTCTATTCTAGATGTGTGCACTTTATCTGAGCCTCCTCTGGATTCAGTCACTCCTTGATGACAAACCAGCCAGTGCCAATGGGCTTAGGAAGCCATCTCCCCAAACAAAAAAGTACGATCCATCTCATTATTTCTTCGGTTGGCTAGCCGTGGCGTGGCTGCTTCATTCTTGCCTTGTTTGACATCATTCTTCTTTTAAAACCATCCAAAAGAGCCTCATATTTTCCAAATCCCTATGCAAGTCATATAAACTTAGACCATCTTCTGAATTGTTTTACTTTCCTAACCTCACTCTGGTTTTAGTTGACCGTATTACTATTACCACATGCAAAGCCATGCAAAGTCATCATCAATAGAATTTTAGACCAATCCCGCTCACTCCCTTCACGACATGTAGGCTTTAGATATGTTTTTTTCTGTTGAGTTGGGGGCTAGCGATGAAGAGCTACACGTCCGACTCCTGTCCAGGTTGTAGAAAGAAACTGGCAGCTCGCTTTCTCATTTGTTTAATATCCGCCATTGACTGCATGGCTTCCCATGGCTCTCATATACTTCATATATCAGAGTTTGTGCCTGAGCTTTATTGTCATTAGAACTCACATCCACAGTTTAATTCTTTAAGTTCGGTATGGGTTGTGAGTAACCTGCCATTAGATCTGCAGTTGTACTGCTATACCTCCTTATTCATTTTTTTTAGTAAGCTGTTGTTGATGCTGGTGCTGTCGAGTGCTATCGGCTTGTTTGTTTTTTACTTTGTTGTGTACGTGTGACACTGCCTGGCAGAATTGTAGTAGTGTTAGTGCAGTAGTGCAATACAATCTTATCAGAGTTTCCAATGTGACTTGTGTATGTTTGGCCGTGGGCAGCCTGGCTAGCAAAGCATGTGGATTATACTGGACAGCTGCGCTAGTGCTAGTGCTAGTGTGGGTGTAACACACTCTAGTACACTGTAGTACATTGTCTTGTGGACCACCATGTATTCTTGTACACCACCATGTATGCTTGTACACCACCATGTATGCTTGTACACCACCATGTATGCTTGTACACCACCATGTATGCTTGTACACCACCATGTATGCTTGTACACCACCATGTATTCTTGTACACCACCATGTATGCTTGTACACCACCATGTATGCTTGTACACCACCATGTATTCTTGTACACCACCATGTATGCTTGTACACCACCATGTATGCTTGTACACCACCATGTATGCTTGTACACCACCATGTATTCTTGTACACCACCATGTATTGGAAAGGCTTCCTGTCTGAAGCCTTTCCATACTGGTACTCGATGTTCCAGTTTTGTGACACGAGAATGGCACGAGAATTAGTGTACCGCTGAGTGTACCGCTATACACGTGGTCGACACGTAGTCGACACGTTGTTGATACTTTTTTGACACGTGACCCCGTCAACGGTCTGCTTTGTGCCAATGCCACTCGGTAAACGCCGATGTCGCGTACGACAAAGACGACTATCCCGTACGCGAAATAGTTGAGAACTGCATGACGTGGACCTGACGGCAAGGACAACTGCGAGGAGGCCCCTTTCGGTACCCCTGACGGGAAGGAGAACTGCAGAAGTCGACGAAGTCGAACGAGGAGGCCCCTTTTCCGTACCCCATACTGCAAAGTGCCATTGATGGATACCTTTTGCACCTGGAACGACCCCTTAAACGCTGTCGCGGCGACTATCCCGTACGCGAAATAGTTGAGAACTGCTGACGTGGACCTTTTGCACCTGGAACGGCCCCGTAAACGCTGTCGTGTCGGCGGAGTGAATGTGCAGGGTACTAGGGTGAAAAAAATTGCTGCAAAGACGTCCCCTCTACTAGGCTCTAGGCCTTTGCCTTTGGAGACATCGTCGGCGAACTGAATGCGCAGGGCGAAAAGAATTGCTGCAAAGACGTCCGCTCTAGGCCTTTGGAGACATCGTGGGAACTCCTTCCGGTACTATACAAACTGCTGACGTGGCCGTGGACATGTACATGGAGAGTCATGGTGGGACTTCATGTACATGGATACATGGTGGGAATTCCTTCCGGCACCCCCGTACCGCAAAGCCAACGGTGGGGAAGGAGAAGTGCAGACGTGCAGGAAGACGAACGAGGAGGAACCAGGACGAGCGAGCAATGGCAGGACTAGCTGGACCGTAAGTAATAGCTGAATTGTGCATGACAACTTGACACCCATGCGGCACTCGCCACTTGCCACTGCATATTTCTTGTCCACTAACAATGTCTCTCCTCTGCCCCCTGTGTGTCCACGGCCCTGTTTCTGAATTGGCCCGATGAATCGAATGTCTTCCGCAACTGGAACGGCCCCGTGAACGCTGTCGCGTCGGCGACTGAATGCGCAGGAGGGAAAATATTGCTGCGAAGACGTCTCCTCTAGACGACGGTAAGGCACCCCATTGATATGTTGCCAGTGTGTGCCAGGGTATCGCGCGATGGTGAATGAGGAATGATGAAGGGTACGGTGGGACTGTAGACCTGTTACCTTCTGCTAACACGTTATCAGGTGGAGAGTGTCTTGTACTCACGTTATCAGGTCGAGAGCGTATTGTAGTCACTCTCTCTATTCCTGTACTTCATTACGTTTAAGGTGTACGTATAACTTCTCAAAAAAAATTTAATGGTCCACAGTCGTGTCGGAAGGGTACGGTGGGACTGTAGACATGTTACCTTCTAACACGTTATCAGGTGGAGAGTGTCTCGTACTCACGTTATCACTATATCAGGTCGAGAGCGTATTGCAGTCACTCTCTCTATTCCTGTACTTCATTACGTTTCAGGTGTACGTATAACTTTTCCAAAAAATATAATGGTTCACGTCTTCAGATAGAGAGCGTATTGCACCCACTGTCTAGTCTCTGTAGTGCATTGAGATTTTGTTGATCGAACATGAAATGGATACACAGACAAAGCCAGGCCAAGTACATGGCGAGATGTCGCCAGAAGAACGTCTTCAGGTAGAGAGCGTATTGCACCCACAGTCTAGTCGATTTTGTGGATCGCACATGAAATGGATACACAGACAAAGCAGGCCAAGTACATGAGAGAGTGGACGATGTGCAGATCGACACGGCCTGCGGGTACTTCATTCTTTTTCTTCTTGCTGTTGCTGCTGTCCCCGCAGAGGCTGTTTGTTGTTGCTGTGTGCGTGTGTATGTGGGTGTGCATGTGACTAGGTGTGTTAGGGGTGGGAGCACGTATGGTGTGGCTGCACACAGGAGTGAGAAAGAGAGTAAAAAAGAAAACTAGGATAAAAGTTAATCACTGCAAAAACATTGCCAAGTATGTGAGCACTTTGGACTTGACAGAAGAGTGCACGGGCGACGTTGACAAAACATACCGCCGTGACTGTCACTATCATGACAGCAGGGCACATCGCACGCAGCATCGCAGATCGTGTCGAATTGCGCATCATAATATTGCAAAATTGCTCCTGTGCATGCAAGTGGATTTCATTGCACTTCTCAGTTTGCGAAATGCTCGATTATGACAATTCTCCGTGTGAGTGCACTAGCCCTGAACAGACATGTAGGTGAACCGTTTGTGGTGTCTCATAGCCTACCTCACGACCTTCTGCTTTCTTTCTTCATCACTTGTATCTTGCAGGTATATCATCCCGTGACGACCACATTTAAGTCTGAATTTGAAGTGTGAAGATGCTTCAGCAACCACATCGTACTTTTCCATTGCTTTCATTGTGCTTCTACTGTGCATGTGTGTAACTTGTGGGGTAAACATGTGATGACATTGTATGCTGGCGACTAGGCCTTGGCGGATAATGCCGGCAGAAAAATTGGCAGAATTCGGTACTTTTTCTGGTAAGTTTCATGCATATTTGGTAAGTGGATAAAGAAATGGAGCAGAATTCGAGGAATTGCCCGCCATAAGGTTTGTATGGTTCTGCCAATTTCGGTGCAAAAAAAGCAGAATCTGCCACCTTTTCGAGCATTATCCGCCAAGGCCTACTGGCGACACGGTCAGATGTTCATGCGTCTAACGTACACCTGCATGTTATGCATTGAAAAGGGTTTGCCACTTGCGATCCTGGGACGAGTATCAGGTCCGCTTTGTCCTGTGTGGGCTGTATCAGATTGCTGTTCACTTCTCTATCTGTTGGATATGTGACTTTCTGCAAGTTTCTGCTGTATGATGGCCACGTCCTTGCTTGTCACTTTGTATGATATTACATTCTGTATTCGCTGCTTCCATGGCATGGTCTGCAAACTGCAATCCTTGGGCAAATGTCATGTTTGCTATGTTGTGCTTTGGCCGTCAGCTTGTCTACACGCTGTAGTTGAATTATTTTTGTTTCACAACTGACTTCCTCAAGTACGGTGGCCACTGCTTTGCATGGCATTATACATGAAGAATTTCCTGTTTGTGCCGTGTGCATGTGCGTATGTGTGCGTGGCCACGTGTGTGTGCCGTGTGTATACACATGTTTGTGTATCTGTGTGCGGGGTAGCGAGGCGGGGAGGGCTGGTATGTTTCAGTGTGTTATTGCAGTCGCATGGCTACATACAGTACATCGCGCGCGTGGTCATCATGTTTACCTTCGGGGTTGGGGTGGGGAGGGAACGGAAAAAGAGCTGAAATTATACATATAAAAATCGCTCTGTGAGCGGTTTTGAAAAACCTTTACTGGTACTGCCCCGTCGTAAAAGTAAGAAATTAGAACTGGCCCATTGTTCCCCCAAATGCGAACTGATCAACCTAAATCGCGAATGACGGGACCCGAACGCACCAGTAGCACGAGGTTCCTACCTGTGGATGCAGATGGGGACGTTGGTCCGGACCATAGGCCATGTACTGTACTAGCGGTAGGCTTCCCTATCAAAATAATAAATTCTACTACTACTACTGGTGTTACCCTATGATAATTGCCGTGATCCTGTGCCCTCCCGACCTCGTGCTACTGGTGCGTTCGGGTCCCGTCATTCGCGATTTAGGTTGATCAGTTCGCATTTGGGGGAACAATGGGCCAGTTCTAATTTCTTACTTTTACGACGGGGCAGTACCAGTAAAGGTTTTTCAAAACCGCTCACAGAGCGATTTTTATATGTATAATGCTTGTACACCACCATGTATGCTTGTACACCACCATGTATTCTTGTACACCACCATGTATGCTTGTACACCACCATGTATGCTTGTACACCACCATGTATTCTTGTACACCACCATGTATGCTTGTACACCACCATGTATGCTTGTACACCACCATGTATGCTTGTACACCACCATGTATGCTTGTACACCACCATGTATGCTTGTACACCACCATGTATGCTTGGACACCACCATGTATTCTTGTACACCACCATGTATGCTTGTACACCACCATGTATGCTTGTACACCACCATGTATTCTTGTACACCACCATGTATGCTTGTACACCACCATGTATGCTTGTACACCACCATGTATTCTTGTACACCACCATGTATGCTTGTACACCACCATGTATGCTTGTACACCACCATGTATGCTTGTACACCACCATGTATGCTTGTACACCACCATGTATGCTTGTACACCACCATGTATTCTTGTACACCACCATGTATGCTTGTACACCACCATGTATGCTTGTACACCACCATGTATGCTTGTACACCACCATGTATGCTTGTACACCACCATGTATTCTTGTACACCACCATGTATGCTTGTACACCACCATGTATGCTTGTACACCACCATGTATGCTTGTACACCACCATGTATTCTTGTGGACCACCATGTACAGATGTATGCTTGTGTAAGTTGTGGACCACCATGTATGCTTGTACACCACCATGTATTCTTGTACACCACCATGTATTCTTGTACACCACCATGTATTCTTGTACACCACCATGTATTCTTGTACACCACCATGTATTCTTGTGGACCACCATGTATTCTTGTGGACCACCATGTATGCTTGTGGACCACCATGTATGCTTGTCGGGTTGTGTACTCTTTGATCTTGCTAGTATTATGGTCGTACATGTACATATGACCATGTACGTATACATCTATGACAATGTTGACTTCTGTGCAGTGTAGCCGTGGATGTCAGTGATCGATCATCATGGCTACTTCCAAGTACACTGTCCACCCATACTGCCAGTCCGTGTGTGTACCTTTGACGCTTTGTAGTTTGTACAGACTTTTCGTCAAACTAAACTCTGATCCAAGCATGTAATTGTGCACTTGTCACTGGTCTCACCACATCAGCTACATAATCAGCACGTAACGTTATAATATGAACTTACAACTTCATCGTTATAATAATATTACCGGTATTGTATTATTTTAAAGCCTTGTTTGATAGATAACTAGGATGGTTCTGCACCATTCACCAGTGTTTCGCTGGTACATGGTTGCACCAGCTGGCAAAGATGTAGCCTTCTCAGTTCTCACCTAATCATTCTAATGCCGGACTAGACTAGTCGACTCTTAGGCTAATGACTGTAGTGTAGTCTTTGCAATGACATTACACTTACAGATTGAGTTTTCTTTTTCTAGCTTTCAGATCAAAATCTGTTGCAAAAAAGTGACTACAATGTAGTCGGTAACCATGGCAGCTGAGATTGATAGCGAGTGGCGCTAGCGCTAGCTTCAGGACACGAAGAACTGAAGAAGTGTTGCCATTTGGCCTCATTTCACCGTCCTTTGACTTTGGGGATGGATGGGGGCGTTCGACTTCAACTCAAGGCATAGTAGTAGTACCACGTGTCGCGTGCTTGCTTTTCTGACAGTATATATTGCAATTGATGCATACTGGGTGGTGATACTGTTGGAAATCAGTTTTCCAAGAATGTGCATTTAGCCAATTCAATTGGACTCGGAAACAGCAGGACGAGACGGAACACGGAATGGATGAAAGAGAAAGCATAAGCGATGACGACGGTGCTAACGACAGCAGCGGGGCTGGTGCATCGCCTACTGAAAGACGAGGAAATGAGGTGGATGAAACCCTGAACCTCGGTCAAGAGACTGCAAATCATCCCCCGACCCAGGACACTGTGCTGACAGCACCAATGGCTGATCTGCTGCAAGAGGCAGCATCGCACCTGGGTGCGAGCGCTAGTTCCCAGTCATCTGTTTTGCCTGCTGGGGCGGGCAGTCAAGACTGGCTGGAAGGCTTGACAGCACCCGATTTGGATCTGGATAGTTCTGGTGGCTCTGATACGGCAGACGAAGAAGGTAGTCAGTCTTCAGTACTGCTGTCCTTGCCTCATCACACACGTGCGGTAAGGCTACTATGATTTTAGTCATTGGGGTATTGGTACAACTACAAGACTTAGTGCACTTAGTGTGCATAGTATGACTACCATCCATCTGCCGTACATCTACAATGTCCTGTCGTGGACATGGAAATCCGGTCGCACGTCTAGCGGCCCCAGGGCGCTGGCCATGCAGCCGTAGATAAGCGGAACATGCATTATGCGATGCAGCGCGCTGGTCGCATCGCGGATCAACATGACTTTGTGCACTGCACGCAGCGTTCTGTACGCGCTGAGGGCGCCGGCCCCGGTCAATCGACTGGATTTCCATGTCCACGACAGTACATGTATGTGAGGAGTCAGCGTAGTGTCCGTCCGGACACCTACCCGGTATTATCCGGAGCGTTAGCCACACTTTAATTTCCAACTGGTGTAAAAACTCAGAAATCGCCCCTGCGGCTTAGACGCCGAGTGTTGCACGTGGATCGATCAGCGCTACATGCATATATTCACTACAGTTAAACCTGGCTAAGACGACCGCTCAAGGGACCTTCAAAACGTGGTCTTTGTTACCAGGTGGTCTCTTTATCCAGGGCCGTTTGACTTTAAATAGTATCCCTTGATTCTGGTTTCAGTGGTCTTGTAGGACAGGTGGTCAACTTATCCGAGTGGTCGCCTTGACAGGTTTCACTGTATATTGCATGTATGATGTCATTCGACTCCTGTACTGCAAATCAATCTCGCAGTTGCACACGCACTACTGCATTGCTACTTGTTGCCAGTTCTGAGTGAAGGGCAAGATCGGAAACTTTTGCTGGAACTTTGGTCGTGCCTCTCGGCTTTATTTCACAGTTCGATATGCAGCTATGCTACTCCGAATGTCAACAAAATACAAGCCTTAGATCCACTGGTTAGGCAGAGGTGTTTTTGAACACGTGCAATACCACCATGACGGTTCTGATACCAATTGTTGTACTAGCATCCAGGCTCGGCAGGCTAAACTGTAATAACAGTAGTGTTAACCCGTCATTGATAGATTGCCATGGCAACACAGTGTCACGGGGTGACTGGTCACGGTGCTGCATGGGAGAAATGACAATGTCTAATATACTTCAGTACAGGCTGAGCACGACGTGGATTAATGTGGCTAGAATATACAATGTATCCCAGGCTGAAATCAGTGTAGAAAAGTGTTTGTATGTTTGTTAAACTCAGTGACTGTGATGGTGATGTTGTGAATGCTTCTGGCAGGCTGGTAGCAACAGCAGTACCGCCGGTGGCCAGGCTAGTCCTGAAGACCAGGACCCACATATCCAACAGCAGCAACGACAACAGCAGCTGGGTGTTGACGTTGAACATGAAAGACAAGAAATGCCCATCCACACAGCGAGGGACGCTGGCCAAGATGACGCTGCACTGCTGCAGCAGACCATGGAGGGAACATCTCTATTAGCCAGGCAACCATCAAGAGAGCAGTTATCATCTGCTGATGACTCTGCCAGCACAGGCAGTGATTATCCCGGCATGGATAATGACTCAAACAGCTCATCATTCGGCGTGGCGGCTGAGACCTTTGCTGATCATTATGCTGAAATGCTACAAATGGATGAAGAAGAGCGGCAACGAAACTCTGAGGGACGCCATTACGCTTCCTCCTCCAGTGATAATCGGCTGCGGCTGCACACCGAGTTCCTTGATGATTGTGATCTGGAGCAAGTCATCCGGGACCTTGAGCTCCTTCCTCCCGACCCCGGAGCTGCTCACCGCACCCAGCCAGTGACTAGTGCCGTCAGTGCCTGGTACAACGTCAACACCAGCCGAGCAAACATGGCTGCTGCTGCTGCACATCGATCTAGATCTGCTAGTGACGACAGTGGCGGCAGTGATCCCATGGGGGCTGGTTACGATGACCATGCAGTTCACTACGAACAATTTGCAGCTGATCAGCAGCAGCAATCTCAAAGCATGTCCCCGCAGCAATCTGATCAGGTTGCCACACGGGAGAAATCTGCGTTCCATGATCCCGGCCTAAGCAAGGATGTAGAGGAAACAACAAATAAACTCTGGGGTGATCACCTCGTGCGTAAAGTACGCGAGGAGTTCCCTCTCCCGGAACGTAGGTCGCAACAGCCGGCAACAACCAGCCAAGGAACAAGTACGCAAGGAATAAGCGCCGGAGTGTCCGCCTGGGCCGACTATATCCACCGTAAGTCGACCGGAGTCTAACGCTATACGGTAGCAATGCCAGTACTTGTAACTGTATGCTATACGGTAGCAATGCCAGTACAGTCGTCCCTCTCTAATCCGGCACTTTATAATCCAGCACCCTCGATAAACCAGCACAATTTTCAGTAACCAAAATGTCCTCTTCATGTACATTGCAGCAGTAAATCAGATTTGTTAATCCAGCACCCTCCCTAATCCAGCAGATTTTTGTGGCACAAATGGTGCCGGATTATAGAGGGACCACTGTACTTGTAACTGTATGCTATACGGTAGCAATGCCAGTAACTGTATGCTATACGGTAGCAATACCAGTACTTGTAACTGTATGCTATACGGTAGCAATACCAGTACTTGTAACTGTATGCTATACGGTAGCAATGCCAGTACTTGTAACTGTATGTTATACGGTAGCAATACCAGTACTTGTAACTGTATGCTATACGGTAGCAATACCAGTACTTGTAACTGTATGCTATACGGTAGCAATACCAGTACTTGTAACTGTATGCTATACGGTAGCAATACCAGTACTTGTAACTGTATGTTATACGGTAGCAATACCAGTACTTGTAACTGTATGTTATACGGTAGCAATACCAGTACTTGTAACTGTATGCTATACGGTAGCAATACCAGTACTTGTAACTGTATGTTATACGGTAGCAATACCAGTACTTGTAACTGTATGCTATACGGTAGCAATACCAGTACTTGTAACTGTATGTTATACGGTAGCAATACCAGTACTTGTAACTGTATGCTATACGGTAGCAATACCAGTACTTGTAACTGTATGCTATACGGTAGCAATGCCAGTAACTGTATGCTATACGGTAGCAATACCAGTACTTGTAACTGTATGCTATACGGTAGCAATACCAGTACTTGTAACTGTATGCTATACGGTAGCAATACCAGTACTTGTAACTGTATGCTATACGGTAGCAATGCCAGTACTTGTAACTGTATGCTATACGGTAGCAATGCCAGTACTTGTAACTGTATGCTATACGGTAGCAATGCCAGTACTTGTAACTGTATGCTATACGGTAGCAATACCAGTACTTGTACCTGTATGCTATACGGTAGCAATGCCAGTACTTGTAACTGTATGCTATACGGTAGCAATGCCAGTACTTGTAACTGTACTTCGAAGTATGTGCATGTTGTTACTGTAGTTGCTGTACATTAATGTGTTACTTTGATGTATGCACGTATCCGTAGCACCGGGACTGATTTCAGGTGGTTCGGCCAAATGGGGTACTTGACCAGAGATGGGCATTACTGACGAAAACCCCGTTTTGCACGAATTGCAGGGCGGGTCAACTTTTTTTGGAAATACGGTCTGACCGGCCAGACCGGTTGCTACGGCCCTGGTATGCCCTGGGTCCTGTGTAGGAGATGATCAAATCATAAATACGGCGTTGAACCGGTGCACCCTTCATGCATGCTGTGTGCCACGCACTGTCTTCTGCGCTTATTGTACAGAGCAGGAACTGGAGCAAACTGGCGGCTCACCAAACGTACTCACCAGTAGCCGGAGTGATGCGGCTGCATCTTCAAACACAGCAACCCAAAGCCAGGATGAAGATCGTGATGTTGATGAGTCATCGGACACCGCTAAAGGGGCCTCATCAACTCAGCCCACTGCAGCAACGGTTGATCCAGGTTTCGAGTATCGCCTATTGCTTGGTGAACCAGCCACGCGGCATGACCTTACTTTTGAAAGCTCATTGTCAATCCCGGAGCACCTACGTGAAGGAAATCGCTATCTCTCAGTCCGTGGAGCCCACCAGCATCTACGTAGCAGTGAAATGAAGGAAGTCATGCAGTTCGGACCGCCAGCTGGCAGAAACCGCCAGCACTCCTATCAGTATCAAGGGCGTCATGAAGGTTTAAGTCTACCCTCTCCGGGCTATCGTCCGTGGCAGAATTGCGAGTCACTGATAAAACAGGTAGTGGAGGCCTGGAGGAAGAAACGGTCGGTAGAGGAAAGCCTGCGCTTGTTCCCTAACATTCAGCCAATGGTTAACTTGGTGAGTAGCTTACATGTAGTGATCAGTGTACATGTAGTGATTGTAGAGATTGTACATGTAGTGTATGTACGCGTACAGCTTATAGAGAAGTAGAGCCACAGAATAAGTATGCATCTAGTGCACACACAGACTAATGTGCAAACGCACTGTCTGCCAGTCTCTCTATCTCTCCACTAATCTGTCTGTCTACGATCTACTTCTGTGCTGAATTACACACCCTCACTCTTTCTGGTTTGTGTCAAAGTTACCTGTCCCCGTGCCAAGTTCACTGTGTTTCTCGCCGTTAGAGCACTCTGACGTTGATATGTTTGAGTCGGTTTAAAACATCATGCTTTGTTGTTCACTGGACTGCATTGTAATCTGTTCGGCCAGTAACTCTGAGCTCTGCTGATGAAATTTAAAACAAGGTTGAAAGTTCTAGGGGTGAAACGGTTACCCTTTAAGGTTACAAACGGATACCTGGCTTAACGGGCGGGTTATCGGGTACCCTTTAGCAGCCGATAGTGACAGTTACTATACATTTCGTGCCAGGAGGGCATGCAAAGTCATGTAATTCACAGCAAGTGCACTACAACGCGACAAGCGCAGCATACGCACTTACTGCGCTACATGCAAAACAGTCCAAATTGTCTAATTTAGCAGGATCGAACAAGCAACAACACATTCAACCTGTACATCAAATTGAACAACTGTGCAAATCAGCTAATATTACCGTACTGTACCGTCGTACACGACTAACGGGTACTCGTTTGCTAACGGGTCAGCAGCTAAACAAACGGGTACACGGGTACCCGGATCATCCCTAGTTGAAACAGCAAATCAGTGTCCAGAGATGGGTTCTCGATGTGTACTGACATAGAATGCAGAACAAGGCTTCAGCTACAGTTCAGGTCTCATGCAAAAGCAATTCTCAGCTGCGGCAGCAATTTTGTGCGGGTAGTGGGAGTTGCCAACTGTGTACGTCTGTGCTGATCTACTTCATCTCTTTTTGTCTCTGCTGTGTCGCTTGCAGCACTATACCTTCTCGTCGCCAAAGCAAACTGTATCACGCATCGCCTTTATGGACGAGCCGCGAGATCGATTGGCATCTGCAATATTCCATGCGACTGTATTGTTATCAAACACCGGAGATGCTGTAAGGGATACTGACCAGGCCACAGCAACCGCAGCATCATCCATGCTGCGTGCTGGGAAAGGCAAAGATCGGCAAACTAGAAGTGTTCCTCTGCATTACTACTCCAATTTTGCTCACACATTTGGCGTGGAGATGTCCAGCGTTGGTTACATTGCACTGCTGGTCTGGTTCTGCAAGATGGCCGCCAGCACCACTACCGCTACGTCCTCTTCTACTGATATGGATGGCAGGGCTGGCTGTTCAGACCCTTACAACCTGCAACAAGCACCATTCAGAGTCGTGGCTCTGCAGCAAGAGGTGAACTTCCCGCAGCGCCAGCAACTGTCCATGCTGTTCATGCCCAAGGATGGTGTTAACCAAGCTAAGATTGAGCAGTACCTAAGCAGCTTTACTCTTGTGGACCTTGTGACACACGTCGGTTGTGATGATCTCGCCGACACTCATCTCTATGATGTTGATTTGAGTGATGTCATCAAGCTGGAGAGAGGCAATCACGAAACCATTGGCCAGTTCAATAATGAGAGCTTCTTCCCTGGCTACTGCAAAGAAGCTGCTACAGCAGTGGCTGCTTTCATGGCCCCGTGTGGTGAACAGCAGAGACTCATTTATGATGTGTACACTGAGAAAGGCTGTGTGACTGAACCGAACATGACTGTAACTAATCTCTCCACTGCCTGGCTCCAGGATGCAACCTCTGCTGTGTCCGTGTTCCGTGCAATACAGAGCATATCGGCTTCGTTAGTGGGTGTCCGCTTGATCTTCAGCCACCATCTTACCAGGTCAAGCTCAACACTTCCTGATGCAGCATCAGAAGGAGGTGGGCAGCGTGTCAATGCAGCCATCGCAATGTATGGACCAGATGCAAGAAGACGCTGGTTGAACGCGGTGCAGTCCTGCACTACTGGGCACCTCAGTTCTCCAGCTACACTGGCTATGCACCACCACCACCACCAGCAGCAGCAGGGAGGCGATGGCAGATTAGCCGCATCAACGAGCACTGTAGCAAGTGATGATGGCATCAATGGCACCGGTGATATTAGCAGTGATGACGATGATGATGCTGGCACTGATGCATGTTCAGATAACACTGCACCAGCAGCACCTGTGAATTTTGAGCTGGAGCCATTCTTGCTGCCGGCACCGGAAACGAACGATGAGGCCTGGGCATACGCTAGCCAGTTGTTTGGACCTCGGCTTGCTCTAAAGGATCCGCGTGAGCTGAAGCTAAGCATCGCCCGTGCTAGCAGTCTCCTTGCTTTGCCGCCTCGTCATGTCTACCTGCTAGCAATCTCAGATGCCTGTACTAGCACAGTGGCCTTTGCCATTCGCACCTGTCATCACTATGGTATTCAGCCACTTCGCATTAACCGCACTCATCTCTCCAAGCACTGGCAACACCAGTTATGCATGCCAGAAGAGGCAGCAGCAGCAGTGGCACCAGCAGGGGCAGATACGGCTGCTACTGGTGCTGCGAAGAGCAGTCGACCATGCCTGCTGGTCATGGCAATGTCACGGAGTGGCCTACACCCTGTGCGTCAAGTCTGCGAGGCCATCAACCGCCGGCAACCTTCCCTGACTGCCCCCGAATATGCCGTGGGACATCAGATGACAAGTGCGCTGTCACCACTGGTCCGTGGAGGACCATGGTCGATGACCAGACCCTGGTCAAGCGCTCGTCAGTTCAATGTCAGCAGCCGCGATGAGGAGCAGCTGGTAACACTGGTCGTGCTCAACAAGGCCATGCATGTCCTGCATGAACTACTGTCTATACTCTGCAGCAATGCTGACGACAGTGCTGACAGTGCTGCAGTGCATAGTGATGGTGATGATGGCAGTGCTGACGACAGTGCTGCAGTGCATAGTGATGGTGATGATGGCAGTGCTGGTGGAGCTCCTCTGGATGGTGCATGCTCACACAGTCTATTGGGAAGCATTGAACACACACCCATGGAACTACTTGGTATTCGGCTGGTCATAGACGCCGAGCCAGTCACCACCGAATTCCTTCACCCTGTCTACGACAAGGAGGTTGATGGCAACACGGAGGGGTTCACCTGTGTTCTTTGCCTTCGTGGTGTCAATGCTCAGGAGCGTCTGACACAATTGGTGTCGGAAATCCGCAAACTGATGCCAGGAATCCTGTGCGCGCAGTCACCTCGCCTTGCTATGCATTTGGCATGCATGTGGTTCAGCAATGGTGATGCACTGTACGCTGATCCATCGCAACGTGTCAATCGTCATCTGCAGCCACCCGCGGCAAAGTTCACTGCGCTGCACCGCGAGCTGGTACCGCCCAATGACGTTCTCTTTCCTTGGCTAGGGGAGAGAAGGCTGGTCGCTGGCGTGGTCACCGCCACACCACTGCTCTCTGCGCGGGCTAACAACAATGGCGTGGCAGCTGCTGCTGGCACCGGGCAGTTCGTGCGGCTCATGCGGCACCTTGCCTTTCACGGCTTTCTACTTGTCGGAGCTAGAATGGTGCAGATGAACCAGGCTGAAGCAAGACTAGTGCTCAACGATGTCACCGATACTGGACCTTCCAAGGTACGGTACCATCTTTACAGGGTTTAATGCGCAATTTCCACATTCCATACTGGTAACACAATTACAAGCACATGCTCCTATACGTGAGACCAACCGACCTGCAAAAATTATCAATACGGCAACATTCGTCACGGTCCTGTATAAGCGCATGGGCTTCAGTAAATGTGGGCCAATACGGTCAATTTACCAGCTAATAACTACAGTACTGTAGTGTGTGTGTACTGTGATGGTTAATGTGATGGTTAATGTGATGGTTAATGTGATGGTTAATGTGATGGTTTATGTGATTATGAAGGGATGTGCCTGTCAACCTGAACTTTCTAACCGTCTGCACTGTTGCTGCTAATCTGGCAACAGCACGTGTGCCACACATTATGCCGCATTCCGTCCCGGGTACAAGTACTTTGATTGCAGGGTCCTGCAGGTAGTGTTAGCCTGCTCGTTGTTGGGTGGGTTTAGTTCTGCCACTTCTCCAGCGAATATAGGTTTGTCGCCATAAATCACTATGGTTTCAGGAATGGAGGCATCCATGTACATGTATGCATGCTTGCGAGACAGTTGCCATTCAAGATCCTGTTGTGTGACGTTATGTTTTTGCCGCAGCAACCGCAATGTCCTAGCGCTGGAAGAACTCAATCAGCTGACAGTACTGGAAGCAGTGACAGCAGTGCTGACAGTGGTAACCACGGCAACAGCAGCAGTACTGTCATTGGTAACCATGGAGGCTATGCCGGGATCGTAGGCCAAGTCCAAGGTGCCGACCTGACGGCCGGTGCTAGCCTAGTCCTGTGCGTTATCAGAGAGAACTGTGTGGAGAGGCTGCAGTCGGTGGTGACGCCATCTGATGCTGCCAATGATGTGATTGTATTCGACTCCGTGCCTGGTGGTGTCTTAGGTATGTACATGTATATGAGCATGGATGTGTACAGTACATGTATGTAGTGTGTTGGATGTGTACAGTACACGTATGTAGTGTGTTGGATGTGTACAGTACATGTATGTAGTGTGTTGGATGTGTACAGTACATGTATGTAGTGTGTTGGATGTGTACAGTACATGTATGTAGTGTGTTGGATGTGTACAGTACATGTATGTAGTGTGTTGGATGTGTACAGTACATGTATGTAGTGTGTTGGATGTGTACAGTACATGTATGTAGTGTGTTGGATGTGTACAGTACATGTATGTAGTGTGTTGGATGTGTACAGTACATGTATGTAGTGTGTTGGATGTGTACAGTACATGTATGTAGTGTGTTGGATGTGTACAGTACATGTATGTAGTGTGTTGGAACATAAGGCCCTCATCAGACTACGTACATAGAACATCCAGTACAAAATCACATAAAACCTAAAAGGCAACATTTTTCCAAGCCTGCATTCAGACTACACATTTTACATGCAATATATACAGGCAACCTTTGACCCTACGCTATTGCGCAATGGACCTGGGATGTGTGAAAGCAGCCGGCAGTCGTACCCGGGTTCAAAGTCTGTACGTTTGTACAACTACTTGGTGAGAAAGTACGATAAATGCAGGAAAGTTGCCTTCTACAAGGGTTCGCACCCTGCCTGAAAGGATCGGGCAGCTTTTTAGGCTTCCCGCCAGATTCTTGTTGTTGTCTTGGAAACTTCTATGTAAATGTGACTTATAGGCTGTTTTGTACCTAGTCTGAAGAGGGCCTTATCATCAAGGATACATGTAACTAGTAGCTGACTCCCAGGTGTGTGCGACTCTGTTTATGGGGTCTCTATGGACGATAACTCCCATCCTAATCATGGTCCTCAACCGTGCAGTAAGTCACACTTTCTACCAGGGAGTATCCCCGGCTTTGTACTGTATACAACAGATATCAGCATATGCATCGTGCTCAGTACCTTCTGGACGTCCAAGAAAATCCTAGATACACGAAACTGCACCATAACTTTATGATAGGGGTGAAACTATTAGTTCGAATATTCGAGTATTCGTTCGAAAATCTCAAACGAGCGAGTATTCGAAATTTTGCACTCGATGGGTTTATTTTTTTTATTTTTTTTAGTACTGGCCTTTTATTTTTCAAAAACTTCTGTTGTACTGCTCATCGACTGGTATGCATGCATTATTCGTGCCTTTGAGTCAGTATTTTATGACTTGGACGATGCGATCACCACGGCAAGTAACGGTATTTTGTTTTGAGATAATGAAAGTACTGGTGAAAATCGTTACTTTACACTCTGTACAAGACGTTGGCGACTTTTGTTCTATGTTCACAGATAATTTCTTCCGAATTGCTCGAGAACTCACAAATCTAGCGCTTTTGAATTTCGATAAAATACTCGAAATAATTGGATACTCGATCGAATATTATGAATGAGTGATATTGGTCAAAATAGATACTCGTTTCACCCCTACTTTATGATCATTAAATTATGAGCTTTTGTCGTTGGCACTCCCTTTAGAAAATCCTGGTGGAGTTGCACACTTTTTTGGAGGGAGAGCAAGGGCTATCTATCCTTGTTATATCCAATGGCGTACAATCCAGCTTTAAACTTTGAATACTTTCCGAGTCCCTCCTCTGGAGGTGTTGAATCTTCCTCTCTCCTCCCTTCCTCTCCTCCTCCTCTCCCTTCCTCTCCCCATCCCTCTTTCAAGCTTTGCCCTTCACGTTGGTCAAAAATGTACATGTTTGTTCTGATAGTGACCCAGATGGTCCGGAACATATTTTTGTGTATATATGTGTGTGTGCGTGTGTGTGTGTGTGTGTGTGTGTGTGTGTGTGTGTGTGTGTGTGTGTGTGTGTGTGTGTGTGTGTGTGTGTGTGTGTGTGTGTAGTGCCACTAGTGGCGGTCAATTCATCAGCCTTGCAAGCTGTTGAATGGTGTAATCCCAGCACAAGCTGCTATGTCTAACATAGCTGTTCGCTATCGTCGCTTCCGCGATGGGCATGTCTGACTGAGGTGTGTGTGGTGTGTGTGTGTGTGTGTGTGTATGTATGTGTGTGTATGTATGCGTGTGTATGTATGCGTGTGTATGTATGTATGTATGTATGTATGTATGTATGTATGTATGTATGTATGTATGTATGTATGTATGTATGGCACCGGTGTTGTTCAACATTTACATGTGTGCAGTCGTGGACCAGTGGCGGAATGTTGCTTTGACCAATCCGGAAGTCGGCATCGACGTTATGAGTCACCGCAGTGATCAACTCTTTAATGCAAGACTTAGCGCAGCCAGCTCCACATGTGCAATAGAATTCCAGTTTGCCGATGATGGTGCCCTCCTAGCCAAAACCTGGAATGGCGCCCAATCTGCTCTCCACCTCATTCGGGCTCAGGGTCAACGCAATGAAGACTAAATTCATGGCGGTTGGGACCGGAGTACACGAAACGGATGTGGCACCCCTGCGCACATCAGCAGGTGACGTGCAGCATGTCACTGAGTTTACCTACCTTGGTTGCCTCATAATACCTGATGGCACAACATCTGCAGACGTCACCCATCGCATAGCTGCAGCCTCCAAAGCTTTCAGACGCCTCCGTAAGCCAGTCTTTAACAACAGAGATTTACCGGTCTCCACGAAACGTAATGTATACACAGCCACTGTTCTCTCAGCATTGCTTTATGGCTCTGAAACCTGGACACCCCTGCAGCGGGATGTGCGTCGTTTGGAAGTATTCCACAACCAATGCTTGCGGACTATATTTGGCATCAGCGGAAAGAGGCAGCAAGAGGAACGCTTGTCCTCATCCACAGTCCGAACGTGGTGGGGTGATACCGAGTTAGTTACAGAGAAGATTATGTTTCGCAGACTGACTTGGCTTGGTCATGTTATCCGCATGTCGCCCGAACGCTTGCCCCGGCTACTCCTGTTCGGTTCACTGACCCAGACGCGACCTCAACACAAGCCCAAGAAGCGGTGGAAAGATGCAATCCGTGCTGACCTCAAGATGGCCAATGTCAAGGAGAGAGACTTGTGTGATGCAACCAGCTGCCGGAGTACCTGAAGGTCAGCATGCCGTGAAGCTGTTGCTTGCGCGCACCGCACCAGGACTGAGCACAAGATCAAGCCGGTCCTGTGTGACACCTGCGGCCGGAGTTTCTCTCAGCCCCGCTACATGGCGCGTCACAAGTGCACAGTGGAGCGAGCAAAGCCGGTGAGAGAGTAGTCTGGGTCTGTTCAGTGTAATACGTGCGGTCGCTGGCTCCTATCTCGTGGGGGCTTGGCGAACCATCGGTGCGGCAATGATCCACCTCATTCCCTCAGCCAGCCTTGACGGCAGCAACAACGGAAACCGCCAGCAGTTCAAGATGGGGCAGGTTTGACGTGCCTTGTATGCCAGCGAACCTTCACGTCCATCAGTGGAAGGACTCGACACAAGTGCAAACTGACTGACATCCAAACTACAGCGGCACCACCCCTGGAGTGCTCCGCCTGTCACCGGACCTTCCGCTCGACTAGCGGCCGGACACGCCACCGATGCGGCAGGGTGACTAGTACCATTTGACTTGTCCCTTCGGGGACTGCGTAGCCAGACTTGGCAGCAGGATCAAGATCAAGATCAAGATGTATGTATGTATGTATGTATGTATGTATGTGTGTATGTATGTATGTATGGGTACGTTCGGGCCTGATTGGAAATCTTTATTTCCATTGCTATCAGGTTCGGCCTCATTTCCTCTGTGCTGCGCTGACGAGTCCACAAAGGACGAAACAGTTCTGTCCGCAGATTGAGTATGTATGTATGTATGAATGTATGTGTGTGTACATGTGTGTACGTGTGTGTACATGTGTGTACGTGTGTGTACATGTGTGTGTGTGTGTACATGTCTGCGTGCGTGTATGTGTGTTCACAACATGGTCTCTCCATGTCGTTACAGTGCCCCAGAGCTTTGCTCATGCCACCGCTCAAGTGAAGCACTTCTTTCCTGGTGGCTTGCTGTTGGAGAGACAAACATTGGATATGCGCATTCAAAAGGTATGCCATGCTTTGGCGATTGGATCCTATTCTCTGAGTACATTATGGATAGTTCTGTTGATCATGTAGCAAACTAACTACTTTCTAAAAGCTAGTAATTCAGCATAAGCGTAACGTGCATAGCAGGCAGGTAGGCAGCCACTGGTTAGCTGACATATATATGTAGTGCCGTGAGTAAGGTCATGACTTAGTAACGTAGGGTGCCGGTCTGCATCGCCAACCCTGCTATGCTTACTACTTGCCAGACTTGCTGGCCTCTCAAATGGCTCTACATGCACTTGAATGCAATCGGGCAAGCGAGAACATGAACTGAGTCTTCTGTAGCTACTACTAGCTACACAGCCCAGAGCAAAGTTGTCGATGTCCCTGTTCTGTATGTATGTGACGGTATGCGCGCGCGCGTGTGTGTGTGTGTGTGTGTGTGTGTGTGTGAGGAGGGGGGGGGGGGGTAGGGATGTGGCCACTGGTGTGTGTGTGTGTGTGTGTGAGGAGGGGGGGGGGGGGGGGTAGGGATGTGGCCACTGGTGTGTGTGTGTGTACATGTGCTTTTAGGCATGTTCTTGTTGATGTGGGTGTTAGTGTGGGTGTGGGTGTACACACAATGGTGGTGTGGTGTGTATTGGTTGCAGATTTTCGCCAGTGCTGTCGACGAAGAACTGTCGGTGGAGAGATGTCGGGATGTTGCGTGCGGTGAGCGACTCATTGCATGCGACACTGACCATGAACAGCAGCAACAGATAATGTCTCGCTCTCAGCATAATGCTGCTCATGACGGTGATGATGATGATGATGAGCTGCAGACTGATAGGGGAGAATGGCAGCGTATACCACTTGTTATCCCTCCACCTCTTGTTTGGACTGATGAGAAGGTAAGCCAGCCTGCTGGGCCCATGCCGCAATTCCGAGTCTGTGTTGTCCAATGGTTATTCCTAGCAGTAAGTGACTATGGGCCTGTGTTTTGCTGAATAATGTTACATTGCGTGTACATAGTGTGGTCCCAGTGTTCAATGTGGCTTAGGTACCTGGTTGGCGAAATAGACTGCTGCTTCACATTCTGTATGCACCTAAATCAAGTGATATCCTGTAGCCCTGAGCTACGGAGTTTGGCGCTGTGCACACGTCATGTTGCGTTACTGCACCGTTCTCAAGCCGGCGATAAGATTTAACTGGCCAGCATGACCACTATAATAACTGGTAAGCATACTGCTAGGAGTGCAAGACTTAGTGTGTAGAAGTGGAATCATGCATGTGTCGTCTCCATTATAGAAAGCAAAGTAATGCCATGTCATAGTGTCCAACATAGTCACTGTCATCTTCATGTAGTTCTATTGTCATGTTCTTTCCGTTTTCCAGGCTAACCTGCTGCTTGGTGAGCCCTTGGCTACGCCGTACACTAGCTTACTGGGTGGTCTCCTGTCGTGTGGCCTGCGCTTGGTGGCACTGAAGATGCTGCGTCTCACTCGTACACAAGTAAGCTGCTCCGGTGTCCAGACAGCACGACACGGGGACATGTTGTTTTAATTTCCGTAGCTATGCGAAAGATGTTACTTTAGTAGCGAATTTGGTGCTAGCCAGGGTCCACACGGCTTTAATTCGGTGCGTGTTTGGTAGGGCCATCATCACGTGCCGCGCCATATCTGGCGCGCTATCCCGTACGTGTCCCGTACCCGTACTGTCAAAGACAGCTGCAAGCTGGCCACCATATACAAATAGTTGACATGGACGTTGGCGGTGGTAACCTGGATATTCCTGACATGAGCATACAGTCATGTACGGTTCTCTGCCGTATTGATGTAGTTTAGTATGAGTTCTCTGCCGTATTGATGTAGTTTAGTATGAGTTCTCTGCCGTATTGATGTAGTTTAGTATGAGTTCTCTGCCGTATTGATGTAGTTTAGTATGAGTTCTCTGCCGTGTTGATGTAGTTTAGTATGAGGACTGACCAGAGAGGCAGGATGGTCTAGCATCCTCGTCCTAAATCCGGCTTCATGCTGGAAGATTCATTGGCTCTAGGCGCGGCCAACTCTGGATTTTTTGATATTCGGGGGCCTGACTCATTTGCTTTATACTTCATCTTTGCAATTTACTGCAGGTGATTGACCTGCGTCTGAGCTGTAAGCTCTTCGCAAACAGAAGTCAAGAAGAGCTGACGTGTGGGCCGTCAATGGTGGTCGTCTTGGAAGGACCTGGAGCATTCTCAGGCTTTGCGGCCAAGCTGGCAAGGTACAAAGATTGCTGTCGATATGCGCAATACTACCATGTGTACCTTCTTTTGTATTGTTCTTTACAAAGCCAAGTACATGTACTCTCAAAGAAAGAGAAGGGACCAATAATGTTAGGCATACTAGTACTCAGTAACTCGTAACTTATTGATCCTTTTTCTTACTCTCAAAGAAGAAAGAAAGTTTATGTAGTGGCAAGACCCTGCAGTTCAGACGACCGAACAGTATCGGTTTCCTCACGGACACTCTTTAGAGACCATGATAGGCTCATTTTGCCGCATGGCATACTGTGTACCAGTGACACCCCACCGTGACAACCACTTGGGTATGGTTGTGTGGTTGTGTGGCTGTGTGGGGAGAGTCGGACGTTTTTTCCACTTCGATGTTAACGCCAAGCTTCACATTCAAACGCCATTTCCGACGTGAATTTCAAGTTCACCAAAACATAACGTGGCACGAAACCTCTCTCTCCAGGTGCCCACTGCACAGCCGTGAATGATGACGTGTGAAACTGGTAGTTCCATGATCTGCAATTATGGTATCGCCAAGTGGTCATCACCAAACGGCCCTTCCTGTCTCATGAACTGCTGAAGAAGCATTCAGCCTAAGCTCTAATGGGCAATCAGTCTGTCTGTCGTAGCATATGAGCTCCTTTTCAAGGCGTTCGTGCTGCGTTGTGGTATTGGTACATGGTAAAACGGTTCTCGAGAGCTGTATTCCCGTGATCTGACACTAGGCCGGTCAACCAGGAGCTGACCCACTGCCCGGGAGTGCTTCCACGGCTCCAGGTACTAGTGTGCTTCCTACCCTAACATGGCTGTGGAGGGTGGGTAGCTCGATGGCTCTGATGCACTCACCTTCCACCACTACGCTAGGTGCAGGCCGGCACAGCTTTGAGAGTAGAACGATACCCACAGGTGTGGAAACTAGGGAGTCGTTCAAACCCCATAACACCCGAATTTGTACGGCTCCCTAGTAGAAATGTGATTCTCGCTAGGCCTCACATCAACCCTGAAATGTATGCGTGGTGTGTGTGTGTGTGTGTGTGTGTGTGTGTGTGTGTGTGTGTGTGTGTGTGTGTGTGTGTGTGTGTGTGTGTGTGTGTGTGTGTGTGTGTGTGTGTGTGTGTGTGTGTGTGGTATGTGTGTGTATGTGTGCACTGTAAACATGGATGCATGCGTAGAGTTCAGAAAGACAGAACACCGACAGCAGTAGCAGCTGCAGGCGTGGGTGCAACGTCAAACTGCCCTATTGGATATCCCAGAGCAGCAGCAGAGGTGAGATGGTTTTTAATTTATTTTACTCAACTCGTGGTCCCTGACCAATTGACACGCAAAGTGCGAGAGAGGGGTGATAGCTAACCATGGCACGATTACATGTAGGCATACCGCTGCCACAGTGCGGTTGAATGATATCAGACAATATATAAAAGCCACAGTTCGTTTAACCTGTGTTCAACAGTGACAATCTGCAGTGCAGTGGGAGCTGGCTACCCTCTCAGGCACGGCTGGACAGGGTTACTCTAAGGCTGTGTTTACATGAGAAATTTCAACCCGGGTCGAGTTCAGCCCGGGTTGAAAGTCTGTACGATAGACAAAAGAGGTGAGCGTTTACATGAAGGCAGTTGACCCGGGTCAAATACTGATATGCCACCAAAAGTCCACTTCTACAGTCCTGTATGGTCACGTGAATCCGTTCGCGCAAAATTTGCATCTGCAGTGCCGTTCAAACCTGGCGCGAGATACGCACAGAAGTACGTTTGTACGATTTTCTTGACCCGGGTTGATTTCAACCCGGGTCAAGCGCAATGCGTCATGTAAACGCGCCATTCATTTTATGCACATGGCGGGTTGAAATCTGACCCGGGTCGAACTCAACCCGGGTTGAAACGCCTCATGTAAACACCGCCTAACTAAAACAGATCTTAAAATAAGCACAAAAAACCGGTACAAGTTGTTATGTTGAAGTTGTTGTAAGCAGTAGATATAGATCCGTGTATCTCTTGCAGTGTGTCTAGCTTTCATACATGTACCCGTGATGTTGCCTGCATGCTTGCCTACCCGTCCACTCAGCTGTCGGCCCGGCTGGCTGTATAACATCTTTATGACACCTGTCTCTGTGTGTCCATCTGTCAGGCAAGACGCATCTTGGCGTACATGTTCACGGACATACCACAGCAAAGCAGCACCACAGCATGGTAACAATGTGCGCGGCCTGGGCCGATGTGGACTTGCTCATGGCTACTCCAGTATGACTGCAGAGCAAGCTGGGCCGCACGAAGGAGAACGCAGCAGAAGTCATAGTCAAGAGCAAGCGGATCAACAGCACACCCAGCCTATTCTACTCATCAGTAGTGTGTGGCTCAGTGTGTGTGTAAACACTGTGCAGGCGAAGTAACAGTTACACCAACATGTCAGTATTCTAGCAACAGATCACTATTTCGCCGGGCTGTCAGAGTGTATGCTGGTACGCCCTGATCTATTCCTCTCGCACATTGAAATCATTCTCTTGACATATTCCAGGTCTGATTGTGACTAAATGCATGTGCAGGGCCAACTCTAACTAAAACTAAAAGACAACCAAGCCGGCAGCTGACAGAATGCAACGGATGCTAGTGTGGCCTTACAATGACAATGCATGTAATGTAGCGTGAACATGGTGAAGGCAGTCTCAAGCAACTGCTGTAGCGTGAAGGCAGTCTCAAGCAACTGCTGTAGCGTGAAGGCAGTCTTAAGCAACTGCTGGTGCCGAATTTAGGGTCACAGTATACCTGACGATTGAACTGCTGCTGACCATTTCTTCCACCGCACCACACTTCCAAGTACTTGTACTGTTATGTGATGAGTCCACAACGGACGAAACAGTTCTGTCCGCAGATTGTGGACTCGCACCAACCTCTTCCTCACCTGTTGTTCCCCTACAAGACAGTATTATTTTATTAGACACAAGTGGGGTCGAGGAAGAGACTGCAAGAATGGAGTGAAGAGACTCGATGACTCTAATCAAGAGTCTCCCAGGCTAGAGTAAAGGACTCTGAGACTAGAGAGGAGAGAGAGAGAGAGACCTACCGTATCAAGAAAAGCCATTAGAAGACTCTGAATGTCGGAAATGAGCTCAATGCGTCGTCCCTAGACTGAAGCAGAGACCCAGTTCTTTGCTAACCAATCAGTGTATCTAGCTCCAGTCCGCCGTACCATGGGACGCAGGCAGGCAGGCCAGTAGACTAGACATCTCACCATTGCAGCTGTATGGTAGTATAATATAATGGTACCCATGCTTAAAACACCGAAATCCCGGCACTTAGAAAAATGGACAAGTACAAATGCTGTAGACAAGCAGCCATGTCTCTTTAGTTCACTCCCGATTGAATAAGTAAAACGAGTATAAATAACCTATAAAACAATACGCTTGAAGTAGTAGCCACAAAGCAAAATGGAATGGCTGAGTAGAAAGCAAGATAGTCCTTTTCAATTGGTAAGAAAAAAGAAATTGGAAGGGGGCCTAGACTGTTGATACATCTGAACATGTCCGTTTCAGCTTCGTATTGCTGTATTGATTTACAGCTATGCCTGTACAGATGAGGAAATAATATTATTGCATTGGTATATTAGTCCTGACTACTGAGCAAATCATATCACAGAACATCATCACTGGGCTGAGTGCGTCATACTTGTACAACGAAGTACACAACACTAAAAACTAAAAGAAGTCGTCTCGTTAAACGGCACATCTGGTACGAAAATGGTCTGTACTGGTCACAATCCTATTGTTTGGTGGAGCGGGAAGGGGCAAGGTAGGGATATCAAAGCAAAACACTAAAGACGTGGTCAGTGTAGAGAGTAGCACTCAAGTGCGTACTGCGGAAAAAGAGGGCTATACGATAAAATACATCTGTGGAGTACATTGGCCGTTCACATTATTGGTACAGTACCGCTTCGCCACAATACACAGCAATGTTTCGAAACGCACACACACACACACGTGCACACACAGTGGGTTACAGTTTCGTTTTGTAAGGAATGTGGAGCGACGAGAGTTTCTGAAAGAAACGCTCTCGCACAAATTCATAGAATTCTATCTCCATGGCCATCTCGGATAAAGCTCTAGCTCTAGCATCAGACCCGAGTGTACGTCCGTCTTTGTTAGTCTTGGTTGTATGTTCTGCGGCTCCAATTTCACTCATTAATTCCTGAGCACCAGAAAAGAACTTTGGCAGCAGTGTTTCCAGTGCCACTATGCTCTCGTTGAAGTATTCCGACAATCCAACAAAGAAATACTTGTTGACAACATTCTCTTTGGCCAGAGCCAGTGACTGCGCAGATGGTCGCCGGCAGAACGGCTTGTAGCCGCAGAAAAACGGAATTATGTACCACAAGCCCCTCGAGCCAATGCACTCAATGCGCCTTCGCAGGATGCAAGTCTCAAACGGCTCATCACGCGTGCCCGGCGCGAAAAGACCTCGTACCCCTCCTAGCCTGTTGTCCCCAAAGCGACGAAAGTAGTAGGATGATATGGCTCGATTCAAGGGATGCCGAATCATGTTGATAAATATTGGTGGCGGGGATAGATCCGGGAAAGAAACATAGTATAAGTGGCGATGATAGAATACTGGGGTGGGCATGAGTCCCATAAACTGCCGGATGCTTTTAACGCGTGAAACTGTCGGATGAAGATCGCTGCCATTCATCGAGCCAACTACCAAGAATTTATTGCGTGCGGCCAGTTTCTGAGCCAACCGGACAAAAGCCCGACTGCCGCACTTTCCCACTTTGTTGTAGACGAGCCTGAGTGGGTGCTGGTGATCTGCAGCCAGCACCTCTCTGCTGGTGCGATATTTGGCTAGATTGTGCTGCATGATATTGGCCAATGCAACACCATGCCGCCCGCCCATCTCATAAACAGTGAAGAATAGCGGCTTCGCGGATGTGTTGAACTTGAGAAATATTGAAGAATCATTGCTGTTGACAAAAGCTCCTCCCACTTCGTCAGCCTGATGCCTCCTGCGTGCCTTGAACTCTCGCCGCAAAGCATCTTCATTGTCATCCCTGCGAGAACTGTTCATCTTAAGGGTCCCCAATGCCCTGGTCAGTTTTGAAAATAGATGCTGCTTGTGGTCATTAGACCGTGCACGGGTGCCTTCAAGTCTTGAGTTTGTGTATTCACTGGCAGCAGCAGCAGATGCGGGACTATGGACATCTACTAAACCTTCAGATCCAGTGGCGACGTCGAGTGCGGCGGCTGCTGCCGAACTGTGTCTGTGCACTTGCAAGGCGGGAGCTTGAAAAACACTACTACCACGTGCAGGAGGCGCATGGCGTACAGGCTCTCTTTCTGCAGCTTCAGATTCACCGGTGCCGCCTGCAACTGCGTAATCTCTGTGCGCTGCTGCTCCTACTACCACCTGAGATTCAGCTGCACTGGCCGCACTGGTGTCCAGTGAACGTGCATAGTTGCGCACGTCAACACTGTTCAGAGTGAGCACTGAGGCAAGAAGGAGGAATGTTAGAATTCCCAGGACTGGCAAGATGTGTTTTCTGGCATTGTTGTTCAGGAGTCCAGCGACTGGCCAGTTCATTGTTAGTACTATACTGATATCACCACCAGGCAGCCGCACTAGCTCATGCCCCACACTTTAACCTGCTCTCACCGCTCATCACCCCGCAGCACTGATGGCGACCTCACCTATTATGTATATTGGCACCATCAAGTAAACACAGTGACACTCTCCTCTTGAGATACTGGGCCGATCACACTGCAGTTGAGTGTGGACTACACAAACCACACAGGTAACAGAACGCAGTACTTTGAGTGGGTAATACTACTTGCCAGTAGTCACTTTGGAAACGTGCTCTACGAGTACTCCACTGCCTCTCCTCGGCCTCTCACAGACATAGACCGTCAGTCCGTGTACCTAGTGTACGGTGGTCCAAGCTGTACTTAGTGAATGTAGCACATCCAAAGATCCAGCAGTTCACATTAGTAGTAGTCATTACCTAACTACATGACTGTAGACATCAAGTAGTTCTTATTCGGGTACCAGCTTCACAAGAGGTCCAGTGCTCTGGCATGGCCGAGCGGTGATGATGCCGTTTTTTATTACTCAAGAACACGAGACTGTAAGCCAGGACTTTGACACCACGTCCGAATGCAGAATCGTAATATTCGCAAACCGTTACCCAGCAAGCAGTTTGCGCAAATCCTCCCTCAGAAAACTACCGAAAGCACAGATGAAGACCCGCGCGTGTCCGTGATGGTGATGGAGCCGTTCACCAACATTGTCGCGAATTCGGGCCTGCTCGACTGAATCAGTGAAGATAGCCGTGGGCTAGGCTGGGTATCTAATAAAGCTGCTCGAATCACTGGGCCGCGGAAGCGACACAAGTATAAAAGACCCCTGGCTAGCTAAAGTTAGTTTCCACTCGAAAGGTATTTTCATTTTCTCTGCATTGTTTCTGTTGTTGCGCTCAGCTAGCTCAGCACTGCCATACAGAATGATCACTGTTGCTGGACGTTGCTACACTTTTTGCGCTGCACTGGGCATGGGCTCCATTCTGCCATGATAGCCATTGATAGGGTCCGGTCGTAGCCTTTACAGTGTTTGTACTTTTTTTGTAGTACAGTCGTGGCCAAAGAAATCCGACCTGTGCCGAAAGCAGCGCCAAGGCCGGCTCCGCATGCGGCCCCAGCTGCGGCCGGCCCTCGCTGCTCGGATCGAATTTTTGGAATGAGATGATCTAGCTACGTAACCTGGTAACGTGTGTAGATCTACGAAATGGAAACTCCGGGTTACTTTGACTCGCGGATCGGATTTCTAGCCACTACTGTTTTGTAGATCTAGTACTAGTACTACGCCGTATCAAGACTGAGCATGAGCGTCATGACTGAGCCAGCCCGGCGCCCCACGTGCATTTTTGCCCGCATATTTCACCATGGCAACTGCAGTATTCGAATCGAACGGATAGCTTTCGCACGTGCACGCGAGCGTCGGATCGCGATCGAACTCTACGATCGACTCGATCGTCGGATCTCTCGCACTTCGACAAAACAGTCGAGTCGGTAGATCTACGACGGTAGAGATCCATGGATCTACAAAGTAGATCTGTGATCGTGAGGAGCTAGCTCGTGGCCCGTGGAGTTATCATGGCCATGCGATAGCGAGAGCGAGCTACAGATCAGAGTGATTTTGCTAGTTTCTGGTTTGGGTTTGGTGACTAAAAAAATAATTGTGGGGTGTTTCTTGTTTTGCCAAAGAGTACGTGGAGCTGAGCTGTATACATGTATGGTGTATCCGCAGGTGCTCTTGCTTTTACTTTTGGACAGTTTGTTTTCACCCTTTGGCGCTACTGAGCACATACTGGATGCCACGCAAGGCTGCAGTTCGGCTCCTTCATCAGTGAAAGGGACAGGTATTGGTCGTTATCCTTGATTTAGTCCCTCATCGTGGCCATGGCTTCTCGGCTGAGAGAGAACTCGGCTGCGAATGTACCGAAATGGACTGTGGACGATGCAGGTACTATTTTTGTTCCATCCCAGGACTATGGCAGAGCAATGTTCTCCATATTTTTTTGTGATCATCGGCCCGTTTGCCAATTCTTGGTCTGTGATGATTCCCAATGCCATATATCGAGACTTAAATGAGTAAACAACCTGTAGCCTTTATCACAGTCAGACCCCCTCCACTGGCTCCAGAACCCTCCCCCGCACCCTGCTTCCCCCCTATTATGATGTATTGCTGGTGAGTGGGGCAAGCGAATCTGCGTACAAAGCCATGCCGTATATAGGAAAGCATCAAAAGTCCACTAGCCTAGGTTGTATGCTGACAAGACTAAGTGTACAGTCAACTTCGCTAATAACGATTGTGGATATAACGACAATTCGTGAATAACGACAGAATTCTCATGCCCAGAGCAAAGTCCCATCTAACTGTAATAGAGAGGTTCTGCTACACGGAACTACGTACCAAACTCCGTGTCAACTGCAGTGAAGTTTGACACGGATTTTTCGTACGTTGCAACCGGTTCTGCTGTACGTAGCATGCTCGAACCATGCACGAACACCCCGCCACATGTACTCTGTACGCTCACTTTTCACACGGAGTCCGGTCCGTGTGAAGCGCGCTTCACACGGAAAACGGTATGACAAAATCCGTATCAAACTAAATCCCGTACCGCGGTGAAGTTTCCATACGTACTTTGGCACGTTTTACCGTGTGGCAGAACCTCACTAATACCAAGAGTCCACAAACAAGAGTATGCAACTGTGATCTCTTTTTTATGGGCCAGCTGCGTGGCGCGCTGTCTTCATTACATCATTCAGCTGCAGCCCGCGCACTGCGGAAAATCAAACACCGCACTTTCCCTCTGGTTTGAAATGAACCTTTGTACGGAACTGGAGTTCACGCGCCAAACTTTAGAGATCGCGTAGGTATTGGAATGAATCGAGCAAAACCGGATGGGCTCGTACGAGTTTGAATGCATGCTTTCAGAGCGTGATGAAGGCAAATTACGAATGAAGGCAGCGCACTGACCCATAACCACAGTTGCATACTCTTGTTTATGCACTCTTGGTATTAAAAAAATGTTATGACTAACTTACTGTCCACCAACATGACCAGATCATATTTCAGTCAGCGAGGGCGACAAAAAGGCACAAAACTGACAAGGAGTACCGAGACATTCTATGACCTGACACCTAGCTCCAACACATTCATGAGTTGCAAACCAACAACCAACATGAGATGACCCGTCTCTAAGGACACTTGCTCTCTTATACTAGGTTATAACTTATAAGAGTGGTTGCCACTTGCCAAGAAGTCTCCCCGTTGACAGTATTATGTACTAGTATACAGACGTGTGGAATGTGTTGGTCTGCTGTTTGTATTTTGCTTTCATTCTGTATGGTTTCAGGTGCGAAGAAAACTAAGAGCAAGGCCAAAGCTAAGCAGAAAAGCCCGGCCAAGGCGCCACGATCGAAGGGCGGCGCAGGATATTCAGCATGTCAAAGTGGCAATGCGTCTAAACCAGCAATGGTGTCTGGCAAACAATCTGACACCTGTGGCTCGCCTGCTCCTGGTGGTGATGGTGCTACGCTAAAGGACTTGTGCTTTGATGATAAGCGACGCCTGGCAGCGCTTGTGAAGGTATTTTTTCGCACTATTGTGGGCGTGTGTGTTTACCTGGATACGTGTATGCTTATGTTGAAGGCTTCAACCATGTTTGATTTGGCTGCAGTGTTCAGGAGCAATACTTGTACAAGCCTTTTGGCTGTTTAAGAAGACTGCAAGCATACTGGGAAGAAGCCCATCGTGAGGTCGGGGACAGCTGTGGCCCATTTTTGAACGGACTGTCTTTGAATTCTCTGGGTGTTTGGATATGATGTTTAGAAATCATTCTGCGACTTGAAAACTGGGGATCACCGGGGCTCCTACTATTATTCCAGTGGTCCTTAGGTTTTACTTCAAAGAAGAAAATCTTGCTACTGTAAATATACAAAATTTCGGCGCTGCAAAATTTCGGCACTTCACGATTTTTGACATTTCGGCGGCGATTTATTTTCGGCGTGGGGTAGAGGGCATGGTATTGCGACAAATGCTGTGAAAAATTTCATCGGCGTTTTAATTTAGGCGTTTTGGGTCGGTGCCGAATATAGCCGAAATTAAATAGCTGCCGAAAATTTGTATATTTACAGTATTTGGTGCAAAATTCCTATATTTGGACCTCAATATTACGGGAACGAATATGGTTTCCCCTTGATTTTATTGCAGATTCAAAACCAACATGCTATAACCAGTAGTGCAATTTACCCCACCAAGAGGAGCAATTTCTTTTAGGGTGCGTTTGGTTGGTACGATCTAGAACAGGATCGAACAGCTGGTGCACATGGAGCAGCCTCATGCCAACCAAACGCTACTCTAGAAACAGAGCACATTTTTGTGGAAAAATGTGCCAAACTTGGTGCATTCTTCAACATGTGTATGGATCACCATGGTCACTTTGTACGGTACGACGAGTCCAACCCAAAAGCGTATGCACGTGATCATTTGGGAACAAAATCGATGTTCCCGCCAGGTTTCACTGTGAAAAAGTGAAACTGCTCGGTCTGCTCCGGCCTCGAGGCCGGAGCAAGCAGAACATGTTCTGGCCGACCCAGAACAGGTGCAGTCCCAACCAAACGCGCTGTTCTGGTGAATCCTGTTCTAGTTCGTACCAACCAAACGCGCCCTTAGATGTGAAGTTGTTTCCATGAATAATCAGGCGCGTACGCAGGGTTGGCGGGAGGGGGGTTGCATGGGGTCCGTTGTAGTAAATAGCTACGTCACGTCAACCAACTCTCGTGTGCGTCGCGTGTTTCAGCGCATGCGCAGTGCATGAAGATGTCAAGTAGTCGTAGAATCTGCGGCTTGACGGCTCATTGACAGCACGGCGCGACGCCTACGCGCAGCGCAGGGCAACAAAGGACGAAAAAACGAGAAAAAAATCGTTCAGTCGTCCGAACCGTGTGCCCCCCTCCCTGAAACTGTGATTGCTACTCTCGTCAAGCACCTTTATTTCAAAACCATCCACTGGTCCTACTGTTGTATCTTCAAAGTATCTTCAATGAAAGTTAGCAGTGTAGCAAATATTGAACTCCAACGTCTTGCATGACAGTCACTTGAACTTCTGTAAAACAGAAAGAAAGAAAAAGAAACAGCCGTTAAGATAAGCTCAGTCTGATTTCTCTCGTGTAAATGGGGCTGGTGTGTCTGATTGTCCTTTCTGGCTCTTCTTTCTATTCTGCCTTGTGTAGGAGCTTGCAGATGTCACCGAGTCTCGTGAGCTCGCCATTGTACATTTGCAGGAGGAGCGTGTCAACTTTGAACGCAAGCTATCTGAGCTGAAGGAGCACCATGATACGCTGATGCAGTCTCGTGAAGGTGAGGCATCCGCTATTAACCGCCAGCACACTGTATTTACTGTGCCTTATGCATGCTTTGTACTTAATGATGCCTTGCTTGACGAGGAGCAGAGGTTTTGGTGTTCAACTTCCAGTTGCTATTAGCCTTGAACTGTAAATATTTTCCCGCAGTCGGATGTAACATGATCTCTTCTACGGTCCGCTCAGAAATATTTGAGCTTCTACAACGAAGGCAAACCAAGGTTTAACCTTGACGGTGACATTAGCTCTTATATGTTCTTCAAGGATTTCAGGTATGTGCCGGTATGGCAGCTTGTGGTGTAATGGATGACCAATGCTGGGTACAGTTCTTCTATATCTTTATCATTAGACCAGAACCTATGGCTCGTTTCTCTGCGCTACGTCCGTGAAGGGTCGAGAATGGATGGAATAGTACTGCCTGTAAATTGAACGATCTGTTCTTGTGGCTATTATTTCATGTACTACAATTCGTAACCTTTTTTTCTTCATAAAATGGCTTTTTACCTCGGATGGTTCTTCACACTCTGTATCACAATTTGTGAGTTCAACGATTTGTTCTTGTACTGCATTGCGCTACTCTGCTTGCAGGTGTCGAGCTGCAATACAGGCAGTCACAAGGATTGCTGCAAATGTACCGCAATCAGCTGGTATCTCAGGAAGGTGCTTTAGCTGAATTGCAGCTGCAACAGCAGGGCCATCAGGTAAGCTAAATATGGCTGGGTGTTGCCTTCCGTGCACATTATCCCTGCTTGCAAATGCCTCCCGTGCTCTCACTGTAAGCTACCACCAGAGCACAGCGCCACTTGGAGCCTGTCGTGCCCTGTTCTGGAGGTAGGGTGGACAGGCAAGTCGTGACTCTGCACCCAATAGTGCAAGTTCAGTGCAGCCAATCCACACTCCTACGTAATAACAAGTTACAGGTGTACCTAGTTACACATCATTCTGAGCTGTGAATGAGCTAGCAACGTTACAACACACTAGCTTACAACTTGGTGAAATTAAGTTTGATAGTTCGGAAATGTGAGGTCTTGACACACATGCCATTGAAAGTCTTTAATGTGTTCTTCGTTGCTGGTAAACTTTGGTACAATCCTGGCACTGATCCCCTTTCCCCAGCTTTCTCCGACAACTGTTGCACATGATTGTCGCGTATCCTACTACTACTACTACTACTACTACTACTACTACTACTACTACTACTACTACTACTACTACTGACCAAACCACTTTTACGGGCAAAAAAATACCATGGTAAGCACACAAGTGATGGAAAAGAGTGAGTAAGAACGAAAGAGAGAAAGAAAGAGAGAATGCACTAGTATGTCAAGAGAAGTAATCAATGGTTAAGGTCTTTGAGCTATTGTTATATTGTCCAGATTGACGCATGGACACTGAATCTCAGCCGGCAGCCTGTCGACACTGCACCAACAACGACGAGCGGACGCGACGCTGGTAGGATGATCGGCAACCGCGAAACCAGGTTATTGCCCACCGTACGAGGCAGAATGCCAGCCGAACACGCAATGCACTGACGATGCTTGAATACCGGATGTCTTTATTGCGCTCCGCGAGCCGACCGGCAAGTGTCGCCAGGAATCGTGAGCACTCCGGCCCCGCCATCCCATTCGTGGCGAACACAAGAGGGGTGAAAGAGCCTCTCTCGACTTCAGTGACCCTGGCACCGTACTGCTGCTTCTTTTGCCGTTCATGGGCCCTGAGTTGGTTAAGGACTTCCGGACCAGACAGCACAGACGCCTTAGGGTGGGTTACCCTAACATCAAAATAAGCGTCTTGCTGCCTTGTCCAGAAGCCCCGGGCACGAATGTCCAGCCGAGCCTCATCAGTCCGGTTAGCCGTCGCATAGGGCAGATCCTCGCCAGACAGCGGCCGGAGACGTGGCTCTGTCTCGACATCGCGAACAGCTTCGGAGAGCGTCTCCGCCAAGATGTCACGCACATTATCGTGCCGGGCAGATGGATACCCGCCGGCGGGGCCTACTAGTACTACTACTACTACTTGAGAACGGTTTTATTCACAACACCATGAAGTAAGAGTCAAAGCAAAAAGACAACCCAATACTACTACTACTACTACTACTACTACTACTACTACTACTACTACTACTACTACTACTACTACTACTGCTGCTGCTACTACTAGTACTAGTGCTTGGTGAATTCCTTTTCCACCAGGAATAGCCATGGTGGCATTCTTTTGTACTCCCTCAAAACAATTCCAAAGGCTGTGGGAGAGATGATAATTATGTTGAAATCCGTCTTGAAAGTCTTTCCATGAGTTCTGCAGCCAATCCAACTTTGTTTGCTCAAATAGTTGTAGCTGGCCCATGACATTCAGCACTTGCAGTTTGTGTTAGAATGTATGTGTGTAAGTGTGTAAGCGTGCTCGTTTTCAGCACGTTAAATGGATTTCTAGGAGACAAACTGCAATCACACGTGTAGTTTCTGTGTGTCTTTTCTATTCTTGTTCGCTTTGCAGCATTTGTCCAGCAACACAACAGTGATGGCATCAGCTCAGCCACCACCACTGGCACATGCAACAGCTGGTAGACCAGTAGCAAGCGAGCTGTTATCTTCCTGTCAGCAGCAGCGCTCTTCAGGCCTACCATTGCCAGCTGGTAGTTGCAGTCAGTCTTCACTGCACAAAACCACCATGATATCACGTGACAGTCACACAGGGCCACTGCAGGAAGCAGCCTTGCATAATCCTCTTACCACTATGCATGTGTGTACCGATGTGTCCAACAGCAGCAGCGGCAGCAGCATTAAGCGAATGTCTGATGCTCATGTTCCACATCATCGTGCACCGGCAAGCTGTGATATTTTCAATTCAGCAAACTCCCCGCCTGTGACGGGATTAAACTCACAGCAGCAGCAGCAACACTGTAATACTGGCGCAACGCATGTGGGCAGTGGGCAGTCTTTTCCACAGTGCTCTCGTCCTTGTGATGGCTGTAAGTCCAGCAGACGTGTTGCCACAACAACTGCTCCCACCTGCAGTTCTAGCTCCTGTGCATCTTTCCAGTCCCAAGGAAACAGTGGTTCGGACAGTGCACATGAGAGACTTGCTCCAGCCTCAAGACAACGGCGTCCAAAAGAATATGTTAAAACCAGTAAGACTGACAAGTCGAACCATGTTGCTAACCCTCAAGTACAGAGTGTTGGAAGGACCTGTCGATATTCAAGTCAGTCACAAGTCGTCGTTCAACCTGTTGTTCCACCTCACCAGGATCATCAAGACTCGGCAATGGGGGCTCTTGCTAGTCATCATACTGAAGCCGTGAAGGCCAGCATTCCACCCCAGGCTTGTACTAAAGACCGCCAGCAGCAACAGCACCTTCACCATCGGCATCCTCACCATCAGCCTTGTCACCGAGAGGAAACTGGACCAGGATCAGATGCTGCATTACATTCCCGGTCGCCTAGCTCATGGCTGCCAGGCAATGTTTGTCCATATCATCAGTTCATTCAGCAGCAACATGTTCTACAGCAGCAACAACAGTCCCAGCTCCAAGCTCTTGAGAAACTCCTATCTCTACCCACACCAGGTTCTGTCGCACCTGCTGACAAAACTGGGAGCTGCAAGCATCGCCATGCTCGCAAGAAGAACAAAAAGAAAGCTGATGCTGATGCGTACCCATTGATGAGCACGGACCCTAGTGCACTCGCCACCAGCAATGCACCGCACACCAAGTCAGAACCGGGTAATGGTGGTGCTCTTGCTGCTTCCCATGCCCCGAATCACGGTTCGCATTGCCATTCTAAATCCGCAGCTGAACATGGCCATAGCAAAGTTGAAAAGGAGCCATCTCTTTTCTCCCCTGCTTCAAAGCTGAGTGATGGATGTTCAGTTGTAACATCATCAACTTCATCTTCCTCATCGTCGTCGTCGTCATCATCACCTGTTCTGAAATCTTGTGCACTATCTACCTCAGCAGTGCTAGTCCAGCCGGATTCTCTGAAAACTACACGCACGTCTATGTCTGCTAATGTACAGCAACACAAGAGGCATCCGCCATCACATCTCAGATCCACCATTTCTGAAGGTTCCATCAATGATTTCTCGCTGGCACCTAGTGAATCACTGAGAGTCGAAGATCTTGGCGATGAACTGGATCGTCTGGAAGAAGACTTGGCTGTACTTTCCTTGCTCAATGACCGCGATGCATCCATTGATCGTTGTTCAATGGATAGAGCAGTTTCGTCAGCATCGGATGAAGCTAACTTGCTAGCACTGGACGCAAGGTAAGGATTTGCGTCTGCTTTTCAGCAATATAATGTACTACAATGCGTGCGTACTTGTACGATCTCCAATTTCCCTTTTACATATCCAGGTGTGCCCATCGACTAAGGGTTGTATCGCTTTTCTGTATTGTTTTGGGTGAAGTGCTTCTATCTCAGTTCACCCTCTTCCACCGCTCTCTGTTCTTGTAATCTTGTCTCGTTGATGGCCTGCACCTGCTTTCAGTCAAAAAATAAATAAAAAACGAAAAACAACAACAAAAACGCCTGTTGTAGTGGTCTCAGTCCTCATTCGTTAGACTTGTCTTTATAAATGTAAAATGTCTCTCTCTCTCTCTCTCTCTCTCTCTCTCTCTCTCTCTCTCTCTCTCTCTCTCTCTCTCTCTCTCGTTCTCTTCATGATCATTGGGCTTTGCAGTGACCTAAATTTCAGCTACTGGGACAGTCGGCTGCCAGATTTGATTAGTATTCTATCCGAGCTGGAGAATGATTCCAATGCCAGCACGGAAGTATCTCCCCGTCAAGCCACTCCTGTGTCGCGTGTTCATCCAACCAGCAGCTCCATGCCAAGTGAGCTGCTTGCTCAGCATGAAAGTAATCTCTGTCAAACACTGGACTATGTCTTAGACCGATGAATTTTGAATTTGAAGACTGTCTCACCCCTCCCCCAACACATACGCACATGCACACGACACGCCCATCAGGCTATGAGGGCATTTTTACTTTTATTCTTTATTAGCAATGTACAGTAGCAGTGTGCCTGACACTGCGTACCAACTTGGATAGCAGATACAATTCATGCTGGGCCGAGGGTCCGGATCGTGGGATGTATGTGAATAGTGACCTCCACTTGTCATGGGCCACTACTTGCCTTCAAAATATCAGTGCTCTATTTCTCTTATGCCTGTGATTTTAAAGTACTGAAGTACACTGTATTCTTGTGACCTGTAGTTGTCACTGAAGAAGTATTTTGTCCTATTTACTTCAAGAAGTTTTTTTTATGAGTACATCATTTTATTCTGACCTTGACTTGGCTTGAGCCGAATCTATTCACACTTATTTCTGTTCCTCATTGTTTTCACATGCAGTGCAAGTTGTGTACGTTTGCTTGGCATACTGGCCTGCCCCCCCCCCCCCCCACACACACACGCGCCACATTTGTCCATATGACATGCATGATGCACTTCACCGACCTTGGCTTCAGTACCGGTAGGTAGTAGGCGCATGGCATCGCCACTTGAATGCATGTACATGTACTATGATCGACTATGACCTGTGAGGCTGTGCCCGATTGTACCTGCTCCGTCCTTTCCTCTGATTCTGCCGATCCTGAATGCCTCACTAATGAGGTATTCCCGGCTTTGACCTCAACCTCTGTGACTGACTGTAAGGTATGCAATTCAGCACAGATTCCATGCACTTGAAACTTATTTTTTCATCATCCAGGTATCTACTCGTACCTGAACCCCATGATGCGACGATGGCCATCAATTACTATAAACGATCCATAAATTATATGCAATTGAGTCTCGATCATGAAGCCTCTTCAAGTTACGGGCAAAAGAAACACAATGGATGAAAATGCAATACAAATGCAAAACTACAGCAGCATGCTAGCACCTAATACACATTAATTAAATACAAACTAGTGAATACAATAATTATTAAAATCATGAGAACTAGGACCAACAAAACCTCACATATCCCCCTCCACAACAGCCTTTTGAGTGATTTAGAACAGTGGGAATTACCAGAATAATAACTTTTGCTTTTGTTGTTTTGAATTATTATTATTTTCGAAGCTGATACTACTACCAAGAGTACATAACCCCCCCAACCAGAAAGTCGTAAAAATACTGACTCCTACAAGTACATGTCATTGTCAGTACAATCATATGTACGTCCTGTCGACGTCGTAGACTCATACAGAATCTATAATATCTAAAACTTGTAAAAGAGTCGTAGTAGCCCTACGCTCGATCGATCGCGCGTGCTACTCGCTACGCCTACAAATATCTGAATATGGCTCGGTAAAAAAAATTGCCACGTGCAGTGCGTGGCGCTTGGTGTTTTTTTCTTTTCATTTCAACGAAAAATGGTCAAGAACTGAAGAAGTCTTCAACTTACTTGAGTTGCACTACAGTCCACAACCCCCAGCTCGCTGCTGCCAGTGCAGGTCTTTTCGCCGTGAGTTTGCCAATCTTCGTCTCCCCGGTCCCCGACCACTCCGCCTTTAGAGTATTGACCACTTACACCAGTCCACGTCTGCAGTGGATGCGGATCCCCCGCGGAGGAGGATTGCAGGGAGCACGTCCTGACACCAGTATTCGACTTTTCTTTTATTGCTATCAGTTCACAGCAACAACCGTACTCCGTAGACAACTTTTCTTCTCCGTTGCCTTCACTTGATGTACAGTATTTTATAACTAGACTTCATTTTCTACATCATGGAGATGCTCGGTTCAGCACCTGGAGGTATACCTGGTCTACCTGGCTCTGGAGCCCAGGCAATGTTAGGTGTTGGATCAATGCCCGAGTCAGACTCGATTAAATTGTTCGTTGGCCAAATTCCAAGGACAATGGAAGAGAAAGATTTACGGGAAGTTTTCGAACCGTACGGTGTAATATGCGATCTGAAAGTCCTGAAGGATCAGTTCACTGGTTTCCACAAAGGTAAAGCAATCTGTTTGTGATTCATTTCCCCTTTTATCCTTTACTCGTTGTGGGTACATTATTACAAATGAAATCAGGAAGATGCTCACGGGCCTATTTTTAATAATTGAAATCTGCGCACACTGTACAAAGCTTCCAACAACTTTTTTCCATGCTGGTGTTGACAGCAAAACCTAGTTCCCGTGATTAATACTATGTACTGTGTACTCTATGGCTGTTCTATGGTGAAACCTGTAACTAACGACCACCACATTGGTGCACAGAAAAGTGGTCTTTAGTGACAGGTGATCTTTACTTGGAGTTCTGCGACCGTGTGACCCTATAATTATGGACTCCCTACTCTTTCTGTGGACGGTAGCTGGGAGTCGTAGCTTCTAGGGAGACGGCATGATACCATAGTACAGTTGAACATCGATTATCCGACCACCTCGGGGCAGACAACTGTCAGGCGGTGTTCAGATAAGGCAAATGTTCCGGATAAGAAAAAAACTGTCACTCACACACTTTCAGTGGTTATTACCAGCCACACGACCTTTTTACTTTTTACTTTTCAAAATTTTCGTATTTTTTGAATGGCTCACTACATGCACAGTGCGTACTCTACGGCACGTGCGCCCAAAAAAACTGTTACGGATAATCGAATGGTCGGATAGTCGATGTGCGGATAATCGATGTTCAACTGTACTTGAAAAGATGTGCGTTTGGCCCCCATAGTTGGAAGTTCTATGTGATCTGTGTGGTTTATGCAACTGGTGATCGTGGTATACCGTATTTTTCCGGTTGTAAGTCGACCTTTTACGACTAAAAATAGGAGGAGAAAGGGTGGGGTTCGACTTACAACCGGGATTCGACTTATAACCGGGAACTGTCGGTATTCTACAAAAAATGACCTGCACTGCATGCACCATGTGTACACATTTTTGCCAGTTTATTGGCATTTTTCAAGGATTGGGACGGTATGCCCTCCAATATGGAATGTTTACCTGATTTGTTGATGTGTTAGTAGCAGGGAGTGGTTAGTAATGCTTCGTTGGGTGAAAACTTTAAAACGCAGAATTGAGACCTCCAGATACGGGGGTCGACTTACAACCGGTAAAATACGGTATTTGCGTGACTGGTACAACTTTTACAAATCTACAAGCAACTCTTGAACCTTTTGTACAACTTTGCTGCAAAGAAGGTCAAAATCGTATATCGGATGTCGTATTGTGAAAGTGGAGCCAAGCTCAACTTCTGCGGTGGGCCACTTGCAACAGTTGCATCTGTGAGATGGATGCGATTTGAGGATTTCCTGGTTTCCCAGACGTCACACCGCGCATCGCAGAAATGCTTCTGTGAATCCCACTGAAGCCACATCGTTTCACGTTCCAGTTGCCTGTGTTGTCTCCGTAGAGGATATGATATGAGTCCAACATACACTGCTGTCACTGGTCAGGGCAGTTCTACTGTACATGTAATGTACTTCTCTCTTGCTCAATACTATTCATATTTTGCAGCTCATTTCTTCTCAAAACAGTGAGATTTAGTAGAGAAATTTATAAAGAAAGAGAGCATACCGTATTTCCGCGCATATAAAGCCATGGCGTTATATCCGAATATAAGGCTACCCTCACTTATAAAGCCATGGCGTTCTAAGTGAACAAATTTCAATGTGGAGGAAGTTGCATCCGGCGTTAAAGGTGAGTTCAATTCTTTCAGTGAACCTACAGTAGCGGTGATTCTCTCTACATGTACCCATCCCCACTGTCACATGCCATACCGCCACCGCACCTTCACACAAGTTTGTATGCCACCTTGTACACAATAGGTTCACAATTTGAAGTTTTCAGGGAAAGTTGAAAGTACTGTAGAGGCAGAAAATTTTGTCGGTCAATACTTTCGTCCAACTCGAAAGAAAAGGAGTTCGTCCGGTTGAAAATTTCGTCCATGGATCATAAGAGTGTATAGAAAAGCTGGACAAATCGACATTAGTCCTACATTTAATTTAGTCCAAAAGCTCCTTGGACGAAAAAGACGAAATTAAATTCCAGACGAATATTTCTGCTTATACAGTATATGGATGCTCGACATGAACGTGCAACGGCACCATACGAGTACTCGAAGTTCATACTCTGCCGATTTTTTCATGTAAGCGTCTCTCACTTTTAGCGCCATGGCGTTAAAACCGAGGCTATTTTCTCCAAAAATTTGGTCCAAAACAGCGATGTTTCACCTATAACGCCATGGCTTTATATGCGCGGAAATACGGTATGAATCTAAAACAGATTCTTACGCTCTCTTTCTTTATAAGGTTCTTTTGTATTTGAGATTGATTTAGTGACGCTAATTTAGTACTTCCTGAAGTAGAGAGCACTATTTTGTGTTACTGGTGGAATCCTGATAATTCGAACCTCGAAATGCCAGGATAAAACTTCTAATTATCCAAACATGAGCCCACAACACAATATGTATGTCAAAATGCTCTCATGGTCACGCAGAGTTGCGCTATGGGCCTTAGACACAGATTTCACGGATACTGAACTGACCGACACAGCCCGCTCATGCAAACTGCACTGACCAGTACAGTGTACAGTAAACTTTGAATTACACTTTGCTAACTTTGAATTATCAGCACAAATCCCACACATTTTCTATGTAAGTGGAATCTGTGGGACTTCTAATTAACCGAACATGTCCAGTTCAAGGTTCGAATTATCAGAAATTGTTATGTGGGAATCGTATTGATAGAAATCGGTCCTGAAAAAACTTCTAATTAAGTGGTATGTTCGAATTAAGCCGTACTAGTATTCGAATTACTTGTATCAGTATTCCACCTGTACGTGTGTGCTTGAACAGCCACAGCCTTGATGCTGCGATGAATGTTTTTCCTAGTGTAAAAACAGCCATAACGTTTTCTTTGACAATGACCTTTACCTGCCATACAGATACTGTTGCATCAGTTCAGCAAAGTTATTGTTTTGGTAAAAAGGACCCCGTTAGATCTGAGTAGCTCTGCCCTGGGTTTGTCTATCTTTGCTCTGGGAATCTTGACCCGACTAATTGATCGCAATTGGGTGCATCCTGTGTGTCTGGATCTGGATATGCGAAATGATTACAGTCCAACCCAATTCAAAGATGTTCTTCCCCATGTTTTGCATATCAGTTAGAAGTTCTAGTATGGTGCATGACTGAGCTGCAAGTATTATTCTGCCGTGATTTTCCAGGATGCTGCTTTGTGACGTATCAGACAAGAGCTCAAGCCGACCGTTGTATGATTGAACTACATGATAAGAGAACCCTGCATGGAGTGAGTCACAGTGATTGGCCTTGTTTGTTGTGCTACCTGTCCACTACCTGTCCACATGCTTGCACATTTGATGGGGATGGTCATTTCTAAGTTCAAAGGATTACTGTCACCACCTGAGTTTGTACCAGGGGCCTTTGCTGTTGGCCAGTGATGTTCTACTACATGTAGTAGCCATTTTTCGCCTTGTGTTTTCACTGTTCTCTACTGTGCAGTACACACATACCTATATGCAGGGTAGACCCAACAGAATATCAAGTTATACATTCCATGGGATTGTGTAGTACTGGTAGTAGTCACTATCTTCCAGGGATTCCTAAGAAGTAGACATTCCAGACTGCAGCGTTAGTGGAGTGTACGCGGTCTCTCTCTCTCTCTCTCTCTCTCTCTCTCTCTCTCTCTTTCTCTCTCTCTTTCTCTCGCTCTCTCTCTCTCTCTTTCTCTCTCTCTCTCTCTCTTTCTCTCTCTCTCTCTCTCTCTCTCTCTCTCTCTCTCTCTCTCTCTCCGCACACCGTGACCATGCCCACTTGTAGCGATGATACCGTCACAGCTCGGCGTGTACACACGTATACACATACAAGCGCGCATCCACACGCACGCACTCACTGGGGCTACAGAGACACACTCACTGGTGCTTGGCTGCAGGCTGCAGCGGGGCACGTGCACTAACTTTCTCTGTGTGCTTGTCATGATTGTGACGTGCGGCTGCGCGCCTCTTTGGTTTATAGTCGTAGTCTTAGTGCCGTTGTCTTGTCCAGTTTGGTAGATGGCCTGTCCCGTTTTGTCGTGCATGCCGCTCCCTCGTTGCCTTGCGCCTGTTGTGTGGCTCTACACATGCGTGCATGTGTGTGCTGTGTACCTGTGTGGCTATATGTGTTGCTGCATGTCGTGTAGATGAATCGTGCACTTCAAGTCAAGCCAGCAGATGAAGGCAAGCCTGGTAAGGTGCATAGTATATGCTATGCTTCGATGTTAGTACCGTAAAGTACCGCGAGAGCACCCAGGCTTTATTTTACAGCCGGGGAGAAGAAGATTGTGAAGTAGAGCCCACGCCGTTTGTGCGGTGTGAGAACCTTAGTGTGCTATAGTCACACTCAGCATGTTCTTGTATGGGGCTCCAAAATAAACTTACTAAGTACGAATTAGCCGCACGTCCTGCAATGTGTATACAAGATACGTGTCGTATGATCTACAGACAGAGGGGCATCACCTCTAAACCCGACCACGCATGGAGCAAATGATGGGTGCTCTCGTGGTACTTAACGGTATACGAACACTCAGATAGATTTCTAAGTACAGTTGCGCTCACTGAAATCCGACCCAAAGTGCAAAGCTGGTGCCCTGGACCAGTTCCGATTACATCATTGTGGGTGTACATGTGTACGTCCAGCCGCATTCATTCCACTGCCAGGGCGTCAAGGGCCGTGCAAGTTGAGGGCGCCAGTTTTGCACATTGGGTCGGATTTCAGTGAGCGCAACTGTAGTAACAACTAGGCGATGTTGCTACTTCCAAATGTATCTGAGTGTTAGGCGACGACGAACGAATAATATCAAGAGTACATAACCCCCCAGAGTGTGCAACGCCTGATCCAGCTCTGCATAGGGTCTTGGTCGAGCGGAATCGGATCTTTGCGTCATAATACCGTACACATCTGAGGGGAACCCGGGGAGTCGCGGGTACTCTTGGATCAAAAACAATGGTGCCCTGCCTCGAGACCGGCCTTGCGCTGGTGTGAAGTGTACGCATGACATCAGAAGATCCGATTCCGCTCGACCAAGACCCTACACAGAGCTGGATCGGCGTTGCACACTCTGGGGGGTTATGTACTCTTGATAATATCCTATTCTCCGTCTAGTAGGCGTCTACCAGTGATGCACTTCTAAGGTTCCTTGTGTGCTCCCTCTCTCTCCCTCTCCCTCTCACGTGTATACCTTGTATTCTGGGTTCGGCCACTACAGGGAAGTTATAGCATCTAGGGAGATGACACAGGCGTGTGGGGCAAGAAGTGATGCAGGCTTCGCTCCCAGGGTACCCGTTTCAGTAGCCCGTTAGGGTGGGGCTCATTTATGCACACTCACATACGGCATCCCAGAAGTGAGCTGTTTTGGGTTCAGCTGGTCACGATCGTGTGTTGCATAGTAATGCCCATAGCTTTGAGTGCTAAGATCTCGGGATGTGTCCTTTAAGTTATATGTTACGACTCCTTGGTCACTGCATACTGCTTGCTAGTTCTCGTGCTCATGTCATTTCGATAGATTCAGTACAGTGTCATAGTCAGTGTGTGAGGTGACTGCATGTCCAGTCTTTCTGTAGCAATTTTTTGTCCGCTTGTGTTTCGTTGTTTCGGTTGATGATGTACAGAGAACCGAAAACTCTTTATTGGCATGCTTTCAAAGTCGGTTGATGAGAATCAACTGAGATCAATGCTGGCTCCCTATGGCACCGTGGAGGAGTGCAATATTCTCAAGGATGAGCATGGTGTGAGCAGATCATGTGGCTTTGCTCTGCTCTCATCCAAGCAGCAATGTCTAAATGCAATCCGGTCTTTGCATAACTCCAACACCATGCCGGTAGGTTCTGGTCCTCTGTTCGACTGCTGTTTGGGGTTTTTAATATATATTTTATAATTGACTATATTCAACCTATGAATGACCATGTCCTAAGCTTTGCGGTGGGCCTGATGATCTACTCACCTCTCACTGTGCACGCGTCCATTCCAAATTATGTTGCATATCGTTTTTCAATCCTTTGCTGCTGCTGTTGTGCAGGGTGCAAAGTCACCACTACAAGTCAAGTTTGCTGACTCGGAGAAGGATCGCCAAGCACGCAAAATCCAGAAGGCAGGTGGCAACATGTTTCCTGGAATGATGCCCTATGTAGGCGGTGCTGGTGGTGGTGCCGTGGGACAGAGCACTTCAGCTGCTGCTGCTGCAGCTGCCACTAACCCACTAGCTATCTACCAACAAATTGCTGCCCTTCAGTCACTATTGACTGGTTCATCTGCCACTGGTGCTGGCAATGGCGCCAATGGGCCTGCTGCAGCGGCTGCAGCTGCTACTTCAGCTTCTGACCCAAGTATGTACTGCTTATGGGCTTTGATATTGGCAAGTGTGTGTGTGTGTGTGTGTGTCTGTGTGTGTTGGGGGTGGCAATGTTTCAGATTCTTCGAAAGTTTGTGTGCATATTATTTCAATGCTGTTGACTGACAGCTTCCTAAATACCGTAGTGTATTGTATTAAAGCCTGATTTTCAAGATACACTGTCCGCACATAAGCCTGGTTTTAGTGTTGATGTACATAGAAATACCTGTCTTGTATAGAAACCTGTCTCATATAGAAGCCGGCAAAATTTCCCTAAAAAGTCATAAAGGCCATGGTAAAAAAAATAGTTGATTCTCAGGTCATGAGCCTGTGAAAATCGGTGCGAGCGAGCCATTTTTTTGTTTTATTTCCCACTATTTTTTTATTTCCAAAGATAGGGCCGGTCACACATATGTACATGGTCACATGTTCATAAATTCAGGCCATGGCCAGGGAGTAGAAAAATACCGGTATTTTACTTCTCCCTGATTCATGCCTTTCGCATTGACCGTTTTCATTCGCACATATGCATGCATAGAAATAAAAAAAATTGTCGGCGCGCCGCCAAAAACCGGTGCGCACGTACTGGAGAATCAAGGATAATTTTTACTATGGCCTAAACCGTGGCTTTTATACACGACTTTACCGTACCCTTTCAAATGACTGACTAGGATTGGTTTCTTCTTTTCTTTTTTTCATGCCTGGTCCTCGGTGTGCAACGGTGGACGAAGAATGACAGTGGTTCTTTCTCGGCGGTTTTCGTACCGGGCACGCATTTTGGCCGTCAGCCGGCTCAATGTGTACCTTTGGTTGAATCTTGTCTTTGTGTTGTTGCAGCTGGACTCACGAACATCGCTCTCTATCAACAACTCATGGGTGGCGGTGTACCCCTAGCCCAGAACATGGCCCAGCCTGGTCATCAGTATCCACAGCAAAGAGAAGGTACTTACATACCGACTTTTCCGGAGTAGAAGCCGCACTTTAAACACCAGTAATTCTCCCATAAATAGTCGATGGTGCAGCTTATACAACTATGGTCAGAATAACAGTGACAAATGTGGTTGCTGTCTGCATTTCGTGAAAAACCTGTCCGCGGCTTTTACTCCAGAAAGTACGGTAGGAAATTGGCAATGCACTTACTGCCACTAACACCTACTCTTGTACATACAGTGGGACTTTAGGAAGAGTAACCTGGACATGATATACTATGGGATACTTTTAAAGTACAAGTAACTGTTTTCAGTCCATTCATAGTAAACTGGCACCTTAACGTTTTTGTGTCTCCCACGTATAGTTGTAGACACCGTGAAAACAACAGCACCCAACTCAAATTCCCTGCCATTTCAGCAAATTGTATTCAAAGATTCCAGGTGGCTGAAATAATTATTGTGAATGATGGCCGCAGTGTGCTAACCCGTATAAACGGTGTGCCTAGCAGTTTATTGCCTCCAGAGCCACTCTCTTCTTGCTTGCAAGTTTGGCCGAGCAAAGCAAACTCGTATTCTCCACTGATCTCCAATGTGGCAGTGTCTGGTTGTGTATTGTTTGGGTGTTTGTCTGCAGGGCCTGATGGAGCCAACCTCTTCATCTACCACATCCCTGCTGAGTTTAGAGATGCCGACTTAGTGCAGATGTTTGCTCCCTTCGGGTCCATTTTGAGTGCGCGTGTTTTCATCGACAAAGCTACCAATCAGAGCAAGTGTTTTGGTAAGTCTGTACTGACTGCAGCACTGCACCACTGCACTGCTTACGGTATAAAGTACTGTCACTGGCGCTGGGTGCACTAACTGCAATCATGTTCACTGATCTGCAGAAGCTTGTGTTCTTCATGACTACAGTCTGTTTCAAAAAGATTAGCAATCCTGGCGATCGCCCGGGGAGTTTGCCGTATGAGCGCTCGAGCGCTGGCTGGAAAATTTCACTGTGAACTCGAAGAAATATTCCGCGCGAAAGCATGAAAAATGTCAACTCACTGACGTCGATACATGCACGTCTGGTTTACAACAAACGAGTTCTTCCTCGTATCGATATGGAGTCAGAGAGAACATGTCGAAAGTGTGGTAAATTTTGACGAGCGGGATGCGTCCCAATTCGTTTTGTGACCAAATAGATTCTTTGAGCTGCCGCGGATGCAATTTACTCTCACGATGTAACGAAAACGGCATCGACACAGACTCATTCCCAAGGCCATGATGTGGCAAAGCTATCCGTGTAACTTTGACGACATTTTGAGAAAAGCAGACGCCTGTGAAAGCTGATAGAAGACGGCGTTGACTCTTAAATTCAAATATATTGGCGATCTTGAAATACAGTTGCGCTAACTGAAATCCGACCCAATGTGCAAAACCGGCGCCCTCAACTTGCACGGCCCTTGACGCCCTGGCAGTGGAATGAATGCGGCTGGACGTACACATGTACACCCACAACGATGTAATCGGAACTGGTCCAGGGCGCCAGCTTTGCACTTTGGGTCGGATTTCAGTGAGCGCAACTGTACTAAAATAATTCTCAAATAGAAATCGATCGATGTGCCGGTGTATTCAACAACACGTAGCTACAGCGCAATGACTTCCGTGTTCACAACTTCACATGGCGTGAGCCAGTCAAGTGTTAGTCAGTTCGACAGGAAACGCGAGCTCCAACAACAAGTCGTTTGGCGCAGCCACCTTCTTTGTCTTGCAACTTACCAGCGTGATCACCAAAACAATGAAAAAATGATTGACTTGAAGATTTGTTGGGATTTGAACTCACAACTTCATGGTCAGCAGACAGCATTCAAATCCACAAGGCCAAAAAGGAAGGGATAAATCGTGGGTTTTGATAACAAATCGATACTGGCTTCCAGGGCAAATTATAAACCATGGGAAAAGGCCAGAAACCTGGCCGAAATTCTAACTCCTTCAAGCCTGATTCATACTTCATCTCGCGTACGGGAAACCCGTCGCGCGATGGGTTTCCCGTACGCGAAATAGTTGAGCTCAGATCAACTTTTTCGCAACGCGTTTCCCGTACGCGACATGAAGTATGAATCGGCCTTAACGGTTGGTCCAATTGTTCCGAAACCTTCACAGAACAATTTGCCGTGCCCTAACAAGCCATGTTATGTACTTTGTTGTCCAAATTTCCCTTATCTTCATACTTTTCAAGACCCAAACCTGATTGCTAATCTTTTTGAAACAGACTGTAGTATTGTCCAGCCAATGCTGCTCTGCTCTTGCAATAGTGGAACACAGAGGCTACATGTGTGCACATGTTTGGGTTGAAGTGTGCTTTTTTTTATAGGTTTAGCAGACTTATTTGCCGATTTCTTGTTTGTCTTGCTCTGTTCAGGTTTTGTAAGTTACGACAACGCCACATCAGCTGCAACTGCAATTCAGTCTATGAATGGCTTCCAAATTGGAACCAAGCGCCTCAAGGTGTCACTGAAGCGTGGCAAGGACGCCAGCAGACCGTACTAATTACGAAATGTAGTACTCAGTTCTACACCAATCAGAGCGGCTAGATGAAAGGCAGCTGTCGCTGTGTGTGTGTGTGTGTTTGTGCCCCCTATATATCACTTATCATGAAACCTGGATGTTGTGACGTTAGTCGTGGAGTTGTGCTCGTTCCAGTGTCTTGTGTTGTTGGTCCTTGTTGGCGCGTGCGTGGTGTGTTGGTGCTGGTGCTCTCTTGTTTCAATGTTTGCTTGTATGTGTGCATGTGTTGTGTTGCTCCACTGGTAGGTAGTACTGGTGGTGCTGGTTGGTGGCTGTGCGTGTGTTGTTCCACTGGAAGGTGGTGCTGGCTAGTGCTGGTTAGTGACTGCAGTCGCATTGCTCTCTTGTGTTGTAGTTGTGCTTATACAGGACGTGTTTCTGGCTGTCTCGTCTGTTTCCGTTTCAGTGGTTCTTATTTTATGTGTTTCTTCCTCGTGCAGTGAAGTCTAAAGCTTATTTTTATAGCCATTTTGCCCTCTGTTTTTTGTGTTAAAATCAGCGACGCATATCTCGCTCTCCCAGTCGCTCAATATCTGAGTACCTGCTAATGTTGAGAGTAACTTTTCTCCCTTTCTATTTGTTTCTGCACCTCGTTAATATCCGTGCTATTAATTACGCTTCAGTTAAATTGATTATGTGCAGCAGATGATTGTGTCTTGTTTCTGATATTGTCTCTCCTTTCATTCTCTCGCTTTCTTCTTTGCTTTTTGTTGTTGTGGCAACTGAAAGCAGGTGTTATGAATTTGTGTTGGAAATCCAGAAATTCAAGTCATTGTCTTGTGAGGCTAATGATCAGTGAGTGTATGTGAAGAGCAGAGTTGCACCGCGCGTATCTGCTCTTGCCTCTTATAGGCTATTCGTACTACGTTACAATACGCGTCACGTTTTGGAATACGACGTACTGGCAGACGTCGTTTTCATGCAGATGTATTCATACAGGCACGTATACGCTTTTCGTACAGCTGTGCGCGCAGCTTCTTTTGGACACAAACAGCTGGGAACGACAGAACGAACGTCGGTGCAGGGGTCTGGATACGTCGTCTACGTTTTCGTATCAGGGGTACGATTTTCCCGCCACGTTCCATGTTGTCATGGCTATCCAGGCGAAAACGTCACGTACTCCACGTTTTGGGCGTGAATGGCCCATTATCCTGGTAGGAGTAAATACCAGTAACCATCACCCCCCCCCCCCCCCCCACTACATGTAGCCCCATATAATAATTATTATAAACACTGGACATGGATACTGGATATTATAACTGTACTCAGTAACTCTTTACATTTTACAGGCTATGTTTTGAAGTTGATTGTTCCAACTAGGAACACACGCTTCTTGCCGAACTTGACACTTGACTGACTCACGACTGCCATCCGGAGCACACGAGGAGCACGCCGCACCTTCCACTCGGCAAACCTGCATGTTTATGGCTATGTTTTATTATTAATATTATTGTAAAGCTTTCCTTTTGATCTTGTCTCTTATTGTTGTGTACTTTCCACATGTAGCCCTGCGGCCTGGTGCAACTGAGGCGGAGGGTGGGGGTACAGTAGCACCACCCCCCCCCCCCCCCTCTACTTGTAGCCCTAGCCTAGGCCTGGTCCAACGGTGTAGTGGGGGGGGGGGGGGGGGTTACAGTGCAATGATATAGGGCTGAAACGATTATACCGAATAATCGAGTACGAGGTGATTCGTCATTATTTAACACGAAAGTAAAAAAGCCTTCCGTAGGGTTCGAGGTGCGAATCTTTCCATTTCTTCCTCCAAAAATGTAATACTGATGTCCTTAGATTGCAATGGTGGGTTGTTCATGCACATATTCCTTGGTGTTGGGAAGCAGGGGGAAGTTGAAAAATGGCAGTTTTCCGCATATTATTTGTTGTGGTCATTTCTTAATATCATGGCAAAATAGGCCTTAGCAGCACAATTTCAAGTCAGTTTTCAATAGAAAGAGACCCTACGTATCCAGGATGGTCCAGCAAGACTGGATCAAGATCATGTTGATCCAAATACAAGCCATTCAAGCTCCCATAGCAGTAGGTGTATCACCCTGATTTTATATGCAATTGTGATCAACATCTGTTAGTAAATTCAGTAATCTGTCCCTCCAGGAAATCGCGATTCCACGGATGCAACAAATTTCGCGATTTTGGCCCAAACCCGCGATTTTCAGCAAAATCCGCGATTTCCCGCGTTTTTTGTTGTTTTCTGCACTACATCTCACATTGTTATGCACTTTTCACGCAGTTCTTTCCATGATCCTAGGGTATTTGCACAGTACGACTCCCGAGTAGATATACGATGCATCAAATTTCGTGATTTGGCCCAAATCCGCAATTTTCTGCAAATAATTTCGCGAATTCCTGGCAAGTTCTGCATCATTCCGCACATTTCGTCGCATTTTTTGTTACCTTCTGCCGCAATTTCTTGCGCAAATTTTCGGGAGTTTTTTCCGCAAATTCCCGCAGGGACAGAGTAATTGCCAATGTGTGGCCATTACCAGGGCCAACACACCCCATTCCTCCTTCCCAGGCGTCGTTTCCAGTATGTATCTATCATATGCTTCCTTTTCAGCTAAATATATTGTCACTGGAGGTTGAAACCAGCGGCTATGACTCTCTTAGACTCTATTTTACCGTGAACATCGCGCACATGCAGACTGAAAGCTCTTGCAATGTCACTTCCTGAAGGAATATCAGTCTCAATTTTGGAGGCGAACTTGACAGAACATTGACAATGGCAATGGCAAAAAGAAATTTGACGTGACTTTTTGCAGGCGCTGGCAATGAGATATTTTACCGATTTGTTAAGAAATGACGCAATGTTAAAAAATTACGAATCACCTCGTACTCGTTTGATAACTCTAACGATCGAGCAATCGTTTAGATTACCGATTACGATTATCTAGTTACAGTGGAGGAGAGTTACTCTTAACTCGTTTCCATATGTCCTTTTCCTTTCTACTTTTACTGGCTCAATACCCGAGTTTCAGATTACGATTATTTTGCGTTTTTTTAATTTGTGTCCAGAAAGTACTGTAAACCCTCGTTTTGTGAAGTAAGTTTGAATCAGTTTCCGCTGGGAGTATGCAGTTGCCAGGGGTATGGTTCACGTTCTGAGGTTAAATTGACTTCAAAACTGCCATGTTTCGGAGCTACCCTTTCACTAATGCAGATTTGTTGGTATTATGAAGGCATAGTTTGAGGAAACAGAGTAATGTTTGCACTGAATTATGACTCTATTTGCTAACGATTATAATCGATTACTCGAAAGAGTAATCGATACGTGAAAATCCACGATCGTTTCAGCCCTATATAAAATTGATTATGTACATAATTATCTGCGCTACCCCCGACATGTAGCCCTAGGCCCTGCGCCGCCTGGTGGGGTGGCGTATACAGTCATGTAGATCTACCTGTTTGTCGAGTCTGCTCCCTGCTCCTCCCTCCTCGGACGTGTTCCGTAGCTTCTATACTGGAAGATAGCTACTGAACTAACGACTCACACACAAGTACACTGTCCTTTGTGAGAGTCCTTAGCTCAGCAGCTATCGGAATACATAGTCATAGTCATTGTACATTCTGCTGATCATGCTCCGTCTGGAAATCTTGCGAGCGAAAGAGGTCCGGTGCCAGCATAGTGAAATACCAAAACCCGGTGCTACATACTCGTTGTAGCTGTATCATGCCATGCACTTACATGTAGTTCTAGCTACGGAAATCTTCTTCGCAGGCATGTACACGTGTACTGCTAGTGTGCAAGAATGATCAGATTAGTAAATTGGTCTTTATCAATATTCAATAGCCATCCGTTACAACTAGTAGCGCGGCTAGTAGGCGGCAGTATTGAGAGTATCGGCACAGCACTATTGGGAAACTGCTCTCGGGGGCTGGACCGCGTACCGTGGCTCTTTATCTGGGCAGTGGGTAGCTAGCTATCTGTCCGGTTCCCAACCTTGGGAGGCACGATGATTTGCAGCACCAGGCATCGATAGAGCGAAGTGGCAAATGGGCGTCCATGGCGAATATCATCATTTCCACTGGCTACTTAGCTATTAAACTAATAAAGTAATAGAGTCTACTGGTCTGGAGTCGAGAAAACGATGATACACACGGCACTCCTGTCTACGCTGTACTGCCACCCTAACCAGAAGTTGGAGTCTTTTGAGCAAGTCCGGCTGCCACGACTTTGAGGTCAAGGCCCGGTGAGTCATGCAACCAGGCGGACGGACAGCTGAGCTGGGCTAGGGCTAGCGACACAGTCAGTAGGTCTACTCAGTAGCATCAAGAGCACATGGTTTAATGTTATGTACTCTTGGCTTGAGCTTGAGAAATAAACTAAACGTTTGGTGGACGTAACTAACTTGGTCAATCGGCATGGCACTCACTCAGCGAGATCAGCCTCTCACTAGCATTTTACATGCACATGTATGTGCATGTCATGATGTAACATGTAATTACTAGAACGTACTTTTTAAAATTACTAAACTAAAGGCTAGTAAAGCACGTGACTAGCCAATGGTTAGTTTAGTAACGTATGTAACTGTTGTTTGCAGTAAGTTGCATCACCATTCTTACAAGACATGCCGGAACATCACAGTCATATGCATGTACTTGGAAGTACTGAGTACGACACTGATTATGTACATGTACGTCATGCACATGTACTAACGTTACTTTGTTATTTGTTAACTATTACTTGTACAGTGGTCCCTCTATAATCCGGCACCATTTGTGCCACGAAAATCTGCTGGATTAGGGAGGGTGCTGGATTAACAAATCTGATTTACTGCTGCAATGTGCGTGAAGAGGATATTTTGGCTACTGAAAATTGTGCTGGTTTATCGAGGGTGCTGGATTATAAAGTGCCGGATTAGAGAGGGACGACTGTACAATGTATTTTAAAAGGCTATGTGTTTACTTGTAAACGTTCACAGACTCAGTACATGTTCTGAACATGTTCCTGGTACGGTGTGCATGGCATGGCCCTGTAGCTGTCACTTCGCTTGTCACTCACGATCACAGATACTGGTAACAAAACAGAGGGATACTATTCACAACATAACAAACCCAGTACTGTACGAATGCATGCACGCTGTAGACTGCCGCTATTCGGTCTACACCATGCATGCAGGGAGTCGTGTCCAAAGGAAATGACTATGAAATCGTATTGTTGCAAGGACGCAAGGACCACTACATGACGATTGTACATGTATGGAGCCGGTTCAATCCATTGAGGGCCCAATGGCAATGATGTCAATGACTCAATGAGTCATTGTGTCTTGAAGAGTCACCACTGAGCTATGTGACTATGTGAGTATGTCCATCGGAAGAAAGGACTACTTCGAAGTACAAAGTACAATTATTACAAGTTTAATTAATACATGTAGTTACAAAATACTGGGAGACTTGTAGTGAGAGCAAGAGTAGATCTACTCTTGCCTTGGTGAGAGCCATTATCATGCTAATGGTCACATCATTGTTATCATTATGATTGTGTCAGCACTGACTCAGCAGTACAGACAGGTACAATACAGTCATGCACTGGCACTGTGCCAGTCTGCCACTGTGCCAGTCTGCTACATGGCTACATGCGCTAGGGCTCTTTTGACACAGCCTTTATTCTCTGCTACTGAGTACTAGTACACTGTACTACTACTGTCATGTACTAGTATGTCACTTGTCAGTATGAGTATGACTGTGCTAGCTCATGCACACAATGCATGTGTCACGATTGCCAATCATTGACATGTCATTGTGCCTCCGCCTAGTCTCGTGATCCACAGTGCGAACTAAGAATAGTGATGTAGACTACTATTGTAGTATGCGACATCGGCGGTGAAGAAGGTGTCTACTCCGAACGTCGGAGCTCTCGCTTCCTGCCGACTGTAACTAAACGTGACACTAACTAATTGAGTGACTGATCATGAGTCACGGCTGCGTCTGGACTCTGGAGCACGCGAGTCGCGAGAAGCCCGTCGAACCTTCTTTAGTAGTCTAGATACAGTGCAAGGCGGTCGGGTGCCAGACGGCGAGGCTTAGCGTGGACGGGGTGGCCATCATGTGACTATGCGGTGTGTCACATTGTGCTTGACAGGCGAGTCACCAGTGGTCGGTCGGACAAGGTCAGGAAACTCACTCAGCAGGGCAGAATACTCACTAGGGCTATCAGTGTCCAGCAGGTTGGTAGCGGAGGTGCTGACATCCGAGGCGAATCCGACAACGGCAAGTTGAGTAGTGGAGTCCCGCAGACATCTGGCGGCCAGGTCGACAGTGAGTTGGAAGTGGCCAAGGAAATCCGCACCCAGGATCGGATAGCTGACGTCAGCAACGACGAAGACCCATTTGAAAGTGCGTCGGAGACCTAAGTCTAAATCTAGCAGCTGCTGACCGTACGTGGCGATGCTGCTCTGATTCGCTGCACGGAGACGAGGACTATTGCGATGAACACGACGAGACAGAGTTACGAATGACGGAGGAAGAACACTGACGGCGGCGCCGGTGTCGACAAGGAACTCGACGGACTGGGAGCGATCCTTGACGAATAGGAGGCGACCGGTAGCGGTATTCGAGGGGCCAACCACACTAGCGGTCGCGACTAGTGGCTGGCCTTCCCGTTTCCCGACAGGAATCGGCAGGGGTCTCGGCATTTGTTCGCCTTCGCACCGAACGCACGGTGATACCAGCAAAGGTCGTCGTGATTGTCACGGCCGGGAGACCTGGAGGCACTTGGGTGGCGTGACGGTGGCCCGGGACTACGCTCTCGTTGGCGGCCACGCTGGGAAGGGGCACCGGTGTCACGGGTCATCACATTCACAGCGGACGTCAGCTTGGCGAGTTCAGCTCGGAGCTGGGCCATCTCAGCCCTGTCAGCGGTGCAGGCCTGTTCCGCATCTGTGGACGCTGTAGATCTACATGATAAGGCCGTATACGTACTAGACCGAGCAGGGCTAGGGGCTTCACTCAGAGTGTGAACACTTGTACCGGTGAGTGGGGTTGAGCACGTGCTTTCAACCACCTTGTCAGCAAGCGCTGCAAGTTCGTCCAGGCTGAGGCTTGCAGGTGTTGCAGCCAGAATCAGGCGGACCGTCACGGGCAAACGCTGTACAAATAGCTCGCGCAGGATAGTTGGGTCTAGAGACTTACTGCCCAAAAGCTGTTGCATGCGTCGGAGGACGCGACTTGGTCGGCTGTCCCCGATGTCGGCTGTTGAGAGTAGCTCACGCAACCGTGCCTGATCGGACTTTTGTGTGCGTGCGGTGAGCGCCTCTTTCAGGACTTGGTACGGCTCCTCGGCTGGCGGCGCTAGGAGCAAGTCCCGAATCTCAGCGGCGTATTCAGGAGCCAGCGAACTCACGACGACATTATACTTGGCCCGCGGGTTGGTGATGCGATGGTGGGCAAAATGCGCTTCTGCCTGTGCAAACCAAAGCTGCGGATCGCCGGGCCAGTACTGCGGCAGTCGGAAGGTGATGGCAGACACCGGACGGTCCGGTGCGTCGTGTTGGTCGTTGCGGGCGAGTGGTTGGTTTTGGGCCGGGGCGGAGGAGCTAGCGGCAGCTGAAGCTCCAGAGGCGGAAGCGGAAGAACCATCGTCGCTGGACATATTGCACTTTACTCACGTCGGGGGTCACCAATTTAGTAGTCTAGATACAGTGCAACGAGTGTTAGTTTCCAAGATCTTTACAAGACTGGCGAACACTAAATGTCATGAAGAAAGTGAAGAGAAAGGAGGTTTATATAGGAAAGAGATTGTGATAGAAGACTGTGCAATGAAGTTTGTTGTTTTGTTAGATATCTGACGTGTGCTGTTTGGAAGAAGTGTTTGGATGCAAACAGAACTTACAAGAGATGAGTAAAGACTACTTTTCTACAATAGCGTTGTAGGCGAGGAGTGCGTAACATCAAAAGATGTCGTAATGTGTATTGGAACTATGCTAGCCAAACATTACGTAATTATTATGGTAGCGAAGTACGTGTAGTAGGTATTACAATGTGTGCGAGAGTATGGTGAATCAGTGTTTGTGATGATGAGGAAAATATGACGTGTACATGCAAACAAATGATGATGTCATGATGCGAGAACGTCAGAGACGCTACACTTCCACCAGTTCCACTCGGCAAACCTGCAAGAAAGCCGCATCATTCATGATCTTTATCACTCCTTGCGGCTCAATACACGCGGGGCACCCTTCACCAGGTGAGCTTAATAATAATAATAATAATTCGCGGGATTCGCGTTGGCATCGCTTGAATGTTCAGAAACACACAAACTAGGCTTCGCCTCCGCAGGCGACCACTATGCCTATGCCTTGTACTGTTTGGTTAGGCTAATGTAAATTTTGCTCCAAGAGTACTGCATTTGTAGCGACCTCGCTGCATGACGTCAGCTCCCTCACCAGATATACGCATGCGCATGACACATTTCTTTCTCTTTGCTCTAAAATAAACAACAACAATTAGACAAAGTTGCCCTCTCCTCGGAGTTGTAATTTATTAGGCCCCAGGGTGGTATGTCCCGGGATTCATCTGTCTCCCCCGTGAACAGATACGACCTCTGCCATCCTGGGTGCCTAAATTGGTGACCCCCGACGCTGCGCTCGCGGAGCATTATAGTATTTTGACTTTCCGGATTTGGGAATTTGTGGTGCCTCTCGCCGCCCACCCGCCCTCGGCACACCTGGAGCTGCTGCGGACTACGCCCTCCTGCCGCCGCCATCCGTCGTCATGCTGCTTCCGCCCGTCAGCCTGCCAGCCATCACTGGTTTTCGCCGCAGTCCGTTCTTCCGTGCACCGCATTCTGGCTGCCTGTCAATCACCGGCTGTTGACATTAAACTTGAGCCTCAACATCCGCACCTCACCGCCTGGACCTGGAGCAGCTGTGGAGCAAACATTATGCTTGTAGTGCTTTCGGAGCCAAAAGGCAAAACATCACTACGGATACCAACTTTTATAGCTTAAGATTCTTTGCATCGATTCATTTGCCTGTTTGTTGTTGTCGTCGTCGTCGTCGTCGTCGTTGCTGCTGCTGCGGTTGTTGTTGTTCTACATGACACTTCTAGCGTTCTGTTGCGCGTACTTGCGCGTACTTGTAATATGTACTTGGTTTTGAAGTGAAGCTTTGCCTTTGGTCGTGACATCTTCAATGATCTTGTGTGGTGAGGGTGAAGAATGGGTATCTGGACTACAAAAGAACCTAGGAATCGGAACTTCTCAGAAGCTCGTAGCATCGTCATCTTTTGTCGCAGTCCAGGCTAGCCTAGCCTGGCCCTGGTCTGCAAAACGCACACTGCAGCATGCAGTGCAGGCTGCAGCTAGGCCCCGTGTGCCGGAATGTTTTTGAGCATTTTCGGTACCATCCTCGAACCCAGCACTTTGGGCTCGTGATGCAGCATTTTGGGGGAAACGGAGCACTTGGCCGTTGTGTATCAAAAATATTGAGAGAAGAAAAACTTCCCAAAGAAGAACGTCATTTCCGCATTCCGTGGGTTAGCTTCTTGACACTTGTTGAGTAGTTTATGAATTGAAAATAATGGTTTTGGCCAGGGAGTCGTAAAATACCGGTATTTTCTGACTCCCTGGTTTTGAGTCTTTTGACGGGGTGTGCTGAGGATTACAAAAAAGTGAGCATTTTCCGAGCATTTTCGGCAAGGTTTGGGAGCATTTTCGGCAAGGTTTACGAGAATTTCCCAAAAGCATTTTCGGCAAAGTTTCGGGCATATTACCATGATTACACGTACACCGGGCCCTAGCTGCACTGCAGCACGATCGGATCTGATATCGATTTACATGTACATGTATATCCAGGTAGTTATGGTTGCTGCGTTATGGTTATGTGCGTCACGTGCTCTGATCTGAATCGATAGCGCTGGCACGCAAACGCGCAAGTCTAATTGGGGGCATCTTGCATCCAGTTTTTCCAGTTTTGCCCGATATAGGGTTCACAACAAACTGGACCGTCCAGTTTGCTGCACTACAAAAGTCAAAAATGCTGACTGCATGCATAGCAGTGCATGCTGAGTCTTATCTAGTCTACAACAAGTCTGTTCCGTTGACACTTGCCCACTCCTATTCCTAACTAACTGTTACCTGTTTACCATGTTTAGGCTTCAGCCTTTCAGGCTTCTACCAACCGTATCCTGACAGTACTATTATATTATGTACTAGTAGATCTGAACTGAACTCTGCAGACAAGATTAGTTAGTGAAGTGATTTGGAGGTGCGTCCAGGGCAAGGCAGTGCAGGGTGATGGGTGACCACTGCCATTTCCTGACCTTGGTGACTGTACTCTGGTACTACACTGACCCTCACCAGGCCTTTACCTGTTTACCATGTTTAGTATTGTTTACTTGCTCTGGCCTTGCGTACAGTCTACTAGTCTGTCTGCACCACAAAGAATAATAAAAATAGATATGCTCACCACATTTTCACAAATAATTACATGTACATGATTGTATAACTTTTTTATAAGCCTTGGAAGGAAGTAAGTAGGCTTTGTTGTCAGTCGAGTCAGTCCTGCATGCATGCAGTGTAGACTGGTCTGTGTAGGGATAGCTAGGGGCGGGGTAGAAGATGAAAAATGCGTGAATACACTCACCACGCTCACTAGATGATCACCAGATCACTGTGACTCAGCTCAGCTCAGCAGCTATGCGCTAGCGTAAGACACGCATGCACGTAGATCTACGCAGTGCATGCTACGTAGTGCTTGGCGAACACAAAAGAACAGTACAGCTAGCTGTACGGTTCCTTTCTGCTTGTACCCGGGCCGCGGGGTAGACCTACAGAGTACAGGCCGCAGCGGTTGCAGTTACCAGTTCGACTACTACCACTGCAGCCGTACCAGTATCGAGCCGTGCACATCCGCAATCCAATGCGCAGTTCCCGCTGCTATGGTTGTGACACCGGCAGAAAGCAAGTCACTTACTCGACAGTTGCCGTCTGTAGTGATAGTAAAAAAAGGTGTGCGTGCCAGACACCACGTAAAGTCGATGTGTAAACGTTTCTTTGGAGTCGGTTGCTTTAGCGCGTGGTTGGAGAGCAAGGGAACTGCTAGCGCTAGTATCTGATGCGTAAGCAACGTAACCAGGTATCTTGTGAAACTTTGCGAAACCTTGTTCAAGACGAGAGTTTCTCTAGTATGGTGTCGATGTGAGCTGAAGTATGAGTTTGAGCGAGACACCAGTTGAGCCAACGTTGTCCGTTTGTTGCCTCTTGGATTCGCGGCCGCTGGTCCATCATTTTCAGACCACTCATTGATATTGGCCAGCTCCAGAGCAAGTCACGGATTGCTGTACTGACTGTACCGGAGTACACCGACGTGTAACTACTGCACTGTGCATGTGTGCTGTGTAGCGAGGAAAAACAGATTTGTGATTATTTTACTAGTACCATGACAAAGAATGATATCGATGGCGAAGAAGAGCATCGTGACGTCACACTACAACAGCCTGAACGTCATGAAGTGTGCCCTTCACCTCTTGATCTTCTGAAGTTTGACTATGAAGACATTGAGCATAGCAAGGCTGGGAAGGCTGTCGGCGAGCCAGGTGTTCACATTCACGCGGCTGGAGCTAAACAGTCGCAACAGGATAAATCCAAGCAGCCACGCTATCACCTAATCAATTTGATCATGGTCAGCATCTGCTTCTTCTTCGTTTTCACAGCGTTTATGTCTTTGCAGAACCTGCAGGCATCACTAAACGAGCACGGCAAGACATGCCTTGCCGTGCTTTACGGTCTGCTGATTGTGGCCTGCTTCATCACACCGCCTTTAGTTCAGCGCCTGTCACCGCGCGGCACACTGATCCTGTGCATCGTAGTGCACTGTGCATACACCGCAGCCAATTACTATCCCGTCGAGTATGTTCTCTTGCCGGCGTGCGCCTTGATTGGCCTGGCCTCCGCGCCGATGTGGACAGCGCAACAGATCTACGTGACGACCAGCGCACACATGTATTATGAATACACCAAGACACCGGCGCCTACCGTAGGCCCATCAAGCAAACAGGGCAGTGCTGCTGCTGCTGAAGGAGAAAGCACAATAGATAAAGTCATGGGACGCTTTAACGGCATCTTCTTCCTCATATTTCAGCTCGCACAGGTAAGTTAACTTGGAACACAGGTTCGGTGTGCGAGATCCCTTGCATACACAAACTTCATAAAATAAATGCAAGCACAGATACAAAAGTCCTCGCCAATCGGAAAGAAGAAGACAACGCAGGGTAGCGAAACACGACGATATGCTACTGATAATAATTACCGTATGCCCGCAGGCTTTAAAACCATGGAGGTATATTCGATCATAACGCCAGTCTCAGTTATAAAGCCATGGGCTTCATAAACGAAGTGACATGTGAAGTATGTTTTGTAAAAATGAAGGAATAAGTACTATACTAACAAACTTACAGCCCAGCAGGAAGGGTGAACAAGTGGATTTAGAGTGAAATTTATGTGTAGACTTTGACTTTTATTGCTTGGCGTAGTGGGTGAGTCATTTTGCATCTAAAATAGCTAGGAAAGCAGGGGTGTTTCGAACATAAGGACATGGCTTTAAAGGCGCTGACATACGGTATGTGTTTGGACAGTATGTCTAGCTGCTCCCCTGACTGGAAGAGTTTGTGCCTGGGCGCATGAGTGACTGGCACCAACGGTGTAGTAATCTGTGGCAATACAGTAATGCACTGCGGATCCCCCCTATTAGTCCTGGAGCCAGGTCCAGAAATCTGACAGTGTCATTTGACACCTCGTCCAGGAAAGATTTGACTTCAAATTCGTAGAGGCGGACCAACTATAGGAATTTTGGAGAAAACTAGAAGTTCCCAATGTTGTCCGTTTGGAAGTTATGAGCTATTTCTAAATTGCTTAGGTTACTATGGTAACTTGTGTGCAATTAGCCGTTCCTGAGGCAAAGCCGGTACAATTTTGGAGAAAAAAGTTACCTTGCTGGAAGGCGAGCTCTTTACAAGACTATTATTGAAAACCAGAAGTTTATAGGACTGTCGGCTTCCTTGTCACATGAATTTCTCGAATTTCTACGGTTACCGTGGTAACGTGTATGCAATTAGCCACTTCTAAGCCAAAATCAGTGCATTTTCCCCCCTGTAGGCAGGTGGAAAGCAGAGAATAGTTATAATATTGTGGCTCAGCGGTCTATTGGGCTTCTTCATGCCTGGTTTGTAGAGACTGGGCTCCTCTCCCCTCTAACACTACCGGGATTGCATTGACCTGGCACTTGTTTCCTCCCTTCCTTCACATAATACAATGTACATGTACATGTAGTACCCAGACAGCGGTGTGCTATGTTGACAGGATTGGTCACCATGATCCACTACTAGTACTTTCCACCCAATTCACATTTTCTTTTTATGGAACAATGTCATGCAGGCTGTCCAATCGACATGTACATGTACATGTTTAGGAAGCACATTGCCCATGAAATACAGTCATGTACATGTAGACCGGGGCGGGGGCCTACGCCAAGACCTGGAAGGACAATTTTGATCAACGAGATGGCTAATAGACAAACAACTGCCCTAACCGCAACATGCAACAAACTCCGCCACATATTCCGTGCTCATGTGTCATCCTTCAGCAACTCACAGCAAGCATTTACACAGGAAGGTCTGGTCACATCCCTCTGATCAAGCAACAGTTTCAAAACAGTCCCGGACTGACCCCATGGCCCATGGGGCAGTGACCTCTCCTGCTATCTAGCCGAGCCACTATGAATTCTACACCTAGTACCAAGAGTGTATAAGCGGGGGGTTATACACTCTTGCTAGTACCTGTACCGGTACATGTGGCATCATTTCCAGCACTCACAGATACATGTACATATACGTGTGCAGCAGTTAATCACCATCCAACTTGGCTACAAGTGATGCAAATACAGTACAGTACCTGATGCCACAGATTATTCTATGTACATCGAACACCCTGGATGGTTTCACCTGTACATGTATATAATCATGTAAATGTGGAGACAGTTATGGCCATAATAATACTGACTACTCTCAACTCCTACAAGCCATATCTCTTGCCAATTGTCAACGTATTGGAGAAAATTGTTGATCGGCAGGTTGTGGAGTTCTTAGTGACAATAGTGAGGTTTCTGCCCTGCCATGGACCAGTTTGCATACTCCGATCTCTCTCGTCTTCCAAGTCCTGGCATCTCCGTGTGATATGAGAAGGGAACTTGGTGTGTTTGGTTGAACGACTATACATGTGCATGAAGTACATGTATACATGTAATTTAAATGGCACACCAGTAACAACAACAATAACAATAATGAATACCTCAACAGTGTCCTGGACATGTACTTCAGTTCAGTACATTGTACAATGTACATGTACACCTCACAGTACTGGCCTCTATACGGGCAAGATGATTCTTTGGATGTGAAAAAATACGTGTAGTCATGTACATGTACATGACAAAACATACAATGTAGTTTGGTTGCCAGCATGTTACAAGCTACGTGTAGGTGGAGGATGCACTGAGACTGTGTTCGAAAACAGTGCTCCTTATGACCTTACTACAACCTCCACGGTTGGCATAGCCCTGGTCTTGCGACCATTTGAACTATAATGGGGGCTAGCCCCAGTTCTAATATATGCTAGGGAATTGTTTGAGTCTTGTTTTTGTTTTTGCTATCAGTTGTGTTTCCTTGCTCGTTCTTGGATGTCAGTCCTGCCTAAATCCTCTTGATCCTTTTGTGTGGATCCCGGCACTAAATCAGGAGAGAGGGGTCCAGTCTCTACAAACCAGGCTTGCAACAGCCCAATAGACCTCTAAGCCACATTATTATAACTATTCTCTGCTTTCCACCTGCCTACAGGGGAGAAAATGCACTGATTTTGGCTTAGAAGTGGCTAATTCCATACACGTTACCGCGGTGACCGTAGAAATTCGAGAAATTCCTGTGACAAGGAAGCCGACAGTCCTATAAACTTCTGGTTTTCAATAACAGTCTTGGAAAGAGCTCGCCTTCCAACAAGGCAACTTTTTTCTCCAAAATTGTGTCGGCTTTGCCTCAGAAACGGCTAATTGCACACAGGTTACCATAGTAACCTAAGCAATTTGGAAATAGCTCATAACTTCCAAACGGACAACATTGGGAACTTCTAGTTTTCTCCAAAATTCCTATAATTGGTCCGCCTCTCCGAATTTGAAGTCAAATCTTTCCTGGACGAGGTGTCAAATGCAACTCCTCAATAAAGCGACTTTTTCGGACTTGGCCCCAGCACTATATCACCCTCACCCTGCCGTGATGGGTTGAACTGGACTGCATCCATTCAAGATTGTGTTTTTCACTGTGACTCGTTTGATGTATACACCGAAGTCGCCGCGTCACGGGTAGAAATTGAAAGAGGTGGAAGTTAGAGAGACACAGGCATATAGACAGACAGACAGACAGAGGAGGGCAGGGTGGGTAAGCAGTACTTCATGGTCTGTAAAGTTGTGCCTCCGTCTCAGGGCCCGACAGTCTTGATGTCTGCATTGTACATATGCATAAGTACACGTGGTGGCTGTGGACACGCACGCATGCAGTGAGCTGAGTGTTGTTGCTGATCTTGCCAGTTACAATTTTCCGAAATGAATGCTTTCTTCGCTTGTTTTGTGCCTTGAATGCTCAGATTTCAGGCAATCTGATATCGTCACTGGCGCTCCGTTCAAGTGATGCTGGGCAAACACATGACGCAAGCTCTACGTGTTTGGTGTCGGACATGATGAATTCTAGTGACAGTTACCTTGCTAGTGACAGTTACCTTGCTAGTAACAGTACCAGTAACCATGGTAACAGTTCTCTTGGAGGTGATGCCACTAAGTCGGTCCCGTACACTCTCTTGTCAGTGTATTTAGCCTGTGATATTATCGGTAAGCGAGTGCACAACTGCAGCTGCATACGGTCATGTCTAACCTGTTAGGTCTAGTAGCTCGTGGAGCAAAGATACCTGGTTGCATTGTGTCTTATTCAAAGGGACTTTCAATGCTCTATTTTCTTTCTGTGTTTGCGTAATTATGGCCATGTGTTTGTAGAACATGTACTGTCATGTATAATATTTGCACGTGTGTATGCACATGTGTGTGTGTGTGTGTGTGTGTGTGTGTGTGTGTGTGTGTGTGCACAATTAAACACGATGCATGCAATTGTACATGTGGTTCAGTGTCCCTTTGAGTGAGTATGGCTAATCCTTATGTGCGTTTGCATACCGGTATGCGACCTTCTGTGTGATAAATAAATGCTTTTGCAAAGGCCTTGAATTTTTCGCTGCCATAAATTTAAATTTTGCTTCTTACAAAGGGTTTACAAAGGTATTGCTCATTGATCCCGTATTATGTTGAGCTTTCTCACAACTTTTGGGAACAATAAGCTGAATTTGCTGCTGATAAGATAACAGCAAATTTTGCATTGCGTGATGCATATGCGTGAAAATGTCACCGAGCATCATCATGCTGCTCGAGGCGAAGACTTGATCATCGTGGGAGACATGGCATCGGGTCAATTCTGCATTTATTCAAACAATATCCGGTCTTTCCCGTCGACAGGTAATTGATCTGTTGTGATCGTGAATCCGAGTCACCGTTGATTCTTTCCCTTTCTGGGATCAGTTAGCTGAGGAAGCTGTTATTAGCCAGGGGTTTTCAACTACCATCTCACACTAGCGCACTAGTTGAGTAAGGGATTTGTATTGCTATGACAGTTCGAACCGATACGAGCTTAGCGCCCAGCCTGCCGTGATGTTTAGGCGAGTGACATCATTGTATATGCATGCTATGGAGTAGTGAACTAATGCTTATGATGTCACATTATGCAATACACCTCCATTAATATTGTAATTGCGTAACCTCTATTCTGACGGATACATGTTGCACAGTGATATCTTGCAGCGGGTAGGATAGAGTGCCTCCATGCGGTCCGTCGGTTGCCATACATGGGTATGACCATGGGTTCAATTTCTAACAGTCAATAACAGGAAGAGGGAGAGAGATAGGGTGTGTGTGTGTGTTTGTGTGCTTGTGTGTGTGTGTGCTTGTGTGTTAAAGCATTGTGCCATGGATATGTTGTTTGCCTCGCAGGTCTTGGTTTTTGCATATTCTGCCTTCGCTCCCTTACCAAGTCCGTCTCTCTCTACGAGGCTAAGGATTTGAAGTCAACGCTTCTGGCGACGCTACGGAGTACGATCAACCCATACATGCTGCTCCTCATCCCCTCAGTCATTTACAATGGGATGGAGCAAGCGTTCATATTTGGTGAATTCACAAAGGTATGTGCAGGGCAGAGTACAGCATTGATTTGAGCTAATGAGCTGAGGTGTTGGCAGCTACTAGTGTGCTGTAGCTTTGTCGTATGAGATATTTTCAATACACTCAGCCCAGGCCTCTAATGCAGGTTCCTAGGGTATCGTATGCATGGAGCCCTGGATGGATTGATACGATTAGCACACACTCGTGTTTGCAAAGGGCTGGCAATTTGCTGGTTCTTCTTATAACTGTGATTTGAGTCTTTGCAGGCATGGCCGGGAGAAGAACCGACACCGTCGTATCGTTAGAGAAGATCGTGTGCCTCACTAGCAGGCCCGACCTGGCAGCGCGCGTCTCTGTTGAATGGACAAGTTTCCGGTACCCTCTGAGAGAGATTTGAATGCGTTATCACGAAGAGTCATGCATGAGTCATGCATGATGTTCGTGTATTTTTTGCACCAGCCGGTGTCGGCTGCACTACTGCCCTGTCTGAACCCCTGTGTGGGCTGTGTTTCGCAGCAGTCATGCAGCCCAAGACCGTGGATGATCTAATGGAAGAGAGGTCCGTATGATCAATTCAGCTGGAACGTTTGGATCATCAAACAACATGTAGGTATTCCGGGTTGCTTGGAATATGGGTCACAGAAAGCAGGAACAGCCTTTTGGGTGATAAAAATCTGCAACTAACAGACAGAAGGAAGGACATAAATGGGCACACGATGAGAAGCCGGCGATGTGGATGCGTTTGAATTGCAGCCTCGTTCACTCTGCAACCCTATCAAACAGGATTCAGTCTCAGTTTACTTCAAAGTACATTCTAAGTTTTCTTAGAACCAGTCGTCTTTTACATGAAACGTGGCGAGTGAGGATGTGTTTCATTTCTTGTTTCTTATTCTTGAGCTGCGGGCATGGTAAATGGATAATAGCGACGTGCAGATTAATGGTGTTCGGCTAGAATGACCCCGCGGATCTTCCAGGAAGGCAACGCATTCACCACCTGGAGCATAACCAGATGCAGTTACTACTGCTGCTGCTGCTGCTGCTGCTGCTGCTGCTGATGGAATCATGATGAGAAGCTATTCAGTATGATGGAGAATCCCCGGTATGAAGACAGTTGAAATGAACAAGAAAACGACAAACAACTAGTTTCATGTATAACTAATCTCACCACCCGAAAGGCTTAGTGTTCTGCTGACTGTGACCCATACCAAGAGTACATAAACCAGAGTGTGCAACTCGGGATGGTTCCTGTGGGGGCGTAATTCGTGCAGTACGTCATTTCTGACGGCATGGTAAGCCACAGGTACGGTGAAAAGTTGCGTAACCAGTCATGGTGGTGCAGGTCACTGAGTTTGTCCTGATTTCGGTTTTTTGATACGGATAGCCTGGTGACTTTACTCGTCGGTGGATGTACGCAGCGTACACAGTCACGCAAAACACCGAAATCCTGAAACTGGACGTCTAAAATCAAGCAAACTTGGCTGATTTCCGGGCTATGAAACATGAAAATTTGAGCTGTACGCAAGTCGCGGCTTGGCTGACCTCATCAGGGTGACGTAGTGCACGAACTGCGCTGTTTCAGATCTGATATGCACAGTTGCACACTCTGGTTTATGTACTCTTGCCCATACACGTCTGCTGCATACTGTAAGTCTACACATGTTCGGTGTGCGTAAGCCTCCCAAGGCTAAAACACAATTCGGCCTCATTAAAATTTCAGCCTGCACTGCTGCTTTCTGTCTACACTGTCACATTGAACCTTGCAGAACAAAATTTCGGCTGCAAATGTTTTTTAGGCCGAATGTGCCCATGCCGAAAATAGCCGAAAATATGTGTAGACTTACAGTAGTGTAAACCGGTTTCAAGCACTAAAATGAAGTTCAAGTGGAGAACTGCGTCCTTGCGCAGCTTTTTGCTTAATTTTGGATGCTTCCTGGTTGTGGGAATTTTTTGCACTTCTTTAAAAAGTTGTGCGGCGGTTGTTCAGAATTGATTATCCTCACCTCCACGTGTTTCAAGCGACGGCAATTGAGCTTCACGCCACTGTAGTGGCTGTTCATGAATTGTATACTGAAGTGAATTTGGTATGCAGTCTCATGTACGCCTCAATTTGACTTGGTGTCAGGCTTGTGGATCATCCCGTGGTTACGAACGTGAACGTTGCTGTTGCTGTTGATGCCGCCGCCGTCATTTGTCATCTTACAGGAGAAGGCATCGGGGTCGCATCTCCATTGGCGCTCCCTCAGTGCTGATCCGCAGTTCGGAATGAATGCTTTACTTCATAAATAAGTATCAAGATAGAGAGGATTACAGTACGCAAGACACTAAAGCTAACATATAATGCCCCCTCCTCCCCCCCCCCCCCCCCCCCCTCGGCCGCCTTTCCAGATGCCACAGGTCCAGGCACCCCCATCTACTGGGCCGGGCCGTGGGCGCCTTCCACTGAAACCAACAATGTCAGCAATTTTCTGTTTTCATGCACAGAAAGCGTATGCATGTTATGAGTTGCGGTCAATTCCTATTTGCGCACTCAGTTTGCCCAGCACACGCAGCTCAGCTTACTCTAGCGGCAGCGGCATTTTGTTCCTGCGGTCCAGTGCACCCGTCCTTCGGTTCAGCCAATGAAATCATCGGATAGCCATGTCACGGGGTGGTGCTCCCTCATGGCTAGATGGGCTTAGTCACTGTGCTTGTCAATAACTAAATCAAATCCACGTCGTGTGAGCAATAGCGTCGCACGTACTAATCCTCTCTACTCTTGATATCACGGTAGGAGACCCTATTGAAACTGCTGAACGCATGTGGGAGCTTTGCGTTTCATCCAAAGAGTGTGTGTCCCATGTGATGGCCCCATAGCCTTGTAGTAGGTTTTATTTGAACTGCTTCAAAGCAGATACTCCCTCTAACCCTGTCTTAGATTGTATTATATTTGGGTTCTATTAACATTGTAGAAGTTCTTCAAAGACACACGTGTCCAGAAAACTGGACCTGTGTCTGAACATCAATGTCCTTCAAATGAAAAAAAACTAAGTTTTCAGGTCAATGAGCGCATACAAACTGCAGGGCACCAAGTAAATGAGGTGGTTACAACCAAGGTCTACTTAGCCCTAACGGTCCTCTTCAAGCACACAGGCACACCTTACGCCATGCCAAACCGTGGACGCACTCACTGTGTGGGTTTGAAACAGCATTACGAACTTGAAGCCCGTAGCAGTTATAAAACCCTAAAATTATCTCTTGCTTGAAGAGAGAACCCTGAAGACATGGAACTTGATTTCTGCTTCTTTTCTTCTTGGCACTGCAGTATATGCAATGATGGTTAGAGTAGTGTTGACCTGAAAAAATCATGTTTGTTAATTTAGCCTAACCTCAACATCTACAAGTGAGTGAAATAGATTGATTGTCTCTGTCAAGTTGTGCTCAGCCTTATCCAACAAACCATAAACGCTTTTAGAAGTTGCAATACCTTTTTGAAACTTTAAAAGGAGCCTGTATTCTTTATTTTGTGTGGTGTTAAAAATGCGGAGAGTCCAAAGGTTACTAGGGAAATTATTTATCTCGGGTCGTGGTGTCTGAAAGGTTTGGTGGCAGAGCTTGCACATTTTGGCACTGTTCATCCTGTGAGCCCCTCCCCGAACAGGATGCAATTGGATGGTTGCAAATAGTTTTAACGTTCTCTGTGGAGCCACATACCTAAGATTTCCCGATTCGCTCGGGCGATATCCTGGAGCCATCAGCCCACGTTCATCTCCAGCATACATGCATACCAACACAGCTTGATACCAACGGCCGTTGGCAAAACTTGCAGGCACCACAGCTCAAGAAGGATTGATCCTATGACTTTGGGTTGTCTGCTGTTAGACACACATGCACATATACACTCGTAGTTGGGAGAATGTTTCCTTAGCCTCTTTTTTTCTTTTGGCATTATTCACTTATCAGCACCAAACACTATAATAATATTATCCTTAGGGTTTGAATACCACTTGCATTAGCTTGTGTAATGGGTTCAGTATCCGCCCACACGATGCTTTGTTGGACGTCCTGAAAATTCTGAACAAAACACCATACATCAAGTGCAAAATTCTTCAGCGTGGGTTCTTCGGAATGCGTGTTTCATCATCAAAGTGTATTGATAAAAAATCATGTTGGCATTTCCACGTGCTGATTAAGTGTCCACGAGACGAACTGTCTGCCGGGCCTATTGAGCAATACACACAGTACTGAACTGGTTAGGTTCAAACTGCCTGTAGAGAGGTGTAATGCGGCATGCGCAGGGCAACCTTGTACGATTGAAAGTTTCAAAAGTCTCGGTTGCAATTGGGTTGCTAGCTTGGTTTGCTAAAACGTTGAATATCGCGGATTGGGGCAGGGAAATATCGATTGGGGCAGGGAAATATCGATTGGGGCAGGGAAATATCGATTGGGGCAGGGAAATATCGATTGGGGCAGGGAAATATCGATTGGGGCAGGGAAATATCGATTGGGGCAGGGAAATATCGATTGGGGCAGGGAAATATCGATTGGGGCAGGGAAATATCGATTGGGGCAGGGAAATATCGATTGGGGCAGGGAAATATCGATTGGGGCAGGGAAATATCGATTCGGGCAGGGAAATATCGATTGGGGCAGGGAAATATCGATTGGGGCAGGGAAATATCGATTGGGGCAGGGAAATATCGATTGGGGCAGGGAAATATCGATTGGGGCAGGGAAATATCGATCGGGGCAGGGAAATATCGATTGGGGCAGGGAAATATCGATTGGGGCAGGGAAATATCGATTGGGGCAGGGAAATATCGATCGGGGCAGGGAAATATCGATTGGGGCAGGGAAATATCGATCGGGGCAGGGAAATATCGATTGGGGCAGGGAAATATCGATCGGGGCAGGGAAATATCGATTGGGGCAGGGAAAGCGCTTGTGGTTGTGTACAGCCCTTATGGGTAAAGGAATATTGCGTGATCTGGCGGCATCGTTGAACTGAGTGAAATCAGCCCGAAGACAATCATGCCGGCATGACTGGAATGAACAGGTCTACTAAGTTGCACCTACACAAGGGTACGCTACTCAGACCATTGAGGAGGGACAACGAACGCCATGTGTATAAGCAACAAATATTAAACGATTTTCCTTGTGTATGTGTGCATGTGTGTGTGTGTGTGTGTGTGCACGCGTGTGCGTTTGTGTGCACGTATGTTTGTGTGCGCGTACGTGCATTATCCAGCACTTCATAACAGATTGTGTTGGCATCGACTGGGTTGGCTACGTGATGATATCAATGGGTGTAGTGAATGCCACCAGTAGCATGCTGTGTGGGCAATTGGCAGCTCGTCTTGGACGCTTGCCTATTGTGGTGGCTGGCGCACTGGTCAATGCTGCAGTACTGATATTCCTGCTCGCGTGGACAAGGAAGCCAGATCTGCTGGCTCTCTTCCTAATTGCTGGAGCATGGGGATTTGTGGACGCCGTCTCGAATACTCAGCTCAACAGTAAGTGTATGCGCCGGCTGCTTATGGCCGCATGTGTATTACTTGTGGAAGGACTTGGTGCGGCCTGCTATGTAACAACTCGGGCAGCAGATGAGCTGTGCATCTCTCTTGCTTGATTCACCCATGGATATATGTGTGTGAGTTTGTTATACTTGAAGTAGTACTAAATTTGTCAGTGTCACCAAACACCTTCCTCGTGCCATTTTGCGGATTCAAGTTTGCATAGATTGCGTATTTGACTTGCTAGTCGTCTAAGCCGTGACCTCTTCCACTCTACTGTATCATTGAGATCAGGGAATCGTAGAATACCGGCATTATTTTACAACTCCCTGGTTGATATGCGTGGGCAAAGTCGCGGCACAGCGGTGCGCTAGTGTAGTAGCGACTCACTAGCGACCCTCCCTGCATACATAGCGCCCATACGCGGTTCCAGCTGACTCGCCACCAGGACATCAGTCACAAAACACCTTGAAACTGACACATCGACTTTCGTCTCAAGTTTCATGCTTCAGCATGCGCTGCTTCCACGCTGGGTGAAATGTTATGCCAAGTCTGTGCTGCGGACGTTTCTCATTTCTGTCAAAAACAATACGAGACAAACACTGAAATTCTCTGTGGCTGAACTTCACAGGCTACAATTGCTCAGAACAGTGTCCGGGTCTTGTACAAAGGAAAGGGACACATGATAAAGGGTTATGAGTAAATGCCCCTTTCCATTTCGGTACCTTTACGAGTATTTTTGGATCAACATCCGAGTGTGATCTCTGTGGAGCTTAAGTGTGGCCCTAGTTTGCACCTTCACATAGCCAGCAATCGCATGTCATCTCGTACATTGAAAATCAACATAATTTTGCGAATCGACCTTTTTTTCAGGATCACTTTTCAACGAGGACGAAGCAAAGTCGGCCGAACGAAGCCTAGAGGAAGAAAATCACCCTCTCCACTTCACCATCACGATACTGACATAGATACGAGATGAAACAACTAAAAAATTCACAAGAAAACTGTTCGACCATCATCGCGCTGACTTTGGTCTGACTTTGGTCTGAGAATTTCTATCACGATCAAAAATGTACGAGGAGCACTCAAAAATAAGCCACAGACGTACCTTTATCGCTCTCTACTCCTTTTTCAAGGCACAAAAGTCGACTCTCCACTTTCAAACCAGGAACCAGACATACCAGTGGTCCTTTTCAGCTGCTCCACGAGCGCAGGAAATGTTCACCAAGGGGCGCAGAGCAGCATCCATTCCAGAAAAATAGCTAAAATACGAGTGAGACTGCATGCCTGAGTACATGAGTACATGTATGAGTACATGCAGAAAATAGTCAATTTCAGCGTTTCTGCTCCAAACAGCAACTAGCTTCGACTAGAAACAAAGATTACACCAAAGGATCAAACAACAACCAATTTCTGCAGTCTTTTTGCAGATGGCTTCCTTGTGCTTGGCCCAGCACGCCAAAAATCACACCTCGGAGGAGTACAAAAAATACAACTCTCAGATGTCCTTGATTGCTGGCCATGTGTGTTTTTTTGTGTTCTGTGTGTGCGTGCATGTGTGTGCGTGTGTGTGTGTGCGTGTCTGTGTGTGTGTGTGTGCGTGTGTGTGCGTCTGTGTGTGTGTGTGTGTGTGTGTATGTGTGTGTGTGCGTGTCTGTGTGTACATGCGTGTGTGTATGTGACTTATGTGTCACGGTTACGTGTATGTGACTTATGTGTCACGGTTACAGCTATGTTCGGCATCGTCTTCTCTCGAAATCAAGAACCGGCCTTCGCCAACTATCGTCTCTGGCAGGCTGTCGGTTTTTGTATATCGTTTTCTTACGGCGATGCGTTGGAAATGCCAGTCAAGCTGTGGATTTTGTTAGGAGTCCTTTTCCTCTATGTAGTACTGTACATTGTGGCTGAGGTCAGGTGGAGTAGAGAACAGAAGGAGAGCAAAAGCATGTTGAATGTGCAATGCAGCCGCCCAGAGCACCCTGTTATACTGAGTCGTGACATTCTCATGTACGAGTTTAGTGTGTAGTACTCGGTACGTACTGAGCTCCTTGTTTTTGATTTTTCTGGATGAAGTTATCAGTGTTCTTATTAAAATTAGTACATGTACAATGTTTTTTTGTTTTGTTATTGTTTTTCTCCTTTTGAATTGAGTTTATTGATTTGAGTTCTTTTTAATTATTAATTAGAAAATTGATTTGAAGTTTTTGGTTTGGGTTTGAAAATCTTTATCTTACAGATGCATCATTTTTCTGATTTCTTCTCCAGTGTACTAGTATTTATTGCATTTTAATCCATTGTGTTAATTTGCCCATAAAAGAGGCCTTTGAACACTACGTACTGAGCTCTGTGTTTTTCTCTTATATAGTGCATGCTTCACGTTCGCGCTTATCAGTTTGACCCCGGCTGAGCTCATGCCTGCTATCCCGTGTCTCCTCTACTTCTGTTTGCTTTCACGTGGTACACGGTTACGGTGTAGTGCTGCACGTGTTCCGTCAGCTTGAACTGTAGCATAACATGATCGTACTTTCAGACGTTTAGTCCTGCTCACACTTCCTCATTTTTTCTTTCTTGAACATGCACTATTTCTGCAGTATGTCAATATTGTGTGTTATCATCTACTTATTGAATTCCAGTGCTAGTACAAGTACTCTTGTGTTTGTTCTAAACTATAGTACTGTGCCCACCGTGATGCCGAGACCTCAGGTCGGCAGAGCCATCAATTCCCCGCCACCACTATTCATTATTATTTATTTCATTATAATTTATTATTGTCGAGTTTAGGTATGTGAACATAGTTAAAAATAAAAATAAAATAAACTGCTTCATTCGGTGATCTGATCCATGTACGTGAACGATCCAGTGATGTGACCATGCATGCAGGCAATCGGTTGTTTGTGGCCCAGGCACAAGGAGTGCATGGTTACAGATCCGTGACGGGTGGGGCTTTAGTTAGGCATTTGTGCCAGTAATCAACAACACCCCCCTCCCTCACCATTGGCATTTAATTATGATTAGGTACTGCATCTGCTATTGGATAATTTTGGGTCATAGGCGCCGTTGATCAGCAATCGGGCAACGGAAATTTACCTTTCTTGCACAGGTACATGTACATGTATGAGCCGGCGGTCTATACAGTAGATATCGGCAAGAGTATCGTGAAGTACATAAACCCTATGTACTCTTGGTATCGGTTATAGCGTGGGTGTTTGAAGAACGACTTTCTATTCTTATTTCCGATATTTCTTACACACGATAAATCAAGTGTGACGTATCAGATGCATGTGTGCAGGTACAGGATGACCATCATACATGTACATACTCCCTGCATACAATGTATCGCTGCCGTGCATGCGGGTGTGCATACTGTAAATATACAAATTTTCGGCAGCTATTTAATTTCGGCTATATTCGGCACCGACCCAAAACGCCTAAATTAAAACGCCGATGAAATTTTTCACAGCATCTGTCGCACTATACCGTGCCCTCTACCCCACGCCGAAAATAAATCGCCGCCGAAATGTCAAAAATCGTGAAAAGCCGAAATTTTGCAGCGCCGAAATTTTGTATATTTACAGTAGTCCCATAAGCTTACCATGTGGCTAATACTGGCTATGCAGCATGACGGATACATGACAACAACAGTTGAATCTGCAGCACTACGATGCAATGGGAGTCGGATCAGAACTGCATTGGACAGATGTTATTACTACAGGCGATACCTAATCTTGTATGTTTTGCTACACAAAGTCCATTCTTAGGACCGATAATATTATACTAGTACTAATGCAATATTTAAACATTGCTTGTTTGTTTAAGTTAAAGAATAAATGTTCACTTGAAACGGTTTAAGAGGTCATTCTTGTAAGCAGTATATAAAATACAAAATAATTGACATACTTTGCCAGTTGTTTGCTGGACTTGCGGCCAGTGACCATGGTGACTCAATAGCTCAGGAAATAAAATCTGTTTGTGGATACATCAGTCATCACTCAGTTACTGTAGCCTGTAGACCTACTGGCATTAGCTGTCCACCAGTTTTTATGTGCATGCACGTGATGTACATCACTAGGCTACTGAGTAGATCCACTGCACGTGACTAGCTAGCCTTCTACATGTTCCAAAAATCATTGAAATGCTGTCAAGAATGGCGAGCGATATCACCATGATCACGCCGATATGCCATTTTTTCAGGCGCTTGTATCATGGACCGATGAACGCAGTGTATCGTATTTTGGGAGCTCCGGAGAGCACCATCACTGGTCCGATCCTCTGGTTGAAATTCTTCCACCGAGGACCACAGTCGACTAGTCGCAGAGTCCGTGTGGTTGGGGCAAATACAATGGATAGATACGTGCGCTACGGCAAGGGCCTCAGCGGGCACTGTAGTACATGGTAGTCTGCAGCCGCGAGCATAACAATTTAATTACATTGCTAAAGAGCAAGCTGGGCTACGCCAAGGACTGTTTCGAGCCTGTGACCGTGATACGTTGAGACGCGGCCAGTCCTGACTAGAAGTAAAGGCAGTAGTAACACTCATCACCGGCATACTGAGTTACTCACTACAAGTAGTACTGCAGTAGAAAAGGAAAGCTAAAGACTAAAGTGCAGTCGGTCATTACTGGACTTCGGGTACCGTTCAGCTTGTGCTTCCTGACTACACTGGCTTATCATGCCAAGCCGCTTTTCAGTATAGCCGCTCTATAGTATAGCTCATACCAAGCCCGGAAAAGGAATCTTTCCTGATAACTTCTTCTACGCGAATACTAGAGTAATAAGTGAGTTTTGTTTATTTGGTTATCACAGACACAGTATTGTGTAGTTATCACAGACACAGTATTGTGAAAGAGAGTACGGTGTGATATACCGGTACCATGGCAACGCATAATACTGATGAAGAAGACGAGCGGTCGCCTGTTTCACCTCTCCTATCGCATGACCAAAGTGAAGGCGGCGATGATAAAATAGCTCTCTATGAGCCTGATGATGATGGCCATGCCGTTGCCAACAATGGTGACGGTGTCGGAGTGGCTCACTTGCCGGCCAAGTCACGGCAGCCACGCTATCACCTCGTCAACTTGATCATGATGAGCGTCTGTTTCTTCTTCGTCTTCACAGCGTACTCGGCGCTGCAGAATCTGCAGGCATCGCTGAACACGTCGGGCAAGACCTGTCTGGCCGTGCTGTACGGCATGCTGCTCGTGTCCTGCTTCATCACGCCGCCTCTTGTTCAGCGTCTCTCACCCCGCATCACCATGGTAATCTGCATGAGCATACACTGCGCATTCACCGCGGCCAACTACTATCCGTCTGAGTACGTGCTGTTGCCGGCGTGCGGCTTGCTTGGCCTGGCGTCCGCACCACTATGGACAGCACAGCAGATCTACGTCACCACCAGCGCACACATGTATCATGAATACACCAAGACACCGGCGGCTACCGTAGGATCTAGCAAACAGGGCAGTGCTGCTGCTGCTGGTGAAGCAGAAAGCACAATAGACAAAGTCCTGGGACGCTTTAATGGCATCTTCTTCCTCATATTTCAGTTTACACAGGTACGTTTGCTTGGAATGCATGTTTGGTGTATGGATTTACACAGGTACGTTTGCTTGGTGTATGGACGTATCAGAAGTACTGGTATATAACTATTGTCACGCACTCATTGGTTTGAAGGAAAAGATGCAAACAGAAAAATTCTGCCGAAAAAATTGACTGTCACCCCAGGACTTGAACCAGAGAGGGGGGGGGGGGACAGGGACCTTCGCTTCAAGCTAGCAATGCTCTAACCACTGAGCTATGGATTAGCTGTCATCCCAGCAGAAACTATGCATGTGCACAGTTGGCAAGTATCTTCCCTCTTTCCAATGATTGTATGTCAATATTTATGTCTTGGGTTCACGGTACAGAATGAGCATGATGCCAAGTGGTTGTCATGACAATTACTCGGGTACTGCTCATGAACGCACCGGCCTGCCTGTCACGGTTCTGTCCGAGAGGTGCAGTCAACAGTGCGCCAGCGCAGGCACCACCGTGTGTTGCAACATGTCACTGAGAACTGAGGGAATCGGTTGTTCTTGCTGCGCACACCTGGTGCCTAGTCACTAATAGCCAGGAGCCACAACTGTTAGCATTCATTCTGGAAAGCTACATGGGCCGCAGAAATCCAGTGCTACATGGGCCGCAGAAATCCAGTGCACTTTGCAAATTAGTTTGTTTGCTTTGTTGTCTCTTACAAGGCCATGTGTGTTCGTTTGTTTCTGCTCTGTATGCTCACGTGCTCAGATTGCAGGCAATCTGATATCGTCACTGGCCCTCCATGCAACCGGCGCTGGTCAACAGCTGGATGAAAACGCTACCTGTTCGCACTCCAACGCCACGGGTAACAATACTAGCAGCGGCACTGATGTCAAGGACTCGGTTCGCTACACTCTCCTGTCTGTCTACTTAGCCTGTGACGTGGCTGGTAAGCGTGTGGTGTACTACATGTGTACAAGTAGCCAGGTAGGGCGCGGGGGGGGGGGGGTCCACTGCCTTAAGAGTGCCCAATGCCAGGAGAAGGCAGAGCGTTCCCGATACAATGGAGAGAAAGGAAGCTGTGTTGCGACTCCCGAGTTTCACGTTAAATCACGATCCTCAGGCAAGTAGGGTGTTGATCCTGATATAGCAAGGGAATTGGAGTCGCAACACCGCATCCCCTGTTAGTGGTAGGTTTCCCACTTCGGTCTATGGCTGCGATAAGTCCTTTGTGTCGGTTACTGGTGGGTTTCCAGTGCTTCAGTTCCTGATCGCGATGGGTCCTTAGTGCCGTGGAATAGCCACTTTCTGCTGTACAGTCGGTCTGGTCAGAATGTTCTTGAACGTAGAAGCCGGCCATCCCGTACGTATGCTGTAACCCGTGCGGCTGAAGACTCCCGGGCATGCTGACCAGCATTTGCCTGGAGGATATGTACAGGCAGTCAGCAGGCGTGTGCGCCAGTACGTGGTGTCCTTCAAAGGGGGGGGGGGGTTCCGGGGGCCTTCCCCGGGAAAATTTTCAAAAAATGAAGCAAAATCCTGCATTTTGAGCGAAAACGGGGGGGGGGGGGGGGGTTCCGGGCACCCAGGAATCAGTGGCAGTAGCTAGTCTCTGCTGAATGTATGTAGCGAGGTGGTCTGCTGCGGTGCTGCATTTAGGTATCTTCAGTGGTAGGCAAGTATCATCATTGTATACTTTTGTGGATGTGTGTACTATTATGTGTGCGTCCATGTCTGTCTGTGTATGTATCTGTCTGTTTATCTGCCTGCCTATGCATACATAAACACAATGTGTGTATGTTCTTGTTCCACAGGCGTTCTGCTATGCTTGTTCTGCCTCCGTTCCCTGTCCAAGTCCGTCTCCGAGTACAAGGCCACCGATTTGAAGTCATCGTGTCTGGCGACGCTACGGCGTGTGATTGATCCGTACATGTTACTCCTTATCCCTGTCGTCATCTACAGTGGCATGCAGCAAGCTTACATATTTGCTGAATTCACTAAGGTAACCAAACTACTTCCATGCATGTACACTTGTGCAGTACTGTATTTTCCGGAGTAACAGTTTTAAGCCGCATTGGAGTATTAGCCGCACACACATTTTTGGGAACGAAATCTACCCTGTATTTCTCAGTTCATTCGACCATCGTGTTATAAGCCGCACGGACTTTTTTGGTGACTTACTGGTGGTTAAAGTGCGGCGTATACTCTTGAAATTACAGTACATGCTTGTACCTCAGTGCAGTACGTGTATTCGAGTTTGACTGTGTTTGTCACTGTGCTATCGGCATGCTTCAAGTAGATGCCCACATGTGTGTGTGTGTGTGTGTGTGTGTGTGTGTGTGTGTGTGTGTGTGTGTGTGTGTGTGTGTGTGTGTGTGTGTGCACATGTGTATGCGTGTGTGCACGTGTGTGTGTTTTTGTGTGCACATGTGTGTGTGTGTGCACGTGTGTGTGTGTTTGCACGTGTGTGTGTGTGTTTGCGCATGTCACTGTGCATCGTCCAGTACTACATCACGGATTGCCTTGGCATCGGCTGGGTTGGCTATGTCATGCTAGTGCTGGGTGTAGTTGACGCAGCCAGTAGTCTGCTGTGCGGCCGACTAGCAGCTCATGTCGGCCGCGTGCCTATTGTTCTGGCTGGGGCATTGGTCAACGCTGCACTCATAGCCTTTCTCATCATTTGGATACGGAAGCCAGATTTGCTGGCTGTCTTCATTGTTGCTTCAAGTTGGGGATTTGTAGATGCCGTTTGGAACACACAGCTGAACAGTAAGTAGCTGAATGCCTCATTTTATGTCATGTAGTTTCGACTAGGCCTTTCATACCATTACTTTTCAAGTCGAATACAATGATGTGGTATTCGACTGGAAGAGTAATGGTACGAAAAGCCTAGTCAAAAACTATTTCTGTGCTTCGTGTGTTGGTTTGCTTCCCTCCTACCAAGAATTTATTCCTTTTATGGGTCTACACATCATATTGCCATGGTGATTGTGCAACTTCAAACATGTGATGTACATGTACTTCAGTATATGTAGGGGGGGGGGGGGTGAGGGGGTGGAGGGGTGGAGGGGTGGAGGGGTGATGCTGCTGCCTAGAGACCTGAGGTAACTGATGACACTCTAGCAGCCTTGTACTGCATGTACATGACTGTACTGTGCTAATCCAGAGCTTGTTGCTATAGGAATTAGTTGGTACATAATATTAATATACTGCATGTACTGGTAAAGGGTGTTCTTTGCTTTGCATTGTCCAAGAGCACAGATGAAATTGCTTCGATTGCCGTATTTTCTGGAGTATAAGCCTCATGTATATTTTCAGTCACGAAATACAAACATCTACAGCACCCTGTATATCACGGTTGATTTGCCCATCGTAGTGTAAGCCGCACCAATTGTTTTGGGTGAATCACAAGCGTTTAAAGTACGGCTTATACTCCGGAAAATAAGGTAGCGTTTCAGTGCGTTTCATTTTGAATTGGAGTTAAAAGAAACGTTAGCTCCTGGTGCTACAAGCTATGATCTTTGTTACCTTCTACATGAATTTTGCATACGACTTTAAATACAGGCGATCTAATTGTACCTTTTGCTTGTGTTACAGCTGTGTTTAGTTAGCATCATGATCTTCTTGTATTGTGGCGTGCTTGGCATCATTTTCTGCTTGTGTTACAGCTGTGTTTGGCATCATTTTCGCTCGAGATCAAGAATCAGCCTTTGCCAACTACCGTCTCTGGCAATCTGCCGGTTTCTGCATATCATTTGCGTATGGCAACGCCCTGGAAATGCCGGTTAAGCTGTGGATCCTGGTAGGAGTACTTTCAGTTTCTGTAACACTATACATTGTCAGTGAGATCAGATGGTACAGGGAGCAGAAGAGAAGCAAATATCTCTAGCCTTTGACTTGCACTCTTGCCAGCTGCACGTACCAGCAGCCATGAGGACAACTCCTTTCTTGAGATGGGCCTCAAGGAGCTACTACGGTAATACTAAACTACTTTTTTTTGTGAATTACAACTTGAGCATGCAAAGTTTCCTGTACAAAAATGGAACACACGGTTAAAATCTTAATATGGGGAGCTGACATCAGTCCCCAGAGCCAGACAAGAACCATCCAAATCGGTCAGGATGGCTTCAAACATTTGCAAATGTTTTGAATATTGAGAGTTTACGTCGACAATATTGAAAATTGAATGTAATTATTTCCTTTGTCTCTCATTGGTGACTTTGGTGCAGAGAGTCGTAGTTTGGGTACAACTCCCTGCTTTGGTGATTTTATTGTACATGGGGCAGTACCACGAAATTTGGAATCCGAAAAGCGTCCAAAATTAAAAAAAAAAAAAAAAAAAAGTACTTCAACTGGGGCTCGAACCGCACAATGATTATGTGCTGTTGCAAGTGGAGTCAAAGAGCCTGGATTTACATGGTTTTCCCCAATTCCGTGCTTTGGGGTCAAAGCTGGCAAAATTATAATTATTCTTGTTAGGCCATGTAAAATATATTGATTGTTTATCGTCAGATTTTCCCGAGAAATCGGGGCGGACAGGAGGTTTTTAATTTTATTTTTTATTATGCATTTATGGCTGTAGGGCAGGTGTTGACAACCCCAGAGGATAATGGAAAGTTGAACAACCAACGTTACGTAGAAAAACGAAGAAAATCAGGCAGCTTATGATCAGGCACAAGGGGTACATGGATGCAGCTAGTGGGGTCGTTTTCGGCACTTGTGCCAGTGGTTGTGAGACTTACCCACTCACCCCCACCGTTAGGCGCTGCATCTGCCGCTAGGGTTTATCGGGTGTTAGCGGCCGTCGTGAGTTCCCTTCGGGAACGGATACGATAATTTACTTACTTTTATGATCAGTTTCACTTTTCAAGCCCAAGGCAACTAAGTTATGGTTCAGTCTCTCTGTCTGTGGACTTGACCTTCGAAAATCTACGGCCATGCTGATTAAAGGCTGTAGACCGCAGTACATACAGTACATTTACCAGTACTAAAAATTAAAATAATTCGGCGGAGGGTGAAAATTTGGGGTGGGCGCGGACGATAAACAATCAAATTTTTTTACTTGGCCTTACGGTTGCTTTTTGAAAAAAATGACTTGAGAAACAGAATAAGATGAAAGAGTAGATTACCCAAAATATGCGCCACACCATTGCCTGAGCTGAGAAATATTGATCTGAAACCCAACCCTCAGCTCATACTGTAGCCCTGAATATGCATTTCAGACTTTCAGTACAACCATGTATGAACTTTTCAACTCCTCAAACCATTGCAATTTTAATATTTTTACTGATGAAAAACTTGATTGTGCTCTGAACTACTAATTCGAGAGTGTACTATACTATACTCTGTAAGAAGCCGTCCATGATATCGGACTTTTTTTCACAAAACGGCGAAATAATTTCGTTATGGGGTGGGAGGGGGTTGACCAATTAAAAATTTTATTGATGCATGTACATGGCCGTTGGAGCGTGACACGTACACTAGTCTTGCAACTTCTGTCATACATGCATATAGTACATGATTGTATACAATCTAGGCCTCGACCAAATATGCTAAAAAAAGAGCATAATTATTATGCTCGTCGCATATAAGGGAAATGTCCATAATATGCCAAAGGTTTAGCAAGATATGCAAAAAGATATGCCAAAATACTGTAATTTCACAAATTTTCGGTGTACTTTTATTTTCGGTACTTTCGGTGCGTCTGTTTCATACCTAAAATTTCAATACACCGAACAAACACTAACACACATAATACAATAGGGAACTGTTTCTCTGTACCGAAAATTTCTGTTCATCTAACCTAGCATGTTGCCCTCATACCGAAAATATTGAGCACCGAAAATTTCTGAAATTAGAGTATGCCAAAATATGCTCGACATAAGCAGAAAGTGTAGATCATTTCAGTAAAATTACAACCTTGGAATATTCATTGGCTTCACAGCTATCATGCTTATGATGCAAATCAAAACACATGCGGAATTGTATGGCTGGGGTGTGTCCCCAGCAACAGTAGCGATAGTGTTCATCCATGGGGAAAATGTAGCAAACGCCTCAACCATTCCAAATTCATCCATAAAAGGCATTTCTGAACGCATTTTGTCCATAATATGAATGTTTTGTCCTCCATTTCTTCCGAGTATTTGAATTATATGCTGGCTTCATTCCAATATTCCCTTTGTCGGTCAATATGCCATAATGAACTGTCTCACAAAATATGCGGAAATATGCGCAAGCATATTTGGTCGAGGCCTAATACAATCATGTATGCTTGTATGTCAACATTTTTTACGTTCTGAGGCGGAGGGCCTAGGCTAGGGAGGGAGGGGTTGGGTATAAACTAAAAAACGCTTATTCCCGCAGCTATGCAGAAGACGTTGGTATGGTATGGTATGGTATTGATTTATTTGAATTCGGTATCTCAACAGTACATTGTACAACTTGGGAAGATCCGAATGACATAGATACATAAACATAAAAGTGGAGTAGGTGCTACAGCGGATCATTTTATCGCAGATTGTGGGACTAAACTAATACCAGTATGCAAGTACACAAGAAATAAAAGCTGAATAAATACGACTGCATGACATTGGAGAAAAGCACCAATTAGAGCAAAACAAAGCGTTACTTCAGTAACGTCTGGCGCTAGCCAGGGTCCACACGTACACACAGCTTTATTTCAAAATATTTGGTGCTCACGCGCTTATGTTATGGTCAGGGAGTCGTAAAATACCAGGTATTTTACGACTCCCTGGTTGTGGGATGTACATGTAGCCTACAAAACAGTCAAAACATGTTTCACGCATTGAATTTTTAATTTTGTCGATCTGCATAGCGCACGTAGATCTACATGATTGTAGACCTAGCGAGTACGGAGTAGCGGCAGTAGATCTACTCTGTCCGCATGTAGTGCTAGCCGTATGTCATCATGCCATGGTCATTGATTGTTGCAAAACTACATACTGCATCAATGCCGGTAGGAAGAGGTAAACTGGCAGAGGGCAAATAGATCTTCTTTGCTGATTTTCAGCATCATATCTTTAGGCGATAGGGCGCAGCCGGGGGTATACTTATAGCATCATTAGCATGAGTGGCTGGGAGAGAATCGCCAACATTGGCGGAGGGTCGTTCGGAATCGTGGAGAAATGGGTGCACTCGAGGAGTGGAGAGGCTATAGCCCTCAAAATCCCCAAATACCTCAGTTCTGGTATGGAGAAACGCTGGGACGATGAAATCAAGCAGCTGGGAATGTTATCGCACGATAATATTGTCGGTACTCGTAAGCTACCAGATGCCATTCAGTCGCATGTAACCAGTCGTGGTCCGATCCTGTGCATGGAATTCTGTGGCGGCGGCAGTCTACGGGATCAGCTAAGAGCTCCAGCAAATCGTTGTGGATTGTCGCCGCGCACGGCCCTGGATGTGCTGCGTGATGTCAGCAGCGGTGTGGAATATCTACACACGCAGAAAATCATGCATCGAGACTTGAAGCCAGAGAATATCGTCCTTCAACACCGGGCTGGGAAGTCTCGATCTCAGGTGGACTGTGTGGATCCAGACAACAGCTTGCCGGACGTCACCTTCAAACTCATCGATCTTGGCTATGCGAAGAACCTGCGCGATACGTCCATGGCCGCATCATTTGTAGGCACCCAGGTGTACCTTCCACCTGAGATGTTCATAGCTGATTGCTCGTATTCCTACTCGGCCGAGTATTGGAGCCTTGGCACGCTGGCATTTGAATGCATAACTGGCAAGCGCCCGTTCTTCTTTAACCAACACAAAGTCGGCATTGCCACATGGTACGACCAGTTATCCAAGAAGGAGGACAAGCACATCTACGGTATTCTGGAGTCGACCGGTGGTGAAAAGGTTCTCGCTCACTTCCACTCGAAGCTGCCTGACATCTGCTGCATACGCGAGCCATACCGGCATGCGCTGGAAGAGTGGCTCAGGTCCGTTCTGCACTTTAGCGGCAAGAAGCGTGGTGGATACCGCAGGTCAGGCCCGCGTTCAGATTGCTTTGACCTGCTGGAACGCATCCTCACTAAACGAGTTGTGCACGTGTTCTACGCCAAGACGTGTACTACATACTCGTATGATGTTGATGAGCTGGACAATTCCATGGCTCGTCTACAAGAGACACTGGCGGCGGATGCCGATATCCCCGTACCGGAGCAGGTGCTTCTTTCAGCCATTGGCCAGAGCGTGTCTGCACATTCGTCAATATCGCGGTCGGTGCAGGACTTGGCCTATAACAATTGCTGGTTGTTCTTGATGCCCACTGCGGAAGGGTTTACCCTGCCACAGCCCAGGACTGTTGTGCACGGTCTTGTACACATTGTTCTGCGGGAACCCACTGCTCTGCTGAGCCACGACAAGCGCAAGCAGGCGTACGAAGAGAGCATCTTCCTGGCGCACCAGATGTTCCGCACCAGTCAGCGACTTATGCAGTCGCAGAGGGCGTGCATACTCGGTGTCATGCGAGTTTCGCTACGCCTAGAGCAGCAGTACAAAGACTGCGTCGATGCTGCCAATCGCCTGAAGTTTTATCTTCAGTTTGTACTCGACAGTGCAAGAGAGCATCTTGATCACCTAAATTCTGTCCTGGCCGTGCTGCCAGTGCCTCTCCAGCAATCTGCCCGCCGCCTGGAGAGTGAGTTATCTAACCAGCTCAAGACGCTGTCGGAATGGAGTGACAATGATGAAGATGCGCCGGATGAGGAGGAACAGCAGTGCGCTCTCCGCGATGTCAGAGATCGCGTGAAGCACCTGCAACGCCATGAAGCGGTGACACTACCGCAGTGCGACGAGTCATTCAAGCTGCACGTCGAGAATGCTGAGCTTCTCTTCAAGGAGCTGCAGAGTGAAGGCAACAGCGGTGCAGCACCAACGGAGGCCATGTCCGACCTGCTGAACGCATGCTCATCCGATTTCAAGCGCATTTCCAACAGCATGTTTGACCACTGGTACGACATGTTGGTCTGTCACGGGATTTGTGTCAACCAGCTGGGACGCCTGGCCAATATTCGGATGCCCATTGCTGAGAAAATCAAGCAGCTTGACAAGATGCGTGCTGTGCAGATGCAAGTGTGGGACATTGTCCGCGCCCTGCTGGTCAACGCGGGATCACAGCAGGAAACGCACCCAGGCGAGAGGCTCTCACGCGATGCTGAACCTCTTCCTGCGCCATCAACACAGGCCGGTCAAGCTCCACAGCAGACGGGTCATTCGGGAACTATTCCCCGCTCGCAGGGCAACTTCTTGAATCAACCAGTTATCATGGAGAGCACGTCAACGTCACCAAGCCACATTGATGTGCTGAGGGAGAGCCAAGCTGCATTTGATCGCTTCGCTTAGAGAACTGTATGCTGATATCTATCAGCTGTTGATCATATGAGTGCCTGGCACTGTCTGCACGAATGGTTCATACCTATTGCTTTTCGGCGATCCTCAATTGCAGCACATGCATGCGATTAACTGCTGCAATTGAGGAAGATGCGGAAAGTACTGAGCAATGTTAGCAACTGTCGTTTTCTGCACACACTGAGTTTGATCCGATGATGGCACTACCGTCTTCTATAATGGTGGTTGGCATTCTGGGTCTTGTGCCCAGCTTTCCTTGATATTTGGTGTCATTTCGCCGTGTCTTCTACCTGAAATAGAATGATGCCACCGCCATCATGTGTTTTGAGCGTTCACTGAGCAGTTGAACTGTCGGACTACTGTAGTCGGTCATATTCACAACTACACATGCATACTCACTGTCCGGGTGTCTTCGGCAGAAACCTTGACGACGTCATGTTGATATTTGATTGAGCTTGACTTGCCCAAAACTACTAGTAGTGCAGCAACTAGTTACTTTCAATTTTTGTATCCATTCAGAGGTAACATTCAGATTCTAATTCCGTTATCAATTTAATCATACCTCACTCTACAAATTATAGCATCCTACCGTGAGTAGAGCTGAACACTATAGTTTTTGTTTCTATTTCACTCGCGATATTGCAAAATAATGGTTCTTTTTCTTGTGTGACTTTATGTAGGCTTGTTGTCACCTTGAAGTTTTGTGCAATTCAATGATGGGGCTGAGCCCTCTATCTGCCACTACACTATGCAATGCCTCACGTAACAGAAATGCTTCCATGTCCGCTTGACTCAGTGTGGGCAACGCATACCGTCTCTTTACCATTATTTCTAATCGGCAGCTGCCCGGCATAAGCATTCCTCAGTACCATGCTCAGATTAACCTGGTTGGCCTGGACATTCACAGACATGTCATGTATGCCATCCTGGAAACTGTTTATCGTGTACTTTCTTTAGTTGGAATACTTCACACTAGTGATGTTGCAGTCCCCACCCCCACCCCCACCCAATCACCATTGCCATCCGGTGCCTCTTGCACTGATGTGCCATGGTTGTTGCTGCTGCTGCTGTTGTTGTTGTTGTTGTTGTTGTTTGAAATCTTTTATTCTTAGTTGTTGTTGTTGTTGTTGTTGTTGTTGTTATTGTTGTGGTTGCTGTTGTTGTCGTCGTCGTTGTTTTAACTTGTTTTCATGGTAGACAATCTAGAGTAGAGTAGAGGCTGGCCTAACTCTGTGCCATGTCAGCATAAGAAGGCCATGCAATGATGCATGCCTACTAGTACAATGTAGCCAGACTGTAGAGTATAGTGGTTCCCTGCACTGCCCATTGGCCCGCGTCAATCACTACACTACACTCTACACTACAGTGACAGCCACTGAGCTATTTATATCTTACTACCGACTGGGGCTATTCAGCCACTACGGATTTCTCACGTACTCAGTGAGAACTAACTTGTACTTGTGAACTGCCCCCACTCTCCAGGGGCAGGGGGTTAGTACAACCATGTATCAGCATCAGCTAGCAATAGTCATTGTATTTTGTAGTAACAATTTACATGGTCGACGTAATCGTCCTTGTATGGCCATTGGCACATGGCCATATTCTATGCTGTCAATAATGACTTCCCTTTTGGCAGTTTTACTACTGTTTGTATGCCGGTATAGTTTAGATCTACAGTAGATCTACCCGTGTCATGCCGCAACAAGCGCTGCTGGAATGAGCGCCCCATTGCGGTATTGGCCCTACTGCAGTACTGGCCCCTGGCCCTCATGCTCACGGGCCTCAGTTCCCCCAAGCAACTGACATGACATTATTGATTTTTGGTGTTTAGAGACTCGGTGGTGTAGGATAGTATAGGCTTCATGAACAGAATCTGATGTAGCCCTAGCCCTAGGCCTAGGCTTAGGTACATGTACAATCATGTATGTATTGTAGGTGCCTAACGTCAGTCTAGTATTTACGACGTTGACGCGTGCATCGGACACTGTTGCACTGACTGCGCCACCGAGTCTGTGGGATAAGATCTGAGAGGGAGGTCCTGCGAGTTTGTTATCAATGGTTTTTCAGGGTGTAGTCGAAATAGGTCGTGGACAAACAAGTCGAAGGAGGTGCGCTTGTCTGTCCTGCTGCGCCGCACTTCGGCTTACTACTACTAGTGTAACGATTACGTGGTCGCTGAAAGGCGCACACCTAGAGGAGGCCTCGCACCCACTGTTTCCAAACAGCATCGCGGTTACGAGTCTCGTCATACCCGTGCCGCTAGAACAACCGATTCTGTTTATAATCTTTACTGGCACTCGTGAAAGATCAGGAATGAGGAGAGCGGTGGTGGTAGTTGGTTGAATCGAGTTCTAAGACTTCGAAAGCAAGATCTTTCCTGAACTCAACAGCGGAGTAGCAACGTTTTGGCAAGTGACTCTCAGTTGCACTGGGAACGTTTTGATATCCTGAAAAAATCCATCCAAGACTGAGTTTATAACGTCCCTAATGATGTTGGAACACAGGAGTGCCATGCACGAAATGGTTGCATCGCTAGCTAATGCCACTGGAGTCACCGAGCTGCAGCGGCAAGGAGACATTCTGGTGAAGCAAGCACAACTGGCAATGCAGGACCGTCTAAAGGCACATAGCAGCGAATTGAGCGAGCTGAGGCAGGAGCTAAGTCGCCCCATTACGGCGAACGTACCTGATCACCAGCGGGTTATTGATGATTTGTCATCGGACAGGCGTCTTGCATTGCAACGCGTTGCTGAGTTGGAAGAAGAAGTCAATGACTTGAAACTGGTGTTCATTCTAGGAAAGAAGCTTTCACAAGAAGATGAGCTGAAGGAGACTATAGCAAGTCGAACTGAGCAGGTAAAGCGTGATGAAGAGATCATGAGGAAAGAATTTGAGAGATTGCGTAAGGAGAATTTTGAACTGGCCGACAGACTTCTGGTTGCTCAGCGGGAACGCAATGAGGTCATTGAAGAGCGCAACGTGGCAATCCAGAGATCGGAGCGGCTGGAGCAAGTCGTCAGTGTGCTGAAGAAACGCATTTCAGCTGGTAGCGCGGCTGGTGAAATGGGCAGCAGTATCAATATTGCTGGCAGTACAGCTAGTTTAGCGACGATGGCACAGGCAGCTGACGGTACCCGGATAACCTCGGCATCAACTACACATACACCTACGAGTACGACGGGGCACGCAAGAAAAACACTACCCCCCTATGGTGGTACAAACGGGCAGTTGGCCGATGGTGCTGGAAGAGTGTCCAGTATTCAATCAGGGCAGTCCATGGCCAGCATCGACGGCCGGATACATCTTGTCATGGGCTTATCCCCAACTGAAACACCCGCAGCTGCTGCTGCTGACGGAGTGCTACACGGCATAATCAAACCGGCTCACAACAGCGGTGCGCAGGCGATGACGAGTACACGACTTCCCGCTTCGTCCTTAGTGCACGCTGCCGCTGATGATGATGATGGTATGTTTGAACACATCTATGCAACTCCAGTGGATGTGCAGTATGGCGAGTCTGTCGCAAGCTACGCAATGCATGATGAGGAAGATCCTTATTCACTTCCATTCGACACACTTCCAAAGTCCATGCAATTGAGTACCTCTCCAGGGAAAAAATCGGCCACAAGTACTGTTTCTCCGTATGCATCCCAAGCAGTGACAATTAACTCAATGCGGCCGAGAATTGGCTCAACTGGGCCACCTATCAAACCGTATGCTGACGTGAGGAATGCCGCAACGCCTGAAACACTACCCGTCGGGTCAGGTTTGCAGCGGCGGCACCAGTGGCAGCAGCAGCAGGCAAGCAGCAATGCTGCGGCGGCATCAATGACATCAATCAAATCTGAACCAGTGTACAGTGTGCCGCACAAACCAAGTGGCAGCGGTGGTTGCGCTGCAGTCGTTCAACGTAGAATGACCGAGTCGGCTCTCGGCAAAGGCCAGGCAAAGCCAGCAATACAAAGCAAATCTTCGTCGTTCACCAACCCAGCGTCTGCGTCTTCCCCTTACAGTGCCACACACACTCGCCCTCGCCTGCAAACTGCCAGCCCAAGCGTCAAACCACCTGCATTACCTCAACGAAGTGGAACTCCTACTCAGCCTTCCATCACCAAAACTCTATCAAGAACTCAGATTTAGTGCGCCCAATCTAGGACCACCATGGTATATGCACTAGCAATGTGAAAAGATCCACCATGCCGGTGCATGTACAAGCAAGGTGAACTGATCTATAGATATATACAGCTGTATCCTGTGATGTGTCCTGTGATGTGTTGATACACCAGTAAGCGCTGGCTGAGTCGTTTACTCCAGGTGCATGAATTGATGCTGTTCAGTTTCAGTTTGTGCTGGAGTTGAAGTCCCGATCACTAGCCGGCCAGTGTCAGTGTGTCTTCCCCAGTCTAGGCACCACATCGCAGTGTACACGGTGTACGGTCACAGTCACTGAGCGGTTAGCTTCACCATTGGCATTGGCCTAATTACAGTACTAAAAACAACAATGTTGAAGCCAGATTCCAGACTGCTTGCTTGCCCCCCCCCCCCTCTCCCCGCAGCATTCGTTGTGCTCTTGTTACGGCACAATATTTGCTTTTATAGTAGCGCTGCTGCACTGTTGAGCTGATAATCCTTTCTATTCATTGCACAGTAACATACTGTTTGACATTTTTGACCATTTGACTTGATTTCAAGGTCGCTAACTAGCTGCATGATCATGCCTGCCTGCTGGGTGTTAGGTCATAGCGGGAAAGGAGTTGCACTGTGGAAGACATCGATCCATATACATTAAAATAACATTATCGTAGCAATCTTCGTACTACGAATACGATGTGCCTTCCACTGCCAAGAGAATCCATGCACGCGTAGATCTACATTATAGAGCCTGTAAAGGCAGGGTAGAATGCCGCAACAACATCACAAGTGCATGAGAGTATTGTACAGTCATATAAACAAGAGTACATAACGGGGGGGGGGGTATGTACTTTTGGTCATAAGACAGTAATAGTTATATCCTCAACTATTCAGTATTTCCCTTTTCCATTCCCTCAACTAATGAATATAACTATTACTTGTCAGTTTTGGTGTCTGTGCTGGAGACCAGGGAAGGAGGCTGTGTATAACAACATGTAGATGATACTACTTACTAGATGTACATAAAATGTCATTGCCATTGGATTACCGGTATGTAGATGACCAGTGATGACAAGTGGAGAGCGAAGCACAATACATAACAGGGCTGAACGAGCGCTCAGCCTGTAGTCTGTGTAGACACAGCTACAGTGTCAGTTTGTGCGCACAAGACGGAGATGTCGCAGATTGCGACAAACTCTCAAACTCAACCGTGTCAGCATGAGCATGTCTGTATATGTGAGTCGTTGTCACTTGCCTTGCGAGTGCGAGTTGTGTCAACGGCCGTCGTACATCGTGTGCGTCCGTCCCTTGCACCGTCCGTGATGACACGGTGTGGATAACACTACCTAATTGCTAATAGTGAATACTAATACGAATATTACATCCTCGGAGTCATACTCGCGCCATGCCAGTCTGTGTGTGCGACAGTACATAATACAGTGACAGACAGTAGCAAAGCCAAAGCCAAAGGCTGTAGTGTAACTGTAGCAGTGTAGGGACTGTCTACTGTTTTATAAAACACTACTTTGTAAGCCCACAACTTCTTTACTTAGACAAGTACTAGTAGTTAGAGTACCAACAAACTAATTACTTGGAAGAAAGTCATCAGTTTGAAAAGACTGGGACGGCAGTATTCCCACCAGTATTCGTTGGATGTTACTAGCATTGTGCACCAGTAGGTGTCCGCTAATCCACCAGTGATTTCAGACTAATCCTCCCCGCGGTAGTTTTTGCATGATCACCGTCGGCTGGTACAAGTATTTTATGAACTGGCAGTGATGGAGACTGTCGTGAGTGTTGCTATTGGTGTGTTGGTGGCGATATGCTGTGGAGCAGCGCTGGCAATCGCTATGATCTGCAAGCACCGCTACTGTGGTGCACTGTCGTTTTTGACCGGAAGCCACAATGCAAGGTATGGTCGACCATCTGGAACACCGGTATAAATTGTGTAAAATGTTGTCATTTTTTATGGGTGGACATACGGCCCCGGGTGATTCATGTGGTCATTACTCGGCTGGAGCCTGTTATGATGATTGATGTTAATCGTGTGCCATCGTGCATTGGCCATAAACATGCTGGAGGCAACAATTCACCAATGACACAATGATTATGTTCTATGTCCATGAACACATGTCTCTGCGGCATGGCAGTGGTGGAAATTTGTGTTCTATCAGCCGCATGAGTAGGCGGGGGAGTTCAGGGAAATTGGGCCCGAATAGCCGATCTTTCATTGCTTCAAAATCACAAGATGAAATGATTGGTGTGGCTTTGGCTGCACTGGTTCCGACGCCCCTGTTATACGAGGCAGGCTGCTTGTCTTGGTAATCATCCTTGCAGTAGTTTTTTTTGTACGGGGGGGGGGGGGGGGAGGGAGGAGGGGTATATGGCGCCCCGGAATTATAAAAGAAAATAAAAGCAAACTTGTGTTTTGTGCATATCCTATCCTGCTTTTAGGACTAAGTTGAAATACGTGACATTACATGACCAAGGCCAGGCTGGTAAAGTAATATTAGTTTGGTAGGGTCGGACCAGATCAACCCAACCTGGTCTGCTGAACTACATGTATGTATTGACAGCAATCTGAGCTCTGGGGTTCTAAATCCCAGCACTGTCACGCAGCTACAGCTCTGCTGCATGCCGCGGTGAAAGTGCAGACACATGAATAAGCAGTGGCGGGCACCCTTGCAACCCTGCACATTGTACATGTACAGTCGAATGTCACTTATCCGACCACTTCGGGAATCAGGCATGTTGGATAACTGGATATGTTGGATAACTGATATCATTTTTTATGTGCATATATGGCTGGATTTCATTGATTTATATACACATTACCCAAATATATTCATGGATGGGTATTCATGAATTGCTCCATGTACACATACATGTACATGTTAGCATACTTGAACACATCTACTTCAAGTAAATGCATATTATACCTATTTATAATATACAAAAAAATTAGAACTCTACTGTTGAGAGTAAAATTACCACTCCCGGGCTTGTCGGATAACCGACGTGCTCTGATAACTGGCGACCGGATAAGTGACATTCGACTGTACTTGGAAGTACACACTGTGCCGCCGGAGCAGAACGACAACACCGCACACATGACAATAGCATACAGTGCTGGCCAAAGAAATCCAGCCTCCTGAATAACATAGCGCCGGGCGCTACGCACTACACATACTGGTCTGTGCACGCGGTGCTAATTTATTCATGAGGTTGGATTTCTCTGTCCAGCACTGTACTACCCGGGCCATAGCCAGTGTCCAGACTCCAGTGTCCAGACTCCAGTGTCCAGACTCCAGTGTCCAGACTCCAGACTCCCTACAGTAGATACATGTACATTGCACAGCCATTGCACTTTCTTGTACGCAGATGCTCCGACGTGTAGGCCAATGGAGAGCCCAGTAGGAAGGTCATCACCATAGGCAGTGGCTTGCAATTCCTGAGCTTTGCCAAAGTTGCACGACACGCTTATGCAGTACGTCTGGTGGAGCCAAGGTTCAACAGCCGTCAATGAGTGTTCCCGGTTTGCTGTTCGCGTGTATCATGTGGCAGCTGCCCTTGCCAAGACTTGCCAGGAAGCCTAAATCATGGCTGAGCGGCTTCATCGCCTGCATGGAAGAGCCACCGAGGCATTAATAGGAGGCCAAATATCTCATCCGTACTCGTGTTATCTTACCTGAAAATACAGCTGTGTTAGTATAGACCGTAGTATAGACCGTATAGCCATCAAAGCAAAGGACCCCGAGTGCATGCTCTCTTGTTTCACAGTCTGTGGAAGTGTTTAGCCAATTACCTGTAGCCGCGGTATTGTGGGAGTGCCCCACCATCCAGTCAGGCAGTTGTAGACGTGGAGCGGATGAGCAAGTCCTGGCTCTAGCCAGTCTACAATATAGGTCGTACTTAGGGCGCGTTCGAATTGTCACTCTTTGACTTTTCGAGGAGTTTCGCTTTTCTGAAGAGGTGGCCTTATTGGCCTCTTCAGAAAAACGAAACTCCTCGAAACTCCACAACCTCATCCGATGGGAGAGGTGGATTAGTTCTGAAGAGTTTGGAAGAGCTACGTCACGCAGTACGTGGAGATTGTCGATCCGATCCTACGTCGTTATCGCCATGATAATTCCACTGAAAAACTCTAAAATAATAGAAACCGTTCTATTGGGACACTTCAACTAATCTCTTTTAAAAATTTGTTCGAACAGTTGATGAAGACAATTCGAACGCCCCCTTAGTAACTATACGTACAGTCATTGCACACACACACACACACACACACACACACACACACACACACACACACACACACACACACACACACACACACACACACACACACACACACACACACACACACACACACACACACACACACACACCACATGACATGCAGTCAATCCACACTCATTTTACCTTTGGGCTGCAGCAATCTCTGCACGAGTAGCTGTGCGGCGGGTATATCTGACTATAGTATATGCACAGTCTCTTACACCGTACAGTGACCTTGTGGTTGAGCTTGGCAACATGATGACTTTCCTCTCCCTAGCTGTACAACACAGGTGGGGTATTCTAGCAGCACTGTAGGGCTTTTGTCATGTTCTCTATACCCTGTTGTGTGTGTCTTTGTCACAGAGCGGAGGTTGCTTTGACTGGGTATCATGATGCTGAACAAAATGAGGTAAGGCAGCCTTGCAATGTTGTAATTTTATGAATCAACGATTTACTGAATATGCACTATTGGCCCTCGTGTGTGACTATGTGAATAGTTTCGGATGCAGTTCATGTGTGAGCTCTCTTTGCTTCCATCTTAACATTTTATTGGGGTCTCAAAATGACGCCAACACAGCGACTATTGCCCGTTGTAAATGGGCAAATTTTGGTCCTGGCTTGCAAAGCGAGAAAAGCATTGGCATGCACCCGCCCTGTAATGCAAGACCACCCCGCCCCAGTAATGCAAGACCACCCCGCCCCTGTAATGCAAGACCACCCTGCCCCTGTAATGCAAGACCACCCTGCCCCTTTAATGCACGACCACCCTGTCCCTGTAATGCAAGACCACCCTGTCCCTGTAATGCAAGACCACCCTGCCCCTGTAATGCAAGACCACCCTGCCCCTTTAATGCACGACCACCCTGTCCCTGTAATGCAAGACCACCCTGTCCCTGTAATGCAAGACCACCCTGTCCCTGTAATGCAAGACCACCCTGTCCCTGTAATGCAAGACCACCCTGTCCCTGTAATGCAAGACCACCCTGCCCCTATAATGCAAGACCACCCTGTCCCTGTAATGCAAGACCACCCTGTCCCTGTAATGCAAGACCACCCTGTCCCTGTAATGCAAGACCACCCTGTCCCTGTAATGCAAGACCACCCTGCCTCTGTAATGCAAGACCACCCTGTCCCTGTAGTGCAAGACCACCCTGTCCCTGTAATACAAGATCACCCCGCCCCTGAAGTTGAAGACCACCATGTCCCTGGCCAGCCACTGACACTTCAGTACTAGTAACATGACTACATGTGTTGTTGTTTTGGGCAGGAACTCATTGAGAATATGGAAGATGATAAGGACGAAGATGGGTAAGTAGTGGTGGGCTGTGATCCGTGTACACGTATGTGCTTCTTATACTCTTGGCACTACCGGAACAAGCTGACTAATTTGACATGTTGGTGGAACAATCCCAGTAGGATATGGTTCAGCCAGTACAGCCAGTCGGTGGCCATTTCAGCCAGTGTGGCCATTTCAGCCAGTGCAGTCAGTGCAGCTAGCCTAGCCAGTCTAGCCAGTGCAGTTTGCCTATGCAGTTTGCCTATGTTATACCATGTGAAATTGGAATGCCTTCTCCCCCTGGCCCCTGCCACACAACAACACAAACGACTTGGTAGAGTTTCTGACTTCTTGGGCACCTCTTTGCACCATTATTTGAGGCCCACTTGAATGCCATTCTGCTGCAAATTGAGCAAGTATTGTCTGTAGAAAGCAGATCATCAGTGCTGCAATCAAAGTAAGGTCACTTCCAAAGAGGTGTAGGAGGGGGAGGGAGGGGGAGGGGGGGGGGGGTGACAGCACACAGTACACCCCAGGCCACGGTACAAGCCAGGTTGCAGCAGTGCTTTGTAAACTCAGAGTAGACACTTACAATACGAGTATGCATGTTCTATGTGTGCATGCCCACTATGATGATAGATTGAGGTGATGTATGTGCATGTATCTATGGCCAATGTGGACTGTGTGTGCCTGTATCTATGGCCAATGTGGACTGTGTGTGCCTGTATCTATGGCCAATGTGGACTGTGTGTGCCTGTATCTATGGCCAATGTGGACTGTGTGTGCCTGTATCTATGGCCAATGTGGACTGTGTGTGCCTGTATCTATGGCCAATGTGGACTGTGTGTGCATGTATCTATGGCCAATGTGGACTATGTGTGCATGTATCTATGGCCAATGTGGACTGTGTGTGCCTGTATCTATGGCCAATGTGGACTGTGTGTGCATGTATCTATGGCCAATGTGGACTGTGTGTGCCTGTATCATTCTATGGCCAATGTGGACTGTGTGTGCATGTATCTATGGCCAATGTGGACTGTGTGTGCCTGTATCATTCTATGGCCAATGTGGACTGTGTGTGCATGTATCTATGGCCAATGTGGACTGTGTGTGCATGTATCTATGGCCAATGTGGACTGTGTGTGCCTGTATCTATGGCCAATGTGGACTATGTGTGCATGTATCTATGGCCAATGTGGACTATGTGTAGCAAGAAGGACCCATGAGTGTGGGTGATCCCCGGTAGCCTAATCGGTAGGGCACTGTCCCGGAAAGACAGGGGTGCTGGGTTCGAATCCCGCTCGTGGATCCTTCTTTTGCAACATTGGCGCCTGGCAATGGCTCGAACCCACGACCCATCGTACCCCCCGCGAGTAGGTACGGCGTGAGGACACAGCCTGTTGGGGCGGGGGAGCAGTGTAGCAAGAAGGACCCATGAGTGTGTGTGATCCCCGGTAGCCTAATCGGTAGGGCACTGTCCCGGAAAGACAGGGGTGCTGGGTTCGAATCCCGCTCGTGGATCCTTCTTTTGCAACATATGTGTGCATGTATCTATGGCCAATGTGGACTGTGTGTGCCTGTATCTATGGCCAATGTGGACTGTGTGTGCATGTATCTATGGCCAATGTGGACTGTGTGTGCCTGTATCATTCTATGGCCAATGTGGACTGTGTGTGCATGTATCTATGGCCAATGTGGACTGTGTGTGCCTGTATCATTCTATGGCCAATGTGGACTGTGTGTGCATGTATCTATGGCCAATGTGGACTGTGTGTGCCTGTATCATTCTATGGCCAATGTGGACTGTGTGTGCATGTATCTATGGCCAATGTGGACTGTGTGTGCATGTATCTATGGCCAATGTGGACTGTGTGTGCATGTATCTATGGCCAATGTGGACTGTGTGTGCCTGTATCTATGGCCAATGTGGACTGTGTGTGCCTGTATCTATGGCCAATGTGGACTGTGTGTGCCTGTATCTATGGCCAATGTGGACTGTGTGTGCCTGTATCTATGGCCAATGTGGACTGTGTGTGCCTGTATCTATGGCCAATGTGGACTGTGTGTGCCTGTATCTATGGCCAATGTGGACTGTGTGTGCCTGTATCTATGGCCAATGTGGACTGTGTGTGCCTGTATCTATGGCCAATGTGGACTGTGTGTGCCTGTATCTATGGCCAATGTGGACTGTGTGTGCCCGGCTGTATCTATGGCCAATGTGGACTGTGTGTGCCTGTATCTATGGCCAATGTGGACTGTGTGTGCATGTATCTATGGCCAATGTGGACTGTGTGTGCCTGTATCTATGGCCAATGTGGACTGTGTGTGCATGTATCTATGGCCAATGTGGACTGTGTGCGCATGTATCTATGGCCAATGTGGACTGTGTGTGCCTGTATCTATGGCCAATGTGGACTATGTGTGCATGTATCTATGGCCAATGTGGACTGTGTGTGCCTGTATCTATGGCCAATGTGGACTGTGTGTGCATGTATCTATGGCCAATGTGGACTGTGTGTGCCTGTATCATTCTATGGCCAATGTGGACTGTGTGTGCATGTATCTATGGCCAATGTGGACTGTGTGTGCCTGTATCATTCTATGGCCAATGTGGACTGTGTGTGCATGTATCTATGGCCAATGTGGACTGTGTGTGCCTGTATCTATGACCAATGTGGACTGTGTGTGCATGTGTCTATGGCCAATGTGGACTGTGTGTGCCTGTATCTATGGCCAATGTGGACTATGTGGACTATGTGTGCCTGTGTTCATGTGATGATTGTGATGATTGTGTCTGCTCCCGGCATGTTCTGCTTTCTACAGTGGTCTAATACCACATTGTCTGGATATTTTGAAGGTACGTTGCACTTTGGTCAATGTCTGGACCACTTACAGGGGTTCACTAGAAGGATACCAGTCGCTGTTGCGGGTCTGTTGCCTGTAGCGGGGTAGGCCTTCCAACGTATGCAAATAACCGCCAGCCTCTATGGAGATGGCATACCGTGCGTATGCTCTCAGCTGTACACATAGCACTACACGTGGTATCATTAAGTGTGTTAGTAGAACCGTGCCAGCTCTTGAGACCAAGGCATGCTGCTGCTGCTGCTGCTGCTGCTGCTACCAATAACAATAGCAATGTGACTATGTACGAGTACTCGTCTGGTTGACCTTGTAACGTATACACTTCTGTACTGTTCTACTGCTATACAAACACACCGTGATTGCACAGCTTTGTCATAAGATGACTGACCGACTTGTGGCAATCACGGTCAAGAGTCCATCCGACCAGCTATCACCGGAACAACTCAATGATATCATTGCCGTGGCCAAGAAAATCACACCAAGGTACAGTGGAATGTATCGTATACAGTGCTGGTCTAACCTTAGGAATGATGCGGATTGCATGCTGTACAGTCTGTGCTGGAAGTGTAGGAAGTCGCGGTGTGCTCATACTGCACACATGGGAGGTGGTGTGTGTCAGCCGGGGTACAGGAATGGATATGAGGGAGTGTGGTGTGTGTCAGCCGGGGTACAGGAATGGATATGAGGGAGTGTGGTGTGTGTCAGCCGGGGTACAGGAATGGATATGAGGGAGTGTGGTGTGTGTCAGCCGGGGTACAGGAATGGATATGAGGGAGTGTGGTGTGTGTCAGCCGGGGTACAGGAATGGATATGAGGGAGTGTGGTGTGTGTCAGCCGGGGTACAGGAATGGATATGAGCCGATTTGAAATGCATACATGTTCATCATGTGTTTTAAAAGAAGCCTGCTATACAAACCTCACCCGTGACCATACATACCAGAGTGTATATCCCCTCACCATACATACCAGAGTGTATATCACCATACATACCAGAGTGTATACAAACCTCACCATACATACCAGAGTGTATATCACCATACATACCAGAGCACTGTATATCACCATACATACCAGAGAAACCTCACCATACATACCAGAGTGTATACAAACCTCACCATACATACCAGAGTGTATACAAACCTCACCATACATACCAGAGCACTGTATACAAACCTCACCATACATACCAGAGCACTGTATATCACCATACATACCAGAGCACTGTATATCACCATACATACCAGAGAAACCTCACCATACATACCAGAGTGTATACAAACCTCACCATACATACCAGAGTGTATACAAACCTCACCATACATACCAGAGTGTATATCACCTTCTTGTGATCCACCCCTGTCACTGCGGCACACAGGCCGACCCTGTGCCGACGGTTATAATTATCATTATGTTGCGTAGTGTAGTGGTGTGGTCCTAGTTACCTGTGGAGACTGACGCAGACAGAACGGTACAGACACAGCTAACTACTTCAAAGTATATTAATGATGGATGGTGAAAATATGTGTTCTTTCTTCTCGGTATTGTGTGTTCTTTACGGCTTCAGAGTGGATGATGTAGTCAAGTCACTCTATCCTCCGCTTGATCCCATTCTCATAGAGGCCAGGTGAGTTGTCACTGTCACACGGTATGATGCTGTCTGTCTCTCACAGCTGCAGCGCTGGGCACTGTAGACAGCCACAGCGGTTGTACATGTACACGAAACATAACAATAAGCAATAACTCTGGACAAGTTAATAGTCCTGGAAAGGAGTCCGTCCTGTCAAGGTGGTCTAGCGAAAAGAGAACTGTCCTCCCTGAAGCGTGCAAAGATAGTTCTGGGATGGTGGGGGTCAGCTTAAAATGGTAGTTCAGACAACCGAAAATACAAAATACCCCGACCAATGAGCATGTTCTGGAGAAGAAAAAAAAGAAAAAGAAATTTCACGGTTCGCGTGAGACTCGGCTGGAAGCCGGGCTTTCCGCATCCGTAGGAACGCGACCACCCTTCAAGGATCAAGGCGCAGATGCAGCTCCTAAAGCGGTGGGAGGTGAGTAGATCAGCTCACCAGCAAGTGGTCAAAGACCGAAAATCCCATTCACTGCATCCATGGAGAAATAATAATTATATTGCCCAGAACATGGTGTGACCAACGTTTGTAGAAGGAAGGAGGGGGGGGGGGGGTAGTGCATGGACCGATGTGCGTTTTTGGGTCCATAGCACTTTTATGACGAGCCCTAACATTACTAGTACCTTTTCTTTCAAGCAGATTGTGCAGTCCCCCTTTCAAGCAGATTGTGCAGTCCCCCTTTCAAGCAGATTGTGCAGTCCCCCTTTCAAGTAGATTGTGCAGTCCCCCTTTCAAGCAGATTGTGCAGTCCCCCTTTCAAGCAGATTGTGCAGTCCCCCTTTCAAGCAGATTGTGCAGTCCCCCTTTCAAGCAGATTGTGCAGTCCCCCTTTCAAGCAGATTGTGCAGTCCCCCTTTCAAGCAGATTGTGCAGTCCCCCTTTCAAGCAGATTGTCCCCCTTTCAAGCAGATTCATGGAATCCTCTCCAAGTGTACTCATGAGGTGCTCAGATCGGTTGGAAAGTACTGTGACGATGCTGACCGCTTGCAATCTCCGTGTTTACATTTCTCTTGGTGTTTGCCTTGCCTGCAGAGCAACAGCATTGCACCTATCCGTTAACCATCTTGTGCTGGTGAGTTTGCACGCCAGTGTGGTGGTGGTGGTACTATGAGAACCGAATAGCCTGGGTCTGCTCTTTGACGTGAAATGACGATGCGAAAACTAAGAGCATGCGGAGCACAAATCCCCCCCCCCCCCCCCCACACACACACACACATCGTTTGCTTGCTGGATAGGAGATGAAGAGCTCGGTGGCAAGATCACAGAGAAGTCTAGACGCTCTAACTTTCACCAATACACGCAATCTACAATGCTGTGATGGCCCTCTTGCCGCCGCTATGCAACTCTCATCTGTTCAGTTTGCCCTCTCTTTCATTGCTTTCAATGTTTCCCCTCCTCTTTTCATATCGCTGCTGGTGTACAATGCAGGTATGCAAGTCAGCGCTGGTGTCTATCAATGACGAGACATTGGACTGGGTGGAGGCAGATTTAGCGTCGATGAGCCAACACCTAGAAATGATCCGTGAGATAGCCCAGGATGCTGAGACGGCTATACAGCAAGTTAACCAGATGCAGCTACAGGCAGCTGTGCAGAACATGCAGAGTACGGCAGGCAACATGGCCGCCAACCAGCCCACTGCTCACTTCAGTATTCCACAGCAGCGCGTCTTCTTGTCAACGTTGGGTAGCGGTCAGTCCTCGTGAGAATGCCGATCAGTATTTGATTACCTCGACGGTTTGTCTGACAGTACATGTACTAGTATACTGTAGTTTGCAGGATTGGTGCTGTTCATGTATGTTCCCAGTCCGTGTACGTTTCTCAGCTGACCCATGTGTGCTGTTGTCATGACAACTGCATGATGCCTGTTGCTGGCATGATGCCATGGACATAGCAAGCAGTGTGTGCGTGTGTGTGTGTGTGTGCGGCTATCACTTCACCTCCGTGCGTTATTCCGTGTGCCTTTGTATGTGCATGTGTGCATGTGTGTACTCTGTATGTGAAGACATGATCATTTTGTTTGATTGATTTTTTTAACTCGTCATTTTCCTTTATGCAGAGTTTGCGCTTGAGTTTTTTTTAAAGATTTTCTGTTCTGCTCGAGCGTCTGGTGAACCGCTACTCTCAGTGTACATGTACATGTGTGTGCCGTGTTTCACTACTGCAGTCATGTGCCTGTTCATCTATTGTAGTCTGGGTTAGACGGTGCAGCTAATGATTTTGCTATTCCCAATGGCTGCGGTGTGCTGTAAGCAAGCAGATATGCATGGCTGGCCTTAGGATCACGAGTCTGTGAGTGTCTATAGTGGCCATGGACATGGTGAGTGTCTATACTATAGTGCCCATGGACATGGTGAGTGTCTATAGTGCCCATGGACATGGACATGGTGTGACTCTTGTTGACACAGAACACCTGCGCACATTGTAATATTCATACTTATTCGTAGTGTATTCTGATCATCTTGAGCAAACAAATCATTATGGAAGTTGATCATGGCCTGGTTTCATTACTTGCAGTGTGTGCTGCATGTGATTCACGCTATGTGTGTTGACTGACTTGCACATGTGCTGGTGCCGTGAATCGGCCTGTCAATGACCGGTGCAAGGCAGTGTTCACACTTCTGCTTGCATGTGTGACTTGCATGTACATGTATGTGTTCACACTGGGCAAGCTAGGAACAAAGGGATTCGGGGAGGGGCGAGGGCTCACAGGGCAACAGTTTTTTTTGAAAGATTGCTGGAAATTTTGGCCGTACTTCAGTTCAGAAGGTGGAAAGCCACCATCCCCACCCTACCATCCTACTTGCTGTTTGCTTGTTATAGGGTTTTGGACTCAAGTGGATATGATCACCAAACGCAAATGTGCTCAGCAAATATACGATGCCAGACGCTGCCTTGGCAACTGACTAGACGTGTACTCAAACCCAGATAATAGACCATGCGGTACAACACAGAACCACATTGACCACCAGATACATGTATAGCCACAGGTAATCTTCATGATGACACATACACGCACACGCCCACACACATACATGCACACACACACACACACACACATACACACACACACACACACACATGCACACACACACACACACACATGTACATTCAAACACACACACACGCGGCCATCAGAAGAGAGACAGTGTGATGGGTTGGTTTCAGGAACACACATAATATTATACATGTTACACACACACACATACACGTGCACGTTACACACACAGACAGGCATGCGTGTACCAGTATAGGAAGTATACCTGGCGGCACTACAGTAATCAAGTTGCTGGAGGTGACTAATCACCATAACGATAGCCTATGAGAATAAAAAGAGACAAGCAGAGGAGAAGAAGCCACAAGGGGTAGCTGGCAGTCAGTCAAAAGAAGATTGAAAATAAAAGTTTATCACTAAGATTCTAAAACTAGATGTAGAGAAAATAACATTTATAAATGTACGACGAGTAGTAGTAGCTGCAGGTGGAGTCAATGCAAGGGAGAACAGCAGCAGTTAGCAGGATATACAAAATAATTACAAGTAAAAGAAGCACAGCTTTCGACGCTGCACGATCAGAGACTGTGGTGGTCGATATCAAATGATTCAAGGAGAACAGTCGGCTAAGCCCACTGAGACCCTACGCAGCAAAGATAGCAAAACAATTAATCGGCTGCAAGAGCAAACAAAACTAGCGAGCTCCCGGCCAGGCGGCGCACCTGGCTGGTGATAGGGGGCAAAAAAAAGGTAAAACAAATTCTAACAAATGTACACCACAAGTCCAACACACAGGCCCGCTCGGGCATTATAAAACATGTCTTTGTCAGAGCGATGCAGACATCGTTACACAACTTATAAAAGACACCTCAAAACACAGAGTGGGCCGCTATTCTCCAAAACACAGAGTGGGCCGCTATTCGACGGGACAGATAGAGAGGCAACTGAAGAGAAGGCACATCAGATGAGGGCTATGTACATAATATAAGCACACAATGTAAAACACACACACACACACACGCACAAACACACACACACACACACACTCACACACACACACACACACACACGGCATCGTAACAGTCATAGAGCCACATAAATAATAGAAAAGAGAGAAAGAAAGAGTAACAATTACAGCAGTCGATAAGGTCATCTTTAGCATATGTTTACATGCATGATACACGCCTCCGTTCAACATTGCAGTGTGAGTCAGATATTTTATATGTATATAAAAGCAAATACACATGCAAAAAGCAAAATAAGGGACGAAAATAAAGGCAATACCAGCGCCCGTCAACAATTTGGTACCGAAAGCAAGACAGTGAACATCATGAGAAAGGATCGCCTGGCACTTCAGAACAGCGAATGGACTGGACCTCTCACCGGATAATGATTGACACAAGAACAAGGACAAAGACCACTGACAAGAAAAAGAAGAATGACTGCACTGGCGCCATACTGCTCATAAATCACCGGCCAAGAAGACGCGTGCATCAAGAATGTAATACGACTGCACTGGCGCCATACTGCTCATAAATCACCGGCCAAGAAGACGCGTGCTTCAAGAATGTAATACGAAGAAAACCTGGGCTGGCCATAGGGATTACGTGTGTCCTGCAACGCCAACAAAGAAAAGACAACGCCAAAGTGATAATGAGCTATAGGTCCACATTTCCATGTGTGTGTGTGTGTGTGTGTGTGTGTGTGTGTGTGTGCCAGCTAGTTCGGTTGGTGGGTACACTTATGCCAGATAGTGTTGGGCTTGTTGCCAACGGGCTCGGCTGCTTGAAGGTGTATTGTTGTACCTACCACCTTTGTTGGTTTCAGGGTTCATATACTTTCTATTTGAAGTATACATACCTGTTAACCATGGACTGCTTCTGGCTAGATTAACTCTTGTGTAATCAATGGTGCTAGTGAAGCTTATATCAGATCCACTCTGATTTAGCCACCCACACTAGTACCAAGTATTACCTTCACTGGGGGCAGGGGTACCTGCAGTTGGATCCCGGGACGGATACCCTGATGCCGTCAATCCTTTTTCTGCACCTTGTCCTCACCCACTTACTGAGGTGTGGTGAGCCCATAAGTGGGATCATTTCAAGTCCACCCTAGTTTGGGGATTTCAGGGGGTGTCGGCCGTTGGGTGGTTCAATGGCCAA